CATTAGTTGAAATTCCATAGACTGTGAAATAATTAAAAATTCTTATTTAAACTTTACATGAAAATATATTTCGAAAAAACTATAAAGCACGCGGCGGCATAATTGCGTATTGAACTCAAAATCACTCCAACTGATTACTTATCATAATCATCCATATGACATTTCTCGAATATATTAAATTATTTTTATGTGTTAATTATGATTTTTTATTAATTATCGTTTTAAAACTTATTTCATTGATTTGATACAAAGTTTGATTAAGAAACCCAAATACCTATACATTTTAATTTCTATTTTATAAATTCCTAATGGTCTTTTATTAGCCTCTTCTTCATACATAGATATATTCAAAGAACGCTAGCGCGAAAAGAACTCTCATAGTGTCATGCACTAGTGAGGAAATTTTAATTGTGGGATTTTTGAAAGCACAGTAATATCGTTTATCGAATTTTCAATTTACTATTTTTCAAAATTAGGTATGTATTGACTATACAAGAAAAGAGAAAAAGAAGAAAAAAGAGGATTTAATTTAAATAATGTTATTGTATGTGGGAACTGACATAGGTACCTACGAAAATGTAACAAGAAATATTTTTTCTAGTTACCTAGGTCGGTAAGTCAGTTTGATTATTCAAGTAATGCTTCATGTAAACGTAACAAATTGTATCAATAATAGTATTAGTTTAACATGAATAAATGCCAACGTATTACTTTTAAACAGAAATGTAAAAAAATCATTTTTCACGAAACGATTCATTGAAAGGCAAGTGTCGTGTGCACGATGTTTACAATGATTATTTCGTCGCAAAACTATTTTCAAACTATAATTATGTGCATGATAAATAAGAATGCCATTGTATCCAGATTTACGAAACAAGAAAATTCATAATAAATACCTCAAATACCTTGATTGCAAACTGAAAAAGCTCATGAGGGTATCAACCGCATAGCTAAATTGTAAAGTCTTTAAGCGAATTACCTGGAAGACGCAGGTTAATCAGAACTTCGCTGGGCTGAGAAGTTAAAAAATCACTTTCAATCAAATCAAAGATTACAAAGACTGCTCATCAGAGTACAGAGCACTAAAAATAAAAAAAATCATAAGTTTCAATAGGCAAAAGTGACACCTCTTGTTTCATAATTATAATCACCTGTAGTTTTTTTGCAATATTACCTACAATTTTATTGCTACCCGTAGTTTTTTTTCAGTATCTAAAAAATTAGCCCAGAATCCAATATATGTAACCCATCTATTTGACATCAACTGAACCCCATGCATTGACTAGGGCTGTTTCTCATATTAAGAGATAAATTTCAAACTGATTATGAATAAACCATTTTATTATTATGTACCTATTTACTCCAATAAACATAATGTGATTTGAGTCTGTTGCGTTCGGTGCGTATAAAATATTAAGTACCGGTATAGTTGACGATCGAAGTTTCCAACTTACTGCGCGAGAGTTAACATTGCCAGGCTTGAGCTTATTAATAATTATTACTTTAGCATACCTACAGTAGGCGCGTTCCGCCATATAAATAACTTAATTATAGAGATATATTTATTGCTATGTAAACCTTTATGCTTTTATTACTAATGTATGATATATTAAGTTATACTATATTCAGTTATGAACAATGAGTCGTTTAATAAATAAATGGATGAAATAAACGGGAATTATAACACATTTGGTGGATGCGCATTGAATGAAAAATTTATATTCTCCACTAGCGACCCGCCCCGGCTTCGCACGGGTGCAATGTATTATACATATAAACCTTTCTCTTGAATCACTCGTATATCTCCAACAACTCGTATATCGTCCAATTTCTTTATTTAATTAATTCGTACGGAACCACTCATATCTCACCTTCAATTTACAATGTCAGGATAAGCATTCCTACAAGAATGGTTGATAATTACGGTAGGTATAAGATTATGAATTTGTCACCATTATTCACCTTTTGAAGAATGTCAATCAGACACCTTTTCAGAATATGCATTGCATATTCATGCGATAGCAGCAATCGCAGTTGGTTTGCAGTCATTTTTGAAGAGTTCCGTTATCTATCTCCAACATCAGATCTATATGAAATTTAAATAATAATAATAAATACTTACACATTTTTTTTCAACACAACGTTCTCTACTACTACTATCGATAATAGATAACTGATAAACATACTTAAACATACTTTTCTTTTTGTAAATAAATACATATTATACATATATAAACACCCAGACACTAGAAAAACACTATGTTCATCACACAATATTTTTCCAGTTGTGAGGAACGATCCCACAACCTCTGGCGCAGAAGGCAGGTACCCTACTTTCGGAATAAAATCCTTTTAAACAAAAAAATAATTTTGAAAATCCGTCTATACATGTCTATATGCAGCGTGTCGTTACAATCGCGACAAGAAATGTACACACGTCTAACGCTACTTGCCAATAATCATAAAAAATATTAACGTTAAAAAAAATCTATAATTAAAAAAAAATATTTTTCAAACAAAGTAATTAACCAAAAAAGAAACAAAATTTGTAACATCCTATACAACTAGATCTGACTGATTCATACATTCAGAGACTTTTTCATTCGTTGCCACGGCGTCGTATTACAAGCCTCTCCTTCTAACAGTATGTTTTGTCTCTTTTAAATTCATTCAACCCATTCATATGCTTTGTGACCTTTACAAATGAACTTTACGTTACAATTTTATACGTAAGGGTGTTCTAACATTGTTTGTTTTGGAAAATTTAAGAACTCGGTAAATATTGATGTTTAAAGAATGTAAATTTTTGATACGATTTTAATAAGTTATCCTGTATATGTGTGTTCATTTATTGTCGCGTTGGTAACGACACGCTGTATATGACATATAATGTAAATAATTGTAAAGAAGCGGAACAATTTTTAAACACCGCGCAGTATTGACATGCACCATATTTATTAAAACACCCAGAGAATATGAATATACAAGATATTTTCACATGAAGATTAAATCAATGCGTTTATCGTTGAAATCAAGCTACAAAGTCGAAAAAAAAAACCTTCTCTGCGTTTGTTACGCGGAATGAAATTATTGACAAAATGCTATTGAATTGAATAAAGTCAAAATCTAACTTTATTTATACAATTGTATAAATAGAGTTACGATGCGCGCGCACACCGTCACGAAAAACCGACAACCTGAAGTTAGCTAGATATCTACGTATGTTGCGTGAGAACTGACAACTGAATTCACGATATTTATTTTGTGATAAACTTTATTAAATAAACTTTACTAGATAATGCGTAATAACTTTTTTCTATTGTTAGTGTCGTTTTTTTTACAAACGTACAATAAAGCGAAAGATAAGATTTTTGAAACGAATTTTTATCTTGTTACGCCAAAGAAGTATAACTTGTAATACGTGTACATAAGTACACACGCACTTTTTTTTAGACTTATTAGAAGGTTGCAAGCGAGCTAGCGATTCACCTGATGTTAAGTGATAACCGCCGCCAATGGAATTTGCAACACCCGTAGAGTTGCAAATGCGTTGCTACCTTTTAATAAAGTGGGCCCTGGCGTATGAGGTATCATTAACCAGACGAAATGCAGAAGTGTAACACTCACTTCACGCCGGTCTTGTGGGAAGTCGTGATACTTCCCCATTCGGACCTGCTTTTCGTGCAACAACAAAGACTTCAGCGTGGCCTTACCACAACAATCTCTTTATTTATTTCCATTTACTACAGATAACAGCTGAACATTTTCAAATGGTCCTTCACTTCTAAAAGATTGAGGACCACTGTTGTTTGATCATCGCGTTATTTACGTTAATTGATTAGGTATGAAACTTCTTTATCCAAATATTATTTGTTTCTGCCAATTGCGTGATCTTAATTCCATTACGTTCGACTTTAATTTGTCCCGTGATTAAATCACAATATTAAATTTATTACTTCCTGTGCAGTGGCCGGATTTGCCCTAAGGCCCAATAGGCCCGGGCCTATGGCGGCCACATATTAAGGGCGGCCAATCGTGACCAAAAATTCACTGATGATAACAAGATATATGATGGGCGCTGAGAAAGGGGTGGCTGGAACTTACTACATGGGCGGCCCAGATTATAAATCCGCCACCTTTCCTCTGGATAGCTTCCTCTATCTTTGGCGATCCAAGCCAAAATGTCCAGCTTTCGGTAACAGAGGTCGGGGTGTTGCAACAACAGCGTTATGACGACTACGTCGTGTACCATCTACGTAGATTCTCTTTAAGTCCACGGGATGTTTATTGTTTACCCGCAGACCTCTACAAACGAAGTTGTCAAAACAAAACCAAAGACTGACATGACAGCAAAGTACAATTTCACAAAAAAAAATTGTAACTGTAAACACTTAATAATGATCATCTGTGCTTATCTGTGCTATAAATTGATTTGTTTGGCGATGTGGTGATTGTGCGACTAGTCTATTATTAATTAATGATATTTTATAATAAATTTATATCGTAAAAATTTATTAAAACTACCTTTTTGCTAAGAAAATCACAATTGACGATGTCGGAGATACAGAATACCTAAAATGTCTCAAAAGAAGTTGGAAAAAATCGATACTATTGAGTTTGATCCTATTCTGCCCGATTCTGGTATTCTCTTCTACGAAGAATGTCCAGCTGAGTACGAAATACAGCGGCCCATATTATTGCCTTTGAAATCATCAACGCAAATACGATTTGAAGAATTACAACACGAAGCAGCAAGAGTGTGGAGAGAAAAAACTAAAACTGCAAAACAAAGCTGATTTAATTTAATTTATATTGTTTGTTTATTCCCCACAGAAAAATGGCTTATACCTTGTTTGTGATAGAAATTATTTCAGCCCTCATTTTAGCCGCTACCTTACTATATCGATATGGAGACTGCTACAGAAATCACATACTTGTTACAGTTTCAGTACTCATTGCGTGGTATTTCTCCTTTGTTATTATGTTCATTTTGCCGCTGGATGTTTCATCTGTAAGTAATTTTTAAATTGGCTACATATGCAAATAAATAAAAAACTTCTAAAAATCCTTAAGGATTGGTCTTAACTTCATTTTTATATGAGGTATCAAGCAATCTGCTTGTGACAGTTCCCCTGTTGTTAAGTAATAATCGCTTATTATATATCTTCTGTGTAATACCATGGTAGAAAATTAAATATATGATGTATAAGACTAAATAACATGTTTTATCACTGTACTATATTCATACATTCATATCCTTAATATTATAATTAATAGCATATAACAATATTAATAAACAAAAGGAATGTCTTTTGTTTATTGAAGATGAATCTACACCTCGAAAAATCTTTCACTACCTCTCAAAAAATACATACAAAAACTTCAGACAAAGCTCCATGCATTTAATTACTTACCAATATAAATATTAATAAAGAGTAATTGTAATTAGTAAAATTCATTTTTTCACTATACATAATGAAAACTAATAAAAATCTTTTCAGTCCTGTAACTTTCTTTATATAATGTTTACACTGTTACTTAGGATATTTTTTTTTTGTGTAAAATAAATTAACTAAAATATTATATAAATGTCATAAAAGCTATCCAATTTTTATTACAGACTGTTTATCGCCAGTGCCTTCAAGAAAACAGTACAAACCTACCACTCACTGTTCAGAGCCAGAATGTATCAAGCACAGATGCTCCAATACCAAATCATTGTCAAAAACCATGGAGCTATGTGCCAGACTCAGTTTTCCCAAATCTGTGGAGAGTTGTTTATTGGACATCACAATGTTCATGTTGTTTATACTTAATGTCAACAAAGGCATAGTGGATAGTGAACCTCTGTTTTGCATAGGAGGTTGTGGTCTGATCCCCCTGGAAGAATCTGAATCCATATACTGGAAGAATATTAAGTTATAAATATAGAGTTTTTATTGATTCTGGGTATTTATACATACTTAAATTGACAACCCGAATGGCGTAGTGGTTAGTGTACCTGCCTCCTGGGCCAGAGGGTGTGGGTTCGATCCCCACTACTGGAAAAATATTGTGTGATGAACATAGTGTTTTTCTAGTGTCTGGGTGCTTATATATCTATAATATATATTTATTTACAAAAGAAAAGTATGTTTAAGTATGTTTATCAGTTTTCTAGTACCCATAGTACAAGCGTTGCTTAGTTTGGGACTAGAAAATGTTGTGTAAAAATGTGTCCTAAAAATATATCAGTTTTTTATTTTTTAAAAAGAAAAGTATGTTTAAAACTGTTTATTAGTTATCTAGTACCCATAATTCAAATTTTGCTTTGTTGGGCTGTAGGCAATTTTTAAGTAAAACATGTCTTAAAATATTTATTTAATTTTAAAATATTAATGAATCTATAACACCACAGCTGTTAAAATCTCCTCTGTTATGTATGTGAACATGTTTTTTTAATTAATATTCTTGTAACTCATGCAGAAATTGATATATCTGATAAGACTAAAATGTTATTTTTACATATGGATAAGATATATCAATTTTTTGTTATTTAAAACATTTACAACTTTGAACAAAACTGTACATTAAAATAAATTGTCATACAAGAAAATTTATCAAACCATAGCAGTTAAAATTATGCTTATCTTTAAATATTGACAAAAATATATACTTCTGATAAAGATCAACATTCTTTGAAAGTCATTTGGCAAATGTAAATACAAGCTAACAATGTGATATTTTCAACGTGCCACAAAAAGATAGAATTAAGCAATTAGGTTATATTCAGCCAATGATTAGAATAACCGGTGTTTCTGGGAAAGGTCTATTAGCTTCCATCCAAGCTTTAGCTTTAGGAAAAAATTAAAATTAGGATATTTAACATATTCCTATGCAATATTTCGATGACCCCGTGGCGCAGTTGTCAGTGGTATTTTTGAGTGGTTTTTGGATGCAAAAAACTTTATCCTACAATGCAGCTGTTTCCATTGCAGGCTCATCATGCCAATGATGCAGTCATACAGTAAAGCTGGTGATTTTACAGTGAAAGGCAAGCTGAAGTCTGCCTTAGTAGATAATGCAATCTACTATGGATCTTACCTACTAATATGTGGAATACTTCTCATATATATTGCCCTAAAGCCTGGTGTATACTTGGACGGACCCAAAATTAAAGCAATTGCATCTTCTGCAAGCAACACATGGGGACTGTTCCTGTTAATTCTATTACTGGGTTATGCATTAGTTGAGGTTCCAAGAAATTTGTGGAATAACTCGAAGAAAAATTACACACTTACCTATAGTTATTTTAAAATAGCAAAACTAAGTACAGACAAGTGTGAAGCAGAGGAAACAATGGATGATATTTTAGATGTAAGTAGTTAAATGTAACTTTAAATACATGTTAATTAAATCTTGCTATTTAATATGATATCACACGTGTTTATTTACCATTTGGAATTCAATGTTGTATACACTACTGCTATCAAGTAAGTAAACTTTAAACATAAAACATTAGTGCAATTTGTATGTAGTAAGAACGTTTAAAAAATACAAAAAACATTTTAAACACTGAGTACCTTTAACCTTCTTTTTAGTCACTAAACTCCGTAATGGCAGCAGTTGGCCCCGGACACCCATTACATCGGCATGTGGAAACCATAGTACAGAAGTTAACTATACAGCTGCGTGACAGGCTTAATTCTCGGGTAGCCCCAGAGAGACCAACGCCACCGTCTTTCAAGTCTCTTGTTAATTTACATAAAAAGGTAATCGGTAATGAAAGAGTTTGTTAATAATAATTATTAAGTTCACTACTAAAAGTGTACCGGATTTAGATTTTACTCTTTTTATACTTTTTCTGCTTCCCTTATTTCACTTCTGTTGCATCACTAAGATGTATAACCAAATGTTTTCATGAATAAAAATTGTAATATCTACTGTATGAAATGCATAAGCTTTATTACAATTTTAGTTATAATCATTTGTTTTTAAGTTATTTTATTATTTATTTTGTGATTGATTTGCTTTGATACCAGACAATCAAAGCCCTTCATGTGCTCCAACGCACTGAGACACAGTGGGGGCTAATGTTAGAGCGAATATTCCATTTGGAAGATGTGGCTTCAAACTCGAGGTCTCCAGATCACCGTTTCCAGCACACCTTCCACACACCACGGCCCAGAGTCCAGAGGATATTCTATCCGCCTATGTTCGGTAACAGTCAATATTTTTATTTAGTGTCTACTATGGTAGTTGAGTGTCCAAGCGTACGCCATTTTCGAAGTTGACTTGAATAAACTGACGAGTAGTAGATTTTAAGTGCTGATTCTGGCCCATGGCTGCTGGTGGAAAGAAGGTGGAAAGAAGATAGGTTTTGGTTAGGGTAGAGCTGCTTTGCTGTTGCACAAAAGAGAAGACTCATCTAGGGAACTACCTGGGCCTAACAGAAGATCTACGTTAGGCGAAAATATATAAAAATGTATGATAAAATAATATATTTATCTTTGTGTTTCATCTGGTGAGTGAAGTAACACGGGCTCGATTATTTGAAAGTTGGTAATACATCTGCCACTTTAAATTGGTTATAGATGGTTATGGGCAGCGGTAATCAATTAAGAAGAGCCTGCTTGATTGCCACATTAACTAAAAAACAGTTAACATTTTTATTCATACATTCAGGCAAAACAGGCTAACCACATTGTATGATCAAAATTTGTTTTTACTGCAGAATGGTACTGGGAATGTTTCCTAAGGCCCTACTTCTTGAAGACAATGGCAGTAGTGACTTGCATACTGTCTGTGGCAGTAGTTTGGTCTGAAGTAACATTCTTTTGCAAGAAGCCTGTCCTCTCTATATTTGCCAACATTGTCATAGCTGCAAAGGAAAGCTACAACTATGCAGCCATTGTGGTATGTAGGAACATTGACAAAGATTACATTACTTGAATACAACCGTAGTTCCATGCAATGAAAACCTGTTTTGTTTTAATAACAACAATAAAAGTTAACAAATGAAACAGAAAAAAATTGAAGATTTTTTTTAAAGAATTTTGTGAATAAACTTAATTCTAAAACTGATTCATAATTTAAAAATCATAAGCAGTTTACTGCAGTTTTTTGAACTTTCTTGAATATTTCTCAACTGTAACTGTATACTAATAAAAATTATAAATAATATGTTATAAACATGTTACCTTTCTGCTCTCTGGTAAATTCTAATATAATTCCTTTTAAAACATAAAATTTAACTATTTAAAAACCTTGAAAAGATCTTGAGAAATTGAATTGATTGAATAAAATATTTACAAAGTTCAATACGTTCAATACATTTTTGTTATCAATGTAACATTGTATCATTTGGAAATGATATTCAAATTTTATAATAGATTCTGTGTTTTCAGTCCGTATCGACGCTGATAATCGCCTACATGTTTTACTGCGCCTACTCGACGGTCCTGAAGATCCGTCTTCTCAACTTGTACTATCTGGCGCCACATCATCAGACGAATGAGTACAGTCTCATCTTCTCCGGCATGATGGTGTGCCGACTGACGCCCGCAATGTGCCTCAATTTCCTCAGTCTGGTTCACATGGATTCTCACATCATCAAGGAGAGAATCATGGAAACCTATTACACACAGGTACATAATTGACAGATGACTCCGTGGCGCAGTTGCCACGGTATTAGCTTCGGCGTCAGGGAATCGTGGATCGATTCCCACACGGGACAGCTATTTGTGTGACCCACTGATAGTTGTTTTACATCTAGCTGTTTGTCCATGTGTTTGTTTGTAAAACGTCACAGGATAATGTTATCCTAAAGTAAGGAAAAATGTTTTTAAGAATAAAAATATATCAAAATAAGAACATAATTGCACCAGCTGTCCAGCATATTTGAATACCTTGACTCATCCGGGGAAGTACCTTTCTTTTTGTTCACGTGCGGGAAATCCATACGCATACCCGCCCTCGCGGGGGCAAGAGCGGGTTATGTCGGACTCGCACCGACTAAAACCCCCACGATGTTCCACCTAGGCGCATATCGGCAGGGTCACGGGAACGCTTTCGCACAATTCCGCGGCCCTGCCCGCGCAGGCCGCCTCAGCAGCCCCCTCCCGGGGAGCAACTACCCTCTCCAAGTAAGGCGTGCTGAATTCAGCGCGCCTTCCTACTCGGCTCCCATTTACAATGCCAACGAACTCCCCCGAATTCGTTGACCAGGGCCTTGGGAGCCAGGAGAGCCAGTGCTAATAAGCAGCAAGCCTCCCAGCCCCCAGCGGCGGACCTGGTCTGTGGCTCCGCCGTTCACCACGTTTCGGCCGCAGAGGGTAGGGAGAACGGTGGATTGCAATACCGACACTCCTCTCCCCTTGCGGCCCCACCACCACTGCATCAGCGGTGCAGTCCCGCCGAGTCGCAGAGGATAGGGAGCACGGCCAACGCAATACCGACACCCCTCTTCGCCCGCGACTCCTCCTCGGGAGCAGAAGACAGGGAGAGTGGCTCCACCTCTACCACCCTCAGCCTGTCCCCTGCATCCTCCAGCATGCATCCAGAGTGGGCTCAATGAGCCCACTCGGAGTGGTCCTCACGGGCCGGCCTTACACCACAGGCTGGCCCAGTGTGGGTTCCTCTTAGTTTCGCCGTGAGTGACCAAGCCACGGCTACTAAGCCCCTCCGCCCCGTCAAGGCGGGAACCCGGTCGAAGGGGATCCGGGGAATTACCTAGGCGAAATCTAATCAAGTAAAATTAAGTAAAAGTTGTGTACTTCAGCATTTCATGGGATGACTGAGCTTAACTGAGTCCTAGGTTTTGTAGATTGTTTAACGGTATTTTGGATTTCCATCATCCACGGTAATCGGCAACAACACCCCTTTGCTAGGTTTTGTCACAAAATATGTTCTACTCATACTCGTAGATGGCACTATACACTAACTTCATTGTTGCTTAGATGTAAACCATTCTCGACCACCAAATATTTTATTACCTCTTTAAGTAGAGTTAGAGAAGTTTCACGAATAATAACAATCATACTAAGTAATAAATCATTTTGGTTCTGGACTTTGTTGTTCACTGGTTCCCATTGCTGCAAGTGAGGTTTCATTAATCGGTCTCATTAAATTATTTTCCACTCACTTTGACAACAGTTTGACTAATAATTTTCAGTTATTTTTACTAATAACAATTAGTATTGATTTATTAAAGGTGATGTTATGAAAGAGGCACAAGAGTAGCCTGCAGGTCTGGTTGACAAATGAGACTATATTATCAATCTACCCTTTGAAGAAACGCCCAATGCTCTCAACAGATAATGGGCCACATGGACGTGCTGGGCATCATAGCGGAGGGCTTCAACATCTACTTCCCCATGCTGGTGGTGCTCCTCTGCCTGGCCACCTACCTGTCGCTGGGCAGCCGCCTGCTGTCGCTCTGCGGCTTCCAGCAGTTCGTGGGTGACGACGAGCTCACCACCGACCTCGTGGACGAGGGCAGAGAGATCGTCAAGAGAGGTTGGCTTTATAGCACTCCTATTAAATATTAGGTCAATTTAATTTCTATAAGTGGTGGATTCTAGTTTTCATTTTTAAAAAAAAACTACAATATAAGGAGAGGACACTAGAAAGAAAGTTAAAATAAGTTGAGATTTAGTTTACGTTAGTGGTTAAAGCGTACTTGAGCGAATAAAGAAGACGTGCGTTCGATTGAGGCAGCGGACATAAATTTTCTGTTTCGTCTTAATTGCATCACATGACACTATAAAAAAGTTAAATTTCAAATAAAATTACGATTTGTAAGAGTTTTCTTTTAATAAACTGCCTCGTACTAAGCATTTCACAAATATGAAACCAAATTTTCGTCCCGTATTAGATTCGAACCGGTAACACGGCACATAATAAATTCTTGGCGGTGACACAAGCTGTTCCGGCCATCCCATAAGTGCCGGTCACTTTTGGCGGCAGATGCAATGATATAATGATTGTTACAGAGAAGCGCAAGCGGCAGCGCGCCGAGGAGTCTATGGCGCGTCGTCGCGACTACAGCGACCGCTTCAGCGGCTACCGCACGCGCGACAACCGCGACGGAGGTAACGCCGTGCCCATCTCTGCTTACCCCATTCGTGACTCACTTCGACAACCATCATTTCAACCCGTTTGAGTCCGCTGCTGAACCCCAGACCATCAGCATCCATCGGCTTCGCGCACATTTGCACAGATCACCACTCCATCTAGTGGGAGGTCCTCATGACATACTGGCGCCATGCATATAAATAGCGCAGAACTTAAAATGGCAAATCCTGTTCATGTACTGTCTAGTGCATAAACCTGTGTCTAGAAAATTTATGGTTACAAAACCATATATTTTAAATCTACACCATACTACTACAATCCCTATTTAAATCACACCCAATGGTTTGTGGCCATCCACTAGCTCTTGAAGACGCATGCTAATTGTACCATTACTTAGCTCAAATTGATTTATGTTAAGCTTAGTAATTCATCCGATTCATACAACGATTTTATCCATATGCAATCTAAATTAAATATCTCCTTACTTCCTCTCTATGTGTACGTTTAATTTTTTCTGTTTCATTTGTGCCCGTCTTTACCTCCCATTTAACACCATTCAGTTTCCCCTAAGCACAACCCACAACTGCGTTCGTTCTCACCCACCGTTTTGTTTTCGCCTCCATATCATCGGTTGTTGTGCATGTGCAACACGTTTCAGCCCACACCGGGCTGTTGAATGACGTGGACTCAGATTACTACGTGACGCCGAGCCCGGAGAGATCGAGCACCGCGGCTGGTTCCCAGCGTCCGGAGAGTTCATACCAAGATGACTTAGACAAAGGTTCGGAGAGAGCACACTGCCCTCCATCAGGACCGAGTTTGAAGATCGAAGGCGCGACAAGATGACCCTGCCCCCCAGGGGACTGTTCGACGACGTCTAGCCAATTTGCGAACGAGATGAGCAGGTTTTTACGCATCTATGTTAAAAATCGATAATGTAGCATTTTGTATTCGCTAACCATAATAAACGCTTCCCATGTGTGATGATTCATATGCAAACTGTTATAACATTATTAAATTATGATGTAGCAAATTACAACTGCTGTTACTCCAATGTTAATTAATAAATAAAAAATAGTGAAAAAAAGTTAGTAAACATTGTTGTTTAGAAATATACGTATGTTTATTAATTGATTGTAATTTCCGCATTTCTTTTTGACTATTTAATGGTTCTAAGAGACTTATATTAAAAATGGTGTCAAACTTGGCCTCAATTGACATCTAGTTTGTACTTGTTGTGCAGAGACAGGCAATTATTGCCTTTTAGTCATTGAATTTAATAAGAAAGTACAGTTAAATTAACAACAGTTATAAGTTATGTGTGCTATTCACTTAAACTGCACTTATCAATACCTTATTATGAATGATAGTTTTTAATAAGAAACAATAGGCTCTGAGCACCCAACTCACATTAATTTTCATATGTCATCTAATAATTAGCCATATACATTTTTTGCCATTACAAAAAGTACACATGATAAGCAAAATCACGAATATAGTATATTTATGGATCAAAAATGTCACATGAAACGAGAACTAGTAGTGGTGGGAATAAAGTTTTGATGAGCTTAATAGGAGTCCGTAATATAGCGGCGTCATAAAAGCTTGCTCATTTATTTTGTACATAAATTGTAATTTAGCAAATTTTAATAGGCATAAACATAAATGGTAGTTTAGCAAATTTTAACAGATAAAACTGAAGTCAGGTCATTTAAGTTTGTTATATAGTTTAAAAAATTAGACATTAAAATATAAATGTTATTAATATATAATTTGTATTTCTTAACAGGGAAGCATTTAAAAAAAAATATTCTATTTAATTTTTAAATGATGTAGTAAATTAACAATTGATTAATTTGATTAAATAATCAATATTAACTTAATTATAATACACTATAGTGTGCTTGGATTGAATTATAAACTACAAAATGAACAACAAGTTTAGTAATTTTGTGCATAATACATACCGTATAAAATAGTGATTTAATTTGTGTACAAATGTTATTAGGCCTTGTCCACTATCGTCAATTAGTTTAAGAGAATCATGTTTTGCGAAATCATTATTGTCAAATTATTTTAAGACTTTTGGAGAAGCTTAGCCTATCAGTTTGTAATAATCGGCTTTTTAATGTTTTCTATATTTAATTACTACTGTTAATGTTATTTTGTTCCATTCCATAGATTTATATGATGCAAACGCATTAAATTTTATTGTGATATATAAAATTTTGTTGTCTTATTTAATTGTTATTGATGTACAAACCAGATTCGGTTGTTACGAATGTTGGATGTAATAGTGATTTCAAAATTGAGGAAATTGAGTGAATTCTATTATAGTCCAAACAAATACAAATCATTCGAAACATGTTATTCTTATACTGTATACTTATTCTCATTGCTTATTATGCAGATTTCGTGGTCTTGTTGACTTCTAAATTTTCCGTACCATTATCTATAAAAACTGCCTACAAAATCATGTCTGTTGTATGGGAGCCCCACTTAAATATTTTTTTATTCTGTTTTTTAGTATTTGTTGTTCATCATCTGTGAAAATTTCAATTGTCTAACTCGGTTCAAATCACGGTTCACGAGATACAGCATTACCCTTTGTTAACGAAACCTTAATTAGATAAGTCTGGTCAGGTTTGTTCAAAATAAAAAAAAATATGTTAATCGATTATTTATTACATTACACGTATTTTTAATGGTAACATTACTGAAATTGAGATTTAATACTTTCCACTTTGGTTCTTAGTTCGTGTGATGATTCCTTTGCTAAGTCTGGCGCGTACATCTGGTAGATTACCTTTAGTGTATTGAGCTCTTCTATTTTATTTAATTCTGAAAAATATATATAACCACGTTAAACAAAACTGAATCTTAAATAAAATGAAATGGTTGTAAAGTTTTTAACATTATTTTAAATAACACCAAACACTAAACTTATTACTTTCATTCAATTGATAGGAAATGCCAACAATACTTAAAATGTTAATTCTAGACAAGTACAATACCTTTTAACTGTTTAATTAATATCTCTAGAATATTGAGAGCGTCTCTCCTATGCCTCACTTGGTTGCTGTTTTCTGAAAAAAGCCATAAATTCGTTAAAAATTAAAGATATACAAGATAGTGAAGTTAAAATGTATTTAATACATTATAGTTATACAGCGTGTCGTTACAACCGCGACAATAAATGAACACACATATGGAGGATAACTTTTTAAAATTGTATTAAACATATACATATTTTAAACATCAATATTTACCGAGTTATATACAAATTTTCCAAAACAAACAATTTAAGAACACCTTACGTATAACACTGTAACATAAAGTTTATTTGTAAAGGTCAAAAAGCATATGAATGGGTGAATTTAAGAGATAAAACATACTGCTAGAAGGAGAAATTTGTAATGCGACGCGGTGGCAACGAATGAAAAAGTCTAGGGGTGTTACAAATTTTGTTTCTCATTTATTTAATTAGTTTGTTTGAAAAATATCTTTTTTTAATTATGAATTTTTTTAACCTTTATATTTGTTATGATTATTGGCAACTATCGTTAGACGTGTGTTCATTTACTGTCGCGGTTGTAACGACACGTTGTATACAACATACTATATTAATCGACAAGCTAAGCAGCTAGCAGACTAAAATATAATTCAGTTAGCGAATATAATGACACACACTACCAGTACTGAAACGTAAATGTATAAGTGATAGCTAACTAAACCAAATTCCGTTACATCGCTTATCCGCGAAGTCAAATATACCCTTTCATTCGGAGTTAGAAATAACAAAGTTTTTCCGGTATTATCGATTTTTAAAAGGTTATCAATGCATCTCCAACCCGTCGTGTGGTGCAGATACGGGCGGATGTAATCACTTTCATAGATTTGTTACTAACTTTGTTTTTGAATAAAGACATTACATTATTTTAATTAAATACCTTGGAATTATAGGTAAATGTGAAAAAAATGATATTATTTTATTAATTACGCAAGGCGATGCGTAAGAGTTCGCTGTTGCAGGAATCGGCAGGTCTGTCGGCGGTTATCACTTAACATCAGCTCGCTTGCCACATGAAAAAACCCATGAAGTTGGTGTCGATTTTAGAGTGCAGCGCATAGTAAAAATTCACTCTCACAATTATTCCAAAACGTTCCATAAGAAGTATAACTGGCAAAAACCATAGACAAAATATGAGAGCCGTTGTTAACTCACTGAGGGTGTAGTCGACGACCTTCGCGACGTTCGCGGTGACGACGGATATCGCCTTGGCCCTGCTGTTCGTGGCGGCGTTGTCCGTCTCCATTGGCTCGCCGGCATTCCTTAACACCACCAGTTGCTGAAGGACGCGCGCAATGGACGTCAAGATGGCGAGCTGAGTCGGGCGCGTCGACGTTGCGTACGACTGCGCGCAGTGCTCGAAGAACAGCTCCCGGTACTTTTCTGCGGTTAAGCGGGGTTGTGAATTTGTTGTAGAAAGAAGGAGAAAGATAAAAAGGAAACAAATTTGATTACGACAAACAGCGCGTTCAAGCCCTTAAATAAATATCTTTCTTTTAAAAAATTTCCTATTAAAATGTCCTTTCTCAGGCTCTAGACTATCTGTGTACCAAATTTCATTTTAATCGGTTCAGTAGTTTTGGCGTGAAAGCGAGACAGACAGACAGAATTACTTTCGCATTTATAATATTAGTATGGATTGTAAGAGATTAAGTCGTTTGTATGATGACGCCGTGGCGCAGTTGCCAAGATATCGGCTTCGGCGTCTTGGGTTGTGGGTTCGATTCCCATACGGGACGACTATTTGTGTGACCCACAGGGTGTTAATCCACGTGAAATCTATGTTTGTAAAACGTCCTTACAACACAGGTTAATGTTATCCTAAAGTAGGGGCGTTGTTTCAAAGAAAAAAAAAACTAGTCAGGCACCTTCCGTCTGCAGATCCTTGGGCCACGCCTTGCCCAGCAGCTCGTAGGCGCCCTCCTTCAACGCCGTGAGCTGCTCGCGCCGTTGGCGGACCGCCTCGTTGTCCTCGTCGTCGGAATATTTGCTCGATGCAAACTCGTCCTGGCAACGTTGAAGTTTAGTGTAAACTTAAATATTACTACTCTATACTTTTTTTTATTTCAACATTAGTCTTAAACAACTTATTTATCTGCTGTTAAGTGATAACTGGCTCAAAATTGGCGGACGGATATGCAATGGACGTCGGGCTCATGTACCACCGCAGCACAACGCTAATAGTATTCATACTACAGTCAATAGTACAGTCGTCACGTGATGATTAAAAAGAGAAGCGGGAATACGGTATCGGTGGATACTTAAGTGCAGTACACATTGGAGCGTATAGGCTTGGTATCGGTGCATACTTAGCGCAGTCTCTGACCTTGGAGAGGATGAGCTTGACGATGTCGTACACTTGTTGGAAGGCGTCCGCGTCGAGGGCGGGCAGGGCGCGGGCCAGGGCCGCCAGCGCCTGCCTCTTGTGGCCCAGCTCCTGCTTGCGGCACTCGCCGAGCAGCGCGGCCACGCACTCGCCGCCCAGCGACGCCTCCAGCGGCGCCTCGCCCTCCTTCACCCTGAAACGCGCCACCGTCAGAACGCCACGCGATTCTCGCTCGTGTTGTCATGGGGATGGGGTCGAGTTCGGCTTTAAACAGCCGGCCGAGAGCTCCAAGTATTTTTTTTTTTTGTTGAATGGTAAAAACATTGCCCTCACTTTTAGGATAACATTATCCTGTGTTGTAAGGAAGTTTTACAAACATAAATTGCACGAGGCCAAACACCCAGATGCGAAACAACTATCTGTGTGTCGCACAAATAGTTCTCCCGTATGGGAATCGAACCCACGACCCCCGACGCCGAAGCCAATACCTTGGCAACGGCGCCACGGAGTCATCATTTGATACCGAAACGAACGCTATCCGGTCACTGCGCTGTAGAAATTTAGACGGATATAGTTAAGAATGTCCACATTTTTAAAAGCTAATTTAGTTGATAATTTCTTGTATTTACCCGGTTACATACTACTACATAATAATATAAAAGAATAGAGAAGATGGTTGGGCGCTACCATCAGCTTTTAGGGTTGAATTTTAATAATAAATAATAAAATATCTTTATTCACATAGACGCTTGCGAGTTCTTATGAAACGTCGAAATTTTACAAGGATTTTGATCCTATCATCGATTCAATAAAATCTAGGGATTTTGGTAAAAGGGCTGTGGTTTTTGGTGGAGTATTTTGAAGAGTAAAGAAGTGATTTGATGTAAAGAGGCGTGTTTTGGAGGGAGGTGTGTTTCAGTGGCGGTGGCTCACTCGCACAGGTCGGCGAGCGCGTGCAGCAGGTGGTGTTTGCCCGCGTAGGTGGTGCCGCGCACGGCGCCCAGCAGCGAGCGCACCAGCTGCGCCCGCTCCGCGCCCAGCCCCTCGGGCAGCTCGGCGCACATCGTGCGGATCGCGCTGGCGGCCTGCGGACAAGTTTTTGGACCTGAAGATAAGTGGTAACTGCCGCCCGTGGACATTTGCAACACCCGTAGAATTGCAGATGCGTTGAAGTCTTTTAATAAAGCCGGCCCCGGTTACCTCACTCACCACACGAAACGGTGAAGTGTAACGCTTCCACTTCGCGCCGGTCTTCTGTGAGATCGTGGAACTCACCCGGACGGACCTGCCCATTCGGGCAACAGCGTAGACTCCCGAAGACCCTCTGTACAGGGGCCTTTGCCCAGCAGTGGGACATGTAGGCTGTGCTGGACATTACCTGTATCCTGCGCGCGTAGGCAGAGGCGTCCAACTCGCGGGCGGCGCGTGCGCAGAGGGCCGGCAGGTGGCGACGCAAACCGCTGGCCCGCGCCGGGCTCATGTCCGTCCACAGCTCCTCGAATATCTCCACTGTGCTCGACTCCCCTGTGGATTTTAGCGAGGTAAGGCTTCGAGACGAGAACAAATTGAGAGCCAATTAGTTTTCCGTGACTCCGTAGCTGAAAAGGTATTGGCTTCGGCGCCGGTGTCGTGGGTTCGATTCCCACACGAGACAACTGCTTGTGTAACCCATAGACTGTTGTTTCGAACTGGGTGCTAGTTCCAGAGATATAATAGGTAGGTAGCTTCGAAAGAAGCGCTTTGTGACATACAGGATAAAAATCCTTCGTAATGTCCAGACTAGCTGCAAGCGCCTCCCCCTTGGTCTCGAATAGTCCCATCTATATGTCAAATAAACTACTTGTGGGTCGCATAAGTACTCGCTCCGCATGGAAAGCCAACAACTTAGCAACTGCGCCACGGCATCATCTATTTTAGATATTTGATTTTCTATTAGACGATGAATCGAAATTTGCAGGCGATATACGAATGGGCAGGTTCTTTCGGGGAGATACCCCGACCTTACAGAACACCGGCGTCAAGTGAAAATGTTGCACTTCTGCGTTTCGTCTGATGAGTGAGGTAGCCGGGGCCCACTTCATTAAAAGGTAGCAAACACGTCTGCAACGTAGGGTTGCAAATGTCAATGGGCGGCGGTTATCACTTAACATCAGGTGAACCACCAGCTCGCTTGCCACCTTCTCACATAAAAAGATAGCTATTTAAGTTTTTGTGACCAGTAGATACCTTCGTCTTTCGGTGCATGCATGGCTAAGAAAACCAACGGCGCGAGGATCTCCTCGTTGTCTTTTATGTGGTCTATTTTAGCTTTGGCGACGGCTTTTAGCACCAACGCGATGGCCGAACGAGATATCTCGTCTTCCTTAGTCTCGTACAGATTTATCAATTTCTTCATCAGCTTCTCAATTGATTGACTCTGAAAATTATAGAAATATAAAGTCATTTATAATAAGTTAAACATCTAACATATCACTCATATAAAATATTGCAACGAATGTTATATTTTTATATACTCTACATGGTACGAGAGCTAGCAACGCGGGAAAACAATAATTTCAAGTAGGCCAGTTTTTAGCAGCTTTCCCACTCTCTCGGACGTCATACGGGCTATCTAGCTGTAGAGGTTGCGTTCACCAGCGCGCATCGTACACTGACTCTTCCAACATGGCCAATCACGGTTCATGAGATACAGCCCGGTGGCAGACGGTCAGACAGCGGAGTCTTAATAAAAGAGTCCCGCTTTTCCCTTTGGGTACGGAACCCTAAAAATTACCACAACAGATACCTTCAAAGTCACAGTGGTCGTTGGGACCAACCACCCAACCCCTTCGGCACAAAATGCAAGTGGGTACGATTCGCGATTCGAGCCCTAGAACTTGAACCGACCTTGGCGAAGGCCGAGACCTGGCCGAGGGCCTCCGCGTAGTTCTTCCTGACGGTGGGGTTCCTGTCGAAGGCGCCGCCCAGCAGGCCCGTCATCAGCTTGCCGGCGAGCGGCTCCAGCTCCGCGCGCAGGTAGTGAGCGCTCAGCACCACGAAGTGGGCGCACGCCACCTTCGTGCCCAGCTGCGGGCACTTGATCAGCTCGAGGACCCTCGGCAGCATCTCCCTCATCGCGTCCATGGTCATGTGCGGCATGCACTGGAGTGGGGAAGAGTAAAGTTCGACGACTCCGTGGCGCAGTTGCCGAGGCACCGGCTTCGGAGCCAGATGTGTTGGGTTCGATTCTCACTCGGAACTGGGCGTTTGTCCACGTGAAATTTATGTTTGTGAAACGACCTTACAACGCAGGTTGACGTTATCTTACGGTAAGGGCAATGTTTTTAAAAATAAATCAATAAGAAAAAAAAACAGTAAAAAGTAAAGTAATACCTATATATGGGCAATGGCTTCTGTTAGCGACACGTGGGGAATTTCCCACGATGAAAAAGGGCAAGATAATGCGTATGACGTTGAAGGGGGGGGGGGGGGGGGGCGTGGCAGGGACGGCGCACCTTGACGACGGTGTCGGTGGTGTAGTGGTGGCGGGCAGCGTTGGCGCGCAGCTCGTCCAGCACCTCCCTGGAGCTGTTGTCGGCGAGCGCCGTGCTGAGGTAGGACAGCTTGGCCGACTCCAGCTCGCCGGCCGCGCACAACAGCGCGGGCACCAGCCGCGGCAGGAACCCGCCCAGCTGCCCGCCGCCCGCCGTCACCAGCTTCGACACCGTCTGCAAGCTGCAGGGGCTTCTCTTACTCTGTGCGCTGACAGCCGTATTCGCAGACTCTGGAAGAGCGCCCTATTACTCTGTGTACTAACAGCTGTATTCGCAGACTCTGGAAGAGCGCCATATTAGTCTGTGTACTAACAGCTGTAATCGCAGACTCTGGATGAGCGCCCATTAGTCTGTGTACAGTCGCAGACTCGGAAAAGCGTCATATTAGTCTGTGCGCTGATGGCTGTATTCGCAGACTCTGGAAGAGTGACCTATTAATCTGTGTACATTCGCAGACTGGGAAGAGAGCCTTATTAGTCTGTGTACTATCAGCTGTGATCGCAGACTCTGGAAGAGCGCCTTATTACTCTGTGTACTGTCAGCTGTGATCGCAGACTCTGGAAGAGCGCCTTATTACTCTGTGTACTGTCAACTGCATTCGCACTCTTGAAGACCGCGCTATTATAGTCAATGCACTACTAACAAGCAGTATTCGCGGATTCTCTTAGCATGTAGAGCCGGGGCTCGTTTAAGTTGTGCCACCTTTCGTCTAGAATGCTGATTGGCGGAGTACACGCTTAAAAATTGACAAACAGTCACGGCTTTTGTAGGCGTCCCTGGCGGTGACCACTACTACCGGGTAAGCCAGTAATGTACCCTTCCCACCGAAGGAACTAACCTGACACTCCTGACCTCTTTCACGAGGTTCGTTATTCCGTTGTCTAGGAGTACGGGCAGAATCGCCGATACGACTTGCTTGCCGTCTTTACCCTGGTTCGCATCAGAGGCGTGGATGCACAGCTGAAACAAGGCAAACCGTCAGAACTTACGCCCCACCCACACAGACGCCGATTAGGACCTAACTACCATTATATACGGTCAAAAAGAGTTATTAGTGGGAGTCCAGTTGGCTAATAAGCGAATTCTATAGCAGTTGGATACGGAGGAAATTTACGCTTAAATAAAAAACAGAGAAAAATAGAAAAAAAAAACACGTGCATGTTTTTTATCGAAATAAAAAAACATTGTTACGTTCAAACCGAGCAGTTCATAAATGCTGTTAGTATTCAGTTACAGAATTATTTTACTGAAAATACGTAACATTGTAAAATAAAGTTAAAAAGAATTATTTTTTTTGTATATAGAACGCATCATACATACAAAATTATAATTTGCACCTACGTTGCAAAACCCAAATACCCAAAGCGACGGTATTTTGAGGCTTTATGGGGGGTATAAATTTATTTGTACGGTAGCTTAGTTTTTTTTTAAAGGTATCTCAATTATTAGCGGTGTAAAGTATGCAAGATGGAACCTTCGAGAGGACGTTGGCAGTCGTGGTGGCGGCTTGGCGGGTGCCTTCGTGCACGTCGTCCATAACTCTGAACAGTTGCGTCCAAATCGTCGGCAGCTGCTCCAGCGAATCGTGGAGGCTTTTCGCGCCCCTGGGAAAAGAAATGAAAAATAACGTTACAAAAACCTTTTTTTTTCTTATTTCCCCTTTCATCCCACCTTTGGGGGGGGTCGGAACAACACGTGGATCGTGTTGTCAATGGTGTTAGCTCAGTTTTTGCCTGAAATCAATGCTCCTTTAGAATAAACACAGATCTGGAACAATTATCTGTGGGTCACACAAATACTTGTCTCAAATGTGAATCGAATCTTCGACCTGTATAGTGTTCACGTAAACATAAGCAATTATTAAAACAAAGATAAAATTTATATGCTTCCAAGATTTTTCGTTTAAATTACATTTTAATAAGAATATTTGAAAGCAAAGTGTGCTGTTATAACATTTAATAATTATAAGACGCATAATTCCGTATCAAAATCGGCGATCTCATAAAAATTACTCGTAAAAGCAAAGTTTTCACCTTAATAGGTCCGCCAAGGCATTGCAACACGACATCCTAACTCGCCACTGGTTTGAGGTTAAATTGGCGACAAGGTCGTCCAATATCTCCTTGTGATATTTGTGAACCTGGAACATACATTTAAAATGCTAGTTAAGAAGTTACTTTAAAACATGAGTACATATTTGGTCGGACGTGTTCGCAGGGGTGTACAGGTTAGTTTGGTCGTCTGCGTGTAGCGGTAAGGAAGTCTTATTTATTATTTTTTGCAACACCTCTAAAAGGGTTACAAGGGGCGGACTTAACGCTTATTGGCATTCTCTGCTTGTCAACCCGGGGCGTGAGGAGAAATCGTGGTAGGGTAAAGGAAGTTGCGGCGAGGGTTCAGGTTAGTCTGGTTAGACAGTACGTAGCGGTAGGGAAGTTGGGCTCACGGTGAGCTGCGTGTTGGGCACTAGCGCGTGCCATATCGCCGCCATCGAGTGCTGGATGCGCGGCGTCGGGTCGAAGCGGTAGCGGTAGAGGCGCGGCACGATGCGGCCCAGCTGCGGGGCGAGCTGCGCGCCGGCCTGCACCGCGATGGAGTGGAAGCCGTACGCGGCGCCTGGAAGGTCGAGAATGTTCTAGAAAGGAATTTGGCTGCGATAGAGCCGTACGCGGCGTCTGGAAGGTCGAGAATGTTCTAGAAAGGAATTTGGCTGCGATAGAGCCGTACGGGGCGCCTGGAAGATCGAGAATGTTCTAGAAAGGGATTTGGCTGCGATAGAGCCGTACGGGGCGCCTGGAAGGTCGAGAATGTTCTAGAAAGGGATTTGGCTGCGATAGAGCCGTACGGGGCGCCTGGAAGGTCGAGAATGTTCTAGAAAGGGATTTGGCTGCGATAGAGCCGTACGGGGCGCCTGGAAGATCGAGAATGTTCTAGAAGGGATTTGGCTGCGATAGAGCCGTACGGGGCGCCTGGAAGGTCGAGAATGTTCTAGAAAGGGATTTGGCTGCGATAGAGCCGTACGGGGCGCCTGGAAGGTCGAGAATGTTCTAGAAAGGGATTTGGCTGCGATAGAGCCGTACGGGGCGCCTGGAAGGTCGAGAATGTTCTAGAAAGGGATTTGGCTGCGATAGAGCCGTACGGGGCGCCTGGAAGGTCGAGAATGTTCTAGAAAGGGATTTGGCTGCGATAGAGCCGTACGGGGCGCCTGGAAGGTCGAGAATGTTCTAGAAAGGGATTTGGCTGCGATAGAGCCGTACGGGGCGCCTGGAAGGTCGAGAATGTTCTAGAAAGGGATTTGGCTGCGATAGAGCCGTACGGGGCGCCTGGAAGGTCGAGAATGTTCTAGAAAGGGATTTGGCTGCGATAGAGCCGTACGGGGCGCCTGGAAGGTCGAGAATGTTCTAGAAAGGGATTTGGCTGCGATAGAGCCGTACGGGGCGCCTGGAAGGTCGAGAATGTTCTAGAAAGGGATTTGGCTGCGATAGAGCCGTACGGGGCGCCTGGAAGGTCGAGAATGTTCTAGAAAGGGATTTGGCTGCGATAGAGCCGTACGGGGCGCCTGGAAGGTCGAGAATGTTCTAGAAAGGGATTTGGCTGCGATAGAGCCGTACGGGGCGCCTGGAAGGTCGAGAATGTTCTAGAAAGGAATTTGGCTGCGATAGAGCCGTACGGGGCGCCTGGAAGGTCGAGAATGTTCTAGAAAGGGATTTGGCTGCGATAGAGCCGTACGGGGCGCCTGGAAGGTCGAGAATGTTCTAGAAAGGGATTTGGCTGCGATAGAGCCGTACGGGGCGCCTGGAAGGTCGAGAATGTTCTAGAAAGGGATTTGGCTGCGATAGAGCCGTACGGGGCGCCTGGAAGGTCGAGAATGTTCTAGAAAGGAATTTGGCTGCGATAGAGCCGTACGCGGCGTCTGGAAGGTCGAGAATGTTCTAGAGAGGGGTTTGGCTGCGGCGGAGCCGTACGCGGCGCCTGATGACTTATTACTTGTCTAATGGACACACTTATGTAACTAATCGCACTTTCGAAGCGAAGTAAAATCGTTCATATAACGCGTCCCCCCCCCCCCCCCCCTACCGTTCCGCTAGCTTAGCGTCATTTCTTCTCTAGCAGTTATAGTTACTCAAAACAATTAAATTGGCATCTCGAATATATTCAATGTATTATTCGTATGATTCTACATTATATGAATATACGTATAACGAAAAAAAAATGACCTTTTTTTGAATTCCACACGGAGTTGTGGTGCGCGAGATGCATAAACTTGTACAACAGGTCGGGCTGATTGAGATCCGAGGCGAGTGCACATAGTTCCTTGTACGTCGATAGATTCCCGCTAAAATCGAAAACAAACTTAATTTGGTCAGTTTTACGCCCGGTTTCTGAAACACTGTTCTTTACCATTATGATCATTAAGAAGATCATTCTGATCAATTCAAAGTTTAACCATCCTTTTCACAGCTCAAATGAAATTTGAAAAGCCCTTTGACAGCAAATTAGTTAACTTCTGCGACGATCAGTGGTTCAGAAACCGGGCATTAATTTTACATAAAGTAAGAATTAAAATTTTATAATAGTTACTAAATTAGTTTAAAATTAGAATTATTATTATGTATTACAAATATGATATAAATATACAGATTGCAGTTTTTTCAATAAGCAAATAATATGAACGAAAGAGAAACAAATTCGAACACACATTCACAACACGTAATCATACAAAAAAAAATAAGTAATTAAGTATCAGCCTATATGGTCCACTGCTGGGCAAAGGCCTCCTCTGTACAGAGGGTATTACGGCACAGTCCACCACGCCAACCCTTTGCGGATTGGCCGACTTCACATATCTTCGAGAAATTTCTTTGTTATTATTTAGAAAATATGCATGTTTCGAAACGACATTCTCTGTCACCACTGAACACGTGATAGATAAGTCAGCACATATAATTAAAAATTTCGTTGGGAGAGCACTGGGATTTGAACTCAGTCCGCTTGAGTATACTCAATTAAAAGAGAACTCCCGGACACTGGAGTTATCACGGCTCTTTATCAGATATAAATGGAAACTTTACGTGCTATTTCATTTCATTTTAATAAAAATACTCAAAAGATATCTATAATACTTCATGGAGTTCCGCGAAAGCTATTACATTTCGGGAAGCGAAATGAAGATAGCAAAGGTATGGTTGATAAGATTAGTAAATCCAACTGCAACCGTTGTTGTGTACAAATTGTAAAGATGCACCCCGAATTTACACTTAAATTATTATAATCACTTCTATTACAATTAACTCAATTCACTAGCTCGAAGCAACTCAAGACCACGTGTTATGTCTATCATTCCAAAACGTCAATTACCGCCAACTAACAACCAAACAGCCATTTATATTGTTGTAGGTGTTGCCACCATAAACCAATAGAAATACTCTAGATTATTAATGCCTACTAAAATATTTATAACCCAATTTTTGTGTTTGCTAATAAAATATATGGAACAAAAAATTATGTTCTACTAGTTCTTAAAAACCCATTATGACAAGTGATTAATGATATATTTCACGATCATACATACATACAAACATATACACTTCCATATAGGAATACCATTGCGTGTGATGCCAGTCAAGGCAGTGTGTTGCTATCACTAAACCAACCCAGTGGGAGCCTTCCCGAGCTGTCCCTCCTCGAAGATCTTGGTGTCCTCAGTGACCTGGGAGACGGATCTCTTGCCGCTGGTCAGTTGGTCTACGATCTCGCCCACTAGCGCCTGTCTGCTGTCCTCGTCTGAATTCTGATACACGAGACTAAGCCCCTTGCTGGCAACGTCTTGAACGATATCTGTTGGGCAAAATCGAAAGAATTTAACATTGTATAGGAAAATTTTGAGTACCCCAAATTATATAAAATAGCCGGGGCCCACTTTATTAAACGGTGGCAACATCAAATCGTCATAAAGTGAATCGCCGACTCGCTTGCCATCTTAGAACATAAAAAGAAACTTGCAATCAATTTTTTTTATGTGAAAAGTTGCCAAGCGAGCAGACGGTTCACCTGATGTTAAGTGAATACTGCTCATAGACATCTGCTACACTCGAGAGTAGCAGATGCGTTGACAACCTTTTGAAAATTGGGCTCCGGCCGCCTCACTCACCAGACGAAACGCGAAAGTATTATACTTCCGCTTTACGCCGGTCTTCTGTGAGGTCGTGGTACTTACCCGGACGAGCCTGCCCATTCGTACAACAGGCGAGACTGCTGCGTGGCCCTACCACCGTAAAGGAATTGCAATCTATCTTCCGATGTCTCTCCCTTAAAAACATTCTAGTCCTGCCCTCAATAAGTGTTAAAATAATAACATTTAGCAAATTTTCTTCAAAAATATTCAGTTTGTAAAAGACTAAAGATCAAACTCACCGCTATTCTCCGAAAGGTAATCCATGAAGACGTTCTGAAGGGTCTGCAGACTTTTCTTGATCGGCTCCCTCTCCGGACAGTTCTTGAGCAGCGCCAGCAGCCAAATACTGGTCGCCTGTGTATTACAGAAAAAACGTATTAGCCCGAAAGGAGTATTATAGGTTGGCAACTGAATGATTGCGAATTTCAGTCATAGATTCTCACTCCCATTTTTATGATATCCGTAAGTTCTATGATCTTCTTAAATATGTTAGCTATCATCCTTACCTAACTTCACAAGTTCATTTATTTACCCCAATAGTAATATGGAGTGCAAACCGAACATTTTCGCCATATTTTGTTTTATTATTTTTGCAATCGAAGTTGTTAATTGTATATAGCCCGGAACTCGCGCTATCGTATTATCACTCATTTCGATCCCTGGAAAACTCTCTTCGTGGCAAAACTTTCAATAAAGACGCTGTAAAATCTCACTTAATTCACTTTTTGGCCGAAAAGGATCAGACTTTCTACGAGCTTGGAATTTTCAGGTTGTCAGATGACAAAAGGTCATCGAACAAAAAGGTAAATAAATTATAGATTAAGCTTCATTCCAAGTTAAAAAAAATATTTTATTCCATTTAACTAATCCGCAATTACTTAGTTGCTTAAATATTATTGGGTTCAAATAAATCTATTTTTGCTTAATACGCTCATGTTTATGTTATTACTATAATCTTTAAAAGTTGTAGAAAAATGGACTAAAAGATTTTCGCCCCAAGCGAGGATCAAACTCGCATCCTCCGCAATCGCGCCCAGACGCTTTACCACTAAGCTAAAAGGCCAATTGCCGCGGTGATGAAATCTCAACGTATTTTATTTACATTATTTTTTTTCTTTCGCATTTAAAGTAATGCTTTGAGCATCTATCATGTCCTATAGAGCACACAAACCATTTGAAATAAAGTTTTACAACAATACTTCAAAATAGTTTCCTTTTAAGAACCAATAGCTTCATCAAGAGATGGACATTAAGAACAAAAATGTACGAGAAGAACGAATTTGGTAAAAATTAAAACATTTGAATGAGGGTTTCATTGTCGCTTAAAAACAAATTAAGTTCTAGTGGACACAGCTAAAGTTAAAAAAGTACCGTTCCCCGAATTCAGGAAATAAAACTATTAATGTAAAATCTTTAATCTTAAAAGCTAAAAATGTTCGATTCACCTGTCTCGAGTGCGGGTGTGGGTGTTTGCCAATTTTGAATAGCTCTTCTAGGAGCCATTGTAGTAATTTATCGTTTTCTTGCAGCGCCTCCCTATCCCTTATCTTTGCTTCACCCTGTAGAAAATAAAAAAAATTGTTCGAAATTTTAAAGCAAACTGGAAGTAGCAAACATCCTCCTACTTAGCACATAACAGAGATAAATTAATAATGTAATACTGGATACTTAATTAGTTCATTTAACTAATTAAACTATTTATATTTTTCATTTGAAGTGACTTCATAATCAATGAAATGTTAAACGTCTTTTAAAGCAACCAATTTTCAATCATCATCAAAATCTTTTTTTTATTATCTCGATCATGGCTCACCTCTCTCGGCAACTCGGTCCAAAGGTCCCGGTTTTCATTTGAATTGACCCCTTCCACGCACAGCACCAGAGATTCTCCGATTTGCAAGTGAATTTCAAATTCTTTGCTCTGAAAGTAATAAGTTCTATACACACTCTAATAACTCTCGTAATAAGTTCTATATACACTCAAAGTCCTTTACAACAAACGTGGGCCCGGCTGCCTCACTCACCAGACGAAACGTGAAACCGTGAGACCGCGCTACTTCACCGGACACGCCTACCCTCAGTGAAACAACAGAAGCTGAGTGGCTCTATCACGGTAATTGTGTATTATTGTAGCAGGTAGATCCTTAATGTGTTTATGGCGAATCACTCACGTCTTTGGCCATCTGGAGGAAGCCCATGACTATCTGCCTCGCGAAGGACAGCCTCTCGCCGCAGCACATCAGCCCGAGCGACTGCAGCGCCCTCTCTTTGACCTTGGAGGGCAGAGTAGGGTTGCCTACGATGCGGAACAGCCTCTCGGCTACCGCGAACTTCGTTACATCGTCTGTGGCTGACGTGAGGGGTGGTGCGTCCTTCTTGTTTATGCTGAACGGGTTGTCCGCTTTGAGGAGCGCCGCTTGGCTCTCACTGCAGTCAGGCAGAGGGAGGGCGCTGCAGCGCACCAGCAGCGATACAGCGCTGACGGAAGCGCTCACTAGCAGAGTCTGCGGGCTCGCTAGGTAGTTCGCTGGAAACGTTTGCACCGTTTGATTATTTATTTGCGCGTATAGCAAACAACAAGTAGGTAGTATAGTAGTAGGTAGAATAGTATACTAAAGTAAAATAAAGTAACAGCATATACAAATTCCTCTGTAAGGTCATAGTCTATAACGCAACCACACTGCGGATCGGACTAGACTTCATATTAATCTTCGAAATATTTTTTGCTACTATTTCGAAAATATGCATGTTTCACACAAACAACGCCATATTATATTTATTCTCTACTATGTAAGGTAAATATTTATGTAAATGAGAAAAAGAAATGGGCCGAGAATCGAGCCCTGGGGAACGCCCAATGATACCATCGACCCGAAAGAACTTGCACCATTAATTACAACCATTTTAACTCTATTATATAAATACGAGTTAATGGGGTCAAGCGCGATCTTATGTCATGGGCAAATACACAGATTCCGACTAATGGTGCGGGGTCGCGTCAACTCACCCAAGCACACGGCGGCCTCCCTGTAGGGCTGCCACTCGGCCGGCCTGAACCCCTTCCCGCCGAACCTGCCCCTCCTGGCCAGGGCGATGCAGCGCTCGCACAGGTTGCTGAAGGCGGCCACGGCGCCGCACTTCGCCTCCAGGGGTTGGTTGCCCTGGGCCTGCGCCACCAGGCCCCTCAGCTCGGCCTCCGCGGTCGGCCTCTCGGCGGTGGCGGCCGTTATGGTGGCGAAGGCCTGGGCCGCGATGTGGCGCACCTCCTCGCGCGTGGTGGTGGCGAACAGGCCGGCGAGGAACGGCAGCAGCCCGCTGTACTTCGGCGCCATCACGTCGGGCACGCAGCCGATTATGTCCAGCAAGCAGGTCAGCGGCATCACCTCTGCGGAATGGGGATTGAAATTTTTATGTCGAAAGAGGCTTAACGAGCAAGCGGGCACCTGATGTTAAGTTATCGCCGCCGCGTGTACGTCTACAGCACCCGACGGGTTGCTAATGCGTTGCCAACCTTAACACATATTTTTACTTCACACCGGTCTTCTGTGAGGCAGGACAACCCTACCCATTCGTGCAACAGCAGAAGTGTACCTCTCACAGTGCAATTGATTGATCATATCCATTTTCAACTAAGTCTTGATATCTGTGCACTTTTATGACACCCATACAACCTGAATAGTGTCCAATCGTTCATGAAAAGGTCATGATGATCAAATATCTTTTTCATTTATATATCTTTAAAATTCACATTTTATTACTTTTAGTTTGTACTTGAAAGTTGTGATACATAATACGGGTGCAATATGCTGTATATACGAAACTCAAAATACAAAAATAATAAATAAAAATCTTATGGATGCGGTATATTTATAGTGTATAAGAATTTTTACTATACGCCTACTGTACAATACTTTTATTGTATATTAATTTATGAATGTATCTATAATACAGTATTAATACTATATAAGTGAATAAATAGTAATGTATTTGAAATGGATTTTAACTGTTTATGACCAATTTATTTGAATAAATTATTGACAAACATACCGGGACAAGCGCTCAGAAGGGTCGTAATCATGGTAAGATAACGTTCCAGCACCTCGCTGTCTAGAAGTTTCTCGCGGATGTACGTTGCGAGGAGTGGCGAAGTAGCATTGGGGTGGTTCGAGCAATCCTTCAAGTCCGCATCACGATTCAGGCACATTCTCATATACCTTAATATCTGGAAGAAATGCATTTATTTATCAGTTCCCTTAATTACCTATTTAAAAAGACAGACTTTACCACAATGGGAAGGATGTTTACACAAAATGCAGCTGAGGATGATTCCATGTTGTTAAATACTTACTAATCATTCCTAATATTATAAAGGCGAAAGTTTGTATGTATGGATGGATGTTTGTTACTCTTTCACGCAAATACTAGTGAACGGATTCTAATGAAATTTTATAATAATATAGGTTATACATCAGAACAAGACATAGGCTATAATTTCCATACATATTTATGCACATCTGTCTCTCTGTCTCAAAGTTAAAGCTATTCTGCAGCAGCAGCTAGTATTAATATACATTTCGTTTCAAGCTTATTCGGTACAATATAAGTTATTTATTACCCGATACATCTAATTTTCAATGAGGCAACATACCTCCTGATAGGTCCTCGGGTGGAACTGCAGCACCTGATTGCCGATGACGTATCTGTGCTTCGAGTTGGAGCCCTTCTTGCGCTTCTGTATCTGCTCCCACACGTAGTTCACCACGTCCCCGAAGTTGGGCGCCTTCAGTTGCGCCTCGGTCGCGCCGTCCTTGTCCCTCTTGGGCGCGCCCTCGCCCAAGTCCACAGCGGCCGTCTCCCTCTTCTGCACGTTGTTCACCACGTCCTCGATCTCGCTGGGCCGCGACGTCCCGTACAGGCACCTCTGCGCCTCCGTCACTATGTCGTCCTGGCTGCGATCGGAAATTATGTCATGGTAACGTAGTCTATTGCTTTGGATTCAACACCGTTTATACAGATTAAATAATCTTATTCAAAGATAGATATTTCGTTATATTGGCCGGGCAAGGCGTAAATACGCCCATGGAGTTAATTACGCAGTGCACAGTTATAGGTATTAAATACTTTTGAATTAAGAAAATAAAAACTTCTTGTTTTCAGATATTATAACGGTGCAACCAGAAGCTCAATAACGAAAAATAAAATTGACGGTGGTTGTACATAATAAAGCATACAAGCAAATACATAAGAACCGCAACTGCGTATGGTATAATTTTGTAGGCACTTAGCGCATCAACAGGTATCGATATCAAAAGGTACCGCCTTGCAGTGAAGCTGAGAAATCCCCTCCCATTCGCAGTCTAAATCGCATCCCGTGTCACTACACTACAGTCACGTTATTAGATTAAGTTATTAGATTTAATATATTCTAAATATTCAGCGGTTCTACTAACTGAAAACTCGAATTTTGCGCTCGCCAGTACTTGATTGTGGAGTAAATTTCACTCGGCACATTTAATTTTTTTTACATTTTTTGCATTACCTGTCACCGCTAGCGAGAAGTAAAAGGTAGCGGGACGGCATGTAGTCCTGAGGGAACACGACGGACGAATAGCGCATTGCGATGTACCGTATCATCGAGTCGTCGCTGTGCATGTAACTGAAACATTAAATGTTTTTAAGAGAGACTAGAGGTTAACAGTGGTAGAGCCATGCAACACTTACGGCTGCTGCATGAATGGGCAGGTCCGTGTGTAAGTGCCACAAACTCGCTAAAGTCTGGCGGGAAGTGGAAATATTTCACTTCTGCGTTTCGTCCGGTGAGTGAGGTAGCCGGGGCCTACTTTATTATAAGGTGGGATCTGCAGCCCTTCGGGTGTTGTAAATTTCCATGGGCGGCGGTGATCGCTTAACATCAGGTGAACCGCCAGCTCGGTTACCACCTTTTCACATAAAATAGAAGTCGCTAAATCGGAAAAATACTTTTTTCGATTTAGCGATTGAGAAACTTCAATGTAGTGTAAACATACATACATATATAAAGACATAATTAAGTATTATGAACGTCGTCAATATTGTGTGTTGAAGGCTGCACAGGGGTCGTGTGACGGACAGTGAGACATTACATGCTGTAACTTTTTGGTCAGAGAGCAGAGGGCGCAGTTATCATTACAATTTACCAATACTTGGAGTTTGATCACCTTGTACCTAGACCCCCGGACGGGTATCGAACCGGCAACATGATGCACTTAAACCATAACGTAAAACATGTCCAAAATATCCTCGAGAAATGTAAATATCGTCGAGACTGTGTTTGACATTTTTATTAATCACTAGCGACCCGTCCCGGCGTCGCACGGGTGAAATGTATTAAACATATAAACCTTCGTCTTGAATCACTTTATCTAGTAAAAAAAAGCGCATCAAGATCCTTTGCGTAGTTTTAAAGATCTAAGCATACATAGAGACAGACAGAGAGCAGGACGACTTTGTTTTATAACATGTAGTGATAATGCGTACTTTGAATCATCGAGAGAGTTTCGCTACTGTCGGTATATGGTTTTCTCACGAGCATTTTGAAACTGTATAATACTGACTGGTCCAAGAGTGCGAACAGGGCCAGAGCCTGCGGCTCGTCGAACGGATTGGGACGCGATTTCTTGACCTCCGTCGCTCCGTCGACCTCCATCGCGCCCTGCGAAGTGCCGGCCCCCTCGGACGTGTCCATCGGCTCCCCCTTATCTGGAATCCCACTCTCATCTGCACTCGGAGAGCTCAATTAGGGGGCGAATGAAGCGCATTCCATTTGGATGAAATTTACGAGGCAAGTACACTACGCCGATTTCTCTACTCATGCAATCAACTGCTGAGCTCTAAACAAGCACTTCTCGACACAAGATCGAAATAAGCCTTCTACCGCACCATCATCAGACCTGCTGTGACCTATCCATGTGAAAAATGGACCCTGACCCAGAAGAAAGAATAGAAAATTGCAGTGTTCGAGAGTTAAGTGTAAAGTGTACGAGCCAGTGAATGACTTTGACGGGGCCTACCGTCAGCGAATAAACCATCAACTGGACTCACTTATCGACGAGGCGATCGCAGGCTTTGAAAGTCACAGCGGTTAAGACGGGCGGACCATCTTGAGAGAATGCCGGAAACGAGAGCAGCGAAAGTACAAGGTACAGGCCTAAAAAGCTTCGGATCGACTGTGTGGAGGAAGATTTGAGGAAAATAGGAAGTTCACAAACTAGAGTAGGACAGCCACCAAGCTTCGAGACAAATGGAGGGATATTGAAGAAGAGGCCAAGAACCACACAGGGTTGTAACGCCGACGGAAAAAGAAAAAGAAGAAGAAGAACACTAGAAAACGGTCACAGGCCTACATTTAGTTTTGTAGATTACTATTCTCCTTAAATGAAGTCTTTTATTTCATGTTGTGTTTACTCTTAATTTAAATGCATATACACAATGTAAAATTTCATTTTCAGTGCATAGCATCACAAAAATAATTGTTTTTTTAAGCATTACGGTAAGCCTAAGGTAAATGAATAAATACCAAATGCAACCCAAAATGTTACCTTCACTCCGCATGGTGTAGGCGACGGACATGTCCAGTAAGGCGTCGCGGAGTGCCGTTTTCATCTCGGGCAGGGCTTCGGGGATCTTCTTGACCAGTTCCTCCAGCAATGAGAACTGCCTGTTTATACTCTCCGGACATTTCACCGCCAGACGCCCTGCGCAATAACATTAGTGTGTTCGGTTGAAAACTGAAAAGATGCTGACAAAGTTCATCATACAAAGAAGTAACGGGATGAAGTTAAGTCTCAGGTACCACACCACGATCTGTTTTTCATACACAAATCCTGCGACTAAGGACGCTGAAGCCGCTAGTTTAGTCACACAGAGTTAAGTCACACTAAGCTACATATGCTTCACCCAAAGACATGTTTACATGTGAACTGTGGTAGGGACACGCAACAGCTGCGGCTGTTGCACGAATGGGCACGTCCGTCCGGATAAGTACCACGAGTTCACAGAAGACCGGCGTGAAGTGGAAGTGTTATCTTCTGCGTTTCGTCTGATAAGTGAGGTAGGACCAGGTACCGACATTACAGTTGTTGCAAAGGTGAACAGCCACCTTCTCAAATTAAAAAAAATGAGAAACACCCACACCCCAACACACCTTCAAATACACCGTCATACAGAACAAAGCTAAAAACACTCACCTAAACACATGTAAGCCTTGGAATGCTGTTCAGTGTACTCCTCGGACCTGACTAGTTTCAGCAAGCCCTGAAGGAACACCGTTGCCACCTTCTTCAGCTGCACCAGATCGCCGCTGCGAAAGATAGAGAAATGACCAATGTAAGTAACGAGACTAACAGGTTATTCACAAGTAGGTGAGCAAGTAAAAGAAGACTGACATAGTAATTTGGCCAGAACCATCTTATATGAAAATAACGATATAATGCATCCTACCTTAACGTATATGAGACAAATTATGAATATTTTTTTAATTACTTAAATTAATAACCATTAATCAGACGCAGAACAAAATCGGTAAATGACGACTTTTAGTGTAGCTCTGAGTTATTTATTGAAATTTACCAACTGGTCGAAATTCGACCATAAACCACTTGCTTGTATATCAACTTCTTTTAGAAAATAAAAAGAAGGAAGAGTACTCCCACGTCAATATTAAGAATAAAAGACATTTCTTCATTTGCAATGTCTTTTAAGAGAGACAAATAGAAAAATATGGTTATTATCCGATATTTATGTAGTATTTCATTAAAAAATTATAAATTACTCACTTGTTGATGACATTCAATAAAAACATCAAAGCCATGTTACGCAGACGGGAGTTTGTGTTTGGATCAAAAAGCGACGAGAATACAACCTGAAAAATATTAATCAGCTATATTTCTGGAATTCGGACTGGAATTAATTATTATACTGTTTAATTTCTGGCGTTTCCACGGGTTACGGGAAGACATTATTAAACTATGTACAATAGGGAAACCTTTGAATATATTACCTGTACACAGTGGGGGAACATGATTGCTGGACCTGTAGCTTTGTTCAGATATTGAATCAACTTCAAACGCAGTCTGGTACAGGCAGGTACCTGAATTAAAAGGATGGACACACAATATGGATATATCTTTTCAAATCAAATAAATAAATATTTAAGGACACATTTTTACACAACATTCTCTAGCCCCAAACAAAGCCAACCTTGTACTATGGGTACTAGAAAACTGATAAACATACTTTTCTTTTGTAAATAAATACATATTATACAAATATTAACACCCAGACACTAGAAAAATACTATGTTCATCACACAATATTTATGCAGTTGTGGGGATCGAACCCACACCCTCTGGCGCAGGAGGCAGGTATACTACCCACAACGCCATTCGGGTCGTCAAATCGTCAATCACAATTACTACAAGACTTGTAAAACCAGCCAAGTGCGAGTCGGACGCGCACGAAGGGTCCCGTACCATTAACTATAAAGACGCCAATGAAATCATGTCAGTTCTATGGGATCCTCACTAATTTTCATTTGATTCTGTTCTTCAGTACTCATTGTTATAGCGGCAACAGAAATCTAACAATGACAGTTCATGAGATATAGTGTAATGACGGACGGACGGACGAACAGACAGACAGCGTAGTCTAAGTAATAGGGTCCGGTTTTACCTTTTGGATATGGAAACCTAAAAAACTAAATTAAATTAATGTTGACATTTCACCGTGTCAAAATAAATAATTGAGATGGCTGTCTGGGAGAAATTGCTTTCAAAGAGACATTACATACATTTTACACTAGTTTATATTATGTACCTATACATGTTTTTAGTGTCCAATAAAAAAAATATTTATTGATTGCTTGATTAAGTAAGTGAATTTATAACAAGTTAATGCTGCTTTGAAAACAGTTGTTGTGTAAAATTCACACAAAATTATTGTGGTTTTCTTACTGCGTACCTTGCGGTCATCTGGAGGCACCTTTAAACCACCCCAAGTTCCCAAGTACAGAGAGTAAAGGGGTCCAACTACGCTCGGCTGTGACCAATCCACAGAGCTGTGTTGAAAAATAATATGCCATTCATTTTTAAAGAACCAAAAAGCTTTGCAGCTTCATCACATATTGCCAACAATGAAAAAATAATAAACAGGTTATTTGCATTATAGCAATATTAGTTTTGTGAAAGCTATCAGTAAACACTGAACATTATCAGTTTGTCACAACTTACACTTACTTTCTGATAGAGGAAGGCTAAGGGAAGGTGTTAACACATTGCAACCCATCTTGTCTCTTTATAAAAACTATTTGGTTAGATCGCTTTCCAATATTTTTTCCATACCTGTTAACTCTTATTAGAGGGCTGTTTGCATGATTGGCAACACTAAAGCGCGAATCAGCCGCAGCTACAATTAACGTCAATAGTATGTCATTCATATTGAATATATCTTTGCTAATGAAATTTACTATGGACAGCTTCATCTGCGAATGAAAAAGAATCATATTTTATATTTTAGGTCATATTTAAAATTGATTACACATAATATTGACTTAACACACTATCTTGGCAAAAATCTACCATGAATGCCATTATTTAAACAATAAACACTAGTCCAAAAATAGGCTACCTCTTCCAGCTGATTAGGATTTAATTGATGTTTATCCACAATCCTTTTGTAAGTCTTCATGCTCATGCCAGGCGGAACCTGAAATTCACTTTCACCAGAATTGGGCAGAGCTCTGCAAAAAAATTATACATATATATATTAATATTCTTGCTCCAATAGGGTTCATGGTATTTGTTTGACTGGCAAATTATTTTATTATAAATTAAAAAAAATACATCATAAAATGAATAAACATCCATTTTGTTCACGGTACATTTGTTTCATTAAGAATTTTAATATGTAGATTTTTTTTTAAAACTAAAATAAGTGTTCATTATTAAACTTTTTGTTGAAAATTGTTAATTATTCTTTGTTTTCAGACAAAAATTATTAAAAAAAGGTCAGTAATTATACCTGTAGGGTAAAAGTAGCACATCCAAAGAAAACTTCAATATTAAAGAAGATACTTTGGGTTTTTCTTTTAAATTTAGATCCTTTTCTTTTATATCACCCAATAGTGGCATCAGAAGCATTAAGATCCTGAAATTAATTTAATACAATGTTCAATTCTGATACAAATTGGACAGACAATTTGTGTTGAATAATCTTTTCTGTTCACACGAAATATTAATAAATTTTTGTATTTTACTCTAACATAGAAAATCATTATCAAAGCATATTTTTCTCTTTTTGCCACAACTTTGTAAAATAGTGTCATGTATTTATTTTTATTATCCACTCAACTTTAAAGAAAAATAAGTGATAAAAAAGGAGCAATATACCCATCCTGGTGCCCTTGAGGTCTGTTTTCAATAGCCTCTAACAAGGACGGTCCCAAAGTTAGTTGCTTGTCACGGGGTAATCTTGGAAATCCCATTGTTATGTATATGATAGTAAAATTCTGCAAAACTCATACATTTGAATAAACTAACACCCAAAGAAACATAAATATCTTTCAGTTATTAAATTTTAAAGTGGATACCATGTAATAAATTATATGTAAACAAAGTCAATGCAATAAATGCTAATTTCAGAAAAGCAAAAATCAATTATTTTGGATTATAAACAATTATGGTGTAATTAATCACCACCGATTATGCCAGTAACAGGTGGACTTAGCAAGTCAAAATTAAAACCAGATACTGAGGTCTATACTCCATATTAGGTGTATAAAAATCAATGTCCTGAGTCATATAAAAATATAAAACTATATGCACAAATTTAAATTTTCGCAAAAACTTGTGAGTACCAAAATTATGTGTGTTACATACAAGATGCAACACACTTTTGGCGCACTTCTAGTATATATGTATATATACTAGATGAAGAATGTTACATACTAAATGTTTATAACAAAAATCTTTAAATAAATTAATATAAGCAAAATTTTAATGACAAAATGTTATCAAAAAGAATAAAATTTACATTTGAATACTCACAATAATAAAGCTATTGGCAGTAGGGTCCCTATATAGCTGCAATAAGGTTTCCACAGGTAGCTGGACATCAGCACGACACTTCACTCGCTTATTTACATGCACTAACAACTCCATTACTTTAGTGCGAACCTTGATGGATAATAAAAAAATATTTAATAATATTATTAAGATAGAACCTACAATAAAATACAATGGCAAATGTTCAGTACATTGATGCGTGCATATTGTAAGAAAAAAATATTTTTAATGATACAGAAAAATCACTAATGAATTAATAAACAAGCAGAATTTTCCAGTCACTTATAGTTTTCGAGAAAAAAATATTTAGAACTTTAAAACTCGTTCCCTTAGAAAGTCCACCATTTTAATAATTTGACTTCAATAACTGAATACACAGTCCTGCCAACATGATAAATATAGGATGGAGGCGACATCATACTTGTATCAATTATTAGAAGAAATTTTTTTTTCTATAAATTTAATGATGCACAAAACCAGCACTGAGCAATTAGGCTCGGACAGGTTAGGTAAGAAAGTTATATTATTTTCCATTGTGGTAATTTTTTTTATGACCACCCAGAAATAGGGCTGACATAGTGAAGAATGTGGTGGGCAGCATCATGTTCACACTGCCTGCGACCGCAAGCAGTGGATGAGAACCTCATGTGATAAGGTACATGAGGGACCAAGCAAGAAGTGAGAGAGAGAAATAAGAGCAGTATCAACATATTGACATCAACAAATTAGCTATATTTCTATAGTGAAATTTTTACTATTTCGTTATTTTTAATCTTGTAAACTATAGTGAACAGAGAATTCTGCTTGTTGATAAATTTATTAGTGATTTTGCTCTATTGTTTAAAAATATTTTCAAATGCAATATGCTCTCGTCCATGTGCTGAAAATTTACCATTACAATTTAAGAAGTTAATATTATTATTATTCAATAAAAATGACACCAAATTTGTTATTGATATTATGTGCCTCTTTATTTTACAAGTTAATAAACGACTTTTTAACTGCTTAATATCGGATTAGATTTTAATACAAATGCAGAACACCGAAAATTCTGAAATTTAATATTTAAAATAGTGCATTATAGTAGACAGTTTCCTCCTGGCTTACCTGTTCAAAAGGCGAAGATAGCTTAAGAATTACAGGAGGCAAAAATCTGTTAAGGCAACTTTCTAGCTGTTCATCTGTGTCAGCGTTACCTAGCCTTAAGAAAACCCGATCAAGAAGAACTGTGAGCAAAACAAACAGCCATTTACAATTGGTAGTTTAAGTAGTAAAAATTAAAATATTTTGACGAAATGTATGTGAAATTACTCACGTAAATCATTTGAGCAGTCATTACTGCTTTCTGATACTTCCATTTCAGACATATTTTAGCATTTACAAGCAAAATTTTTATGAGTAATAGGTAGGAAATATGTATACACAATGACAGACAAAAACCTCACTGACGTTTAGATTTGATTGACGTCTTGTTTATTCGTACAACTTTTTAATTTCATCTCAAAGATCACCTATAAATGACCTATAAGCCTCATATTTAGTGGAAGTCGAAATATTATTTTTATTTTAAATGAATAACATGTTTGCCCTCCACGCCCTTCAGCGGTGTCAAATTGACTGTCGGTATATCGAGGTGCTGAGGTGCTTGTTTATCAACAACAATAACATGTCCATCCAAGTACAGTCCACTAATACAAAACCTATCCAAATGCAGAAGGTTGTAAGACAGGGTGATGTCATATCCCCGAAACTCTTCACCGCTGCGTTGGAAGACGTTTTCAAGCTTTTGGACAAAAAAGTACGAGGTACATCAATGGCGAATACATCACCCACCTTAGATTTGCCGATGACATAGTCATCATGGCAGAATCGCTAGAGGAACTTGGTACTATGCTCAATCACATCAACGGTGCCTCCCAACGGGTCCCACTGCTGGCCATATTAAGAAGCTCAAAGTCGCTCAGCGAGCTATGGAGCCGGCTATGCTCGGTATTTCTCTGCGTGATAGAGTTCGTAACGAAGACATCCGCAGTAGAACAAGGTAACCGACATAGTTCAGAGGATTAACAAACTAAAATGGCGATGGGCCGGCCATATAGCTCGTAGAGTTGATAACCGTTGGGGAAGAAAGGTACTCGAGTGGCAGCCTCGTACTGGCCATCGCAGTGTAGAACGACCCTCCACTAGATGGAGTTACGACCTGTGCAAATGTGGTCAGCAGTGGACTCAAACAGGCTGAAATGATGATGACGATGAACATGTCTGCATAAATAAGTTTTATGAATGTGTCACCTCAATAGCCCGTAGGTGACACTCCTTAACTAACACACGCATGAGCTCATGCGCGGCTCTACTAACTGTGCAGGGCCTCAAACCCGTGGGTTCTGGCTAGCCCACTGGTTCTGCGTTCGTTGAAGCTTTACTAGTCTCGGGACTGAAAGCGTTAACATCAGTTAACAAAAAATGAATGAGTCGTTGCTTACAGTGCGTAAAATATTTTTGTATACATTTATAATGAATACAGACTTAAATTTAATTTGAATATTTTATACATAGTTTCGGAAACCTCGGCGCTTATAGCAATATCTCCAAAAGAATTCATTCCAATACGTTGCCGGTAAACGCAATTGGCAGTGTCGCTTTCTTCAAAGAACTACTATAGGACAGACAATAATTTTTGATATCGCAAAGTTTTTTGATAATTTTGGCACAATGGTAAGGGGCCACACTCAATGTGCCAGGGCTCATTCACACAATGCATATCTTATCGATTGGTTTTCGATGGATTCCTTGATCTGGCAATATTTTTGTCTGATTACTTTGTCTGAATACCTAAGGGTTCACGTTGCTTTATATATTAGCCACCTTATTATAACGACTTTATAGCCGCAGCTGTTTAACTCACCAAACGAAACACATATAACACTTCCACTTAACGCCGGTCCTCTGTGAGGACGTGGATTCCCCGGACGGAAATGTCCATTCGTGCAATAGCGAAGATTGTTTTTTGGCCTTATTACATTTAGATAAGATTCAATACAAATGTCATCGCATCATCACTAGTGCAATGAATACTTCTCCAATTAATGCCCTTCAAGTGGAGTGTGACGAACCACCACTCTTCGTTTTTCTCATGATTACTGGGATTCTTCAAATTACTGGTGATGTATTTTCAAATTACTGGTGATGTATTTTCATGCATAGTCAACTTCTTATTTGATATTTCCTTTTGAGGCCATTATCCACCAACTTGATGTATGATGTTTACTTGGGGATTGGGATGCGCAGCGGCGAATTCGAAGTATCGGAGCGACGCCGACTTTAGGTATGGAGCGATGGTGTGCAACTCTAAATAGATATGTAGGTCGATGTTGCGCATTAACCAAGGTCCTCCCGTAGCCCTGCGCAAAAATCGACTTTGGATGACTTGCCTTATATAGACACCTTGTAAGTGAAGGAACATTTTTGACGTTTTGTTAAGAAGCGTATAGAGACGACAGAGTACGTAGGGCGCCCGGGTCTTGATGCGAGTTACGTGCTAACTAATTCTAAGTTTTGAGTCAAGGACTACACCTAGGTAGTAATAATTGTTTTAGTTTGGGGAGCGGCTAGTTCTGAGGGCCCAAGCCGAAGTAAAAGTGGTCGGTGATCAGAGTGAAGCTCGTAGATCACTTCAGGATCGCGTATGGAGAGATCGATATTTTTGACGATTGCTATATTTATTTATTTATTTATTTAAGATATGGAAGACTTACAGTTATTCAAACCTAATTAATACTAAACTAGACGACAAACAGCCAATAACAAGCTTCACTTATAGAAATATTATAGTCGGAGAGCAGACAAGTACTGTAGCTGGCTAATTTGGTAAATTAAAAAATTACAAATAAACATTACTAGTTAAATTTATAAGACTACCGAACCTATATATCATTCTTAAAAAATTAAGGCTTAAGCACCTTCTTGCCAATGACACCCAATATCGAACACATCCGATGAGTGTCCCTCGATATAAGGAAAGTTAGTGTGTTCAACGGCGGCTACGACTTCAAAGTCGAGCTGGTCGGATAGAAATATACGTCAATATCCTGAATTTAGCCGACGTCTAATAATATTTGAAACTTTTACAAAGGATAAATTGTACTGTAATTATAAAATTAATTGTACTTAGAGTGTTTAAATTTCTTCATGTACAATCTTTTTCTTTTCTTTTTTGGTAACTTTTTAGATTTCTTGTAATTGATAATTGTTTGTTAACTTCAGGATCATACAAGTCTCACCCTGATGGTTTAATAGTATTGGTATTTCGAATTTTCATGGCATTGGCTTGAAGGTCTTGTTACCAGGCCATACAATCTTTATTAAAAAAAGTATTAACGATCGTGTACGCATATAAAGCTAAACACTCAACCGGAATTGCTTTAAAAAATATATCGAAATTGACACGAATTAGATAGTCGAAAATAAATATCGAATATATCTATATAGCTAAATAAAATTGTAGTGTCTGTTTGTAATATTAAAATAACCGCTTTTTACTAAATGCATATGGATGTATACACGATATAAGATAGCTGATGTAATAAGGGGTAACTTAGGCTATTTTTATATTAGATTTATTTTTATTTTAAATTCCACGCGGACGAAGTCGCGGACACATCGGGAAAAAAAATATCGACAATATATATCGATACTTATTTGAAAAATATCGATATTTTTATGTATCGATATTTCTTGTCCATGCCTATTCGGCATACTTATCCCTACTCTTTGCCCATGCCTATCCGAATCTGAAACTTTTGGCCATTAAAAGCTGAAGTACTCTTTGCTGGTTAGTTAGAAATTAGAAACATTCCTAATAAAAATAATTTAATATTTTGATCATAGAATAGAACTCTTTTTAGTAACAACATACTCATTTGGAATTTTGTTTTTGTGAATTTGCGGCTATTCATTCTCTTGTTACACCTGAAAATGAACTTGACCCGAGAAAATGTTCGGTCCATGATTTATTACGACTCTCGATGTGGACTTACTCAAAAACAAAGCTATGATAGACTTCGATTGGCATTTAATGATGAAGCCCCATCCCGTACCACTGTTATAGTTGGTTTAATGCGTTTAAGCGTGGGCGTAGCAGCCTCGGTGACGATTTTCGTGGTGGCCGCCCATCAACAGCGATAACTAAAGACATCATTGCTGTGCGACGCATGATAGAGAAAGATCAGCGAGTGACCTACATTCAGATTTGGACAAGCTTAGGCATTGGTATGAGTCAAGTAAAAAAAATATTACACGACTATTTAGGCGTCAAGAAGCTTGGTACCCGATAGATTCCTCATACTTTGGCCAAAGACAAGAAATGCCCTCGCATGGATTAATATCGCGAAATTCTAGAAAACTTCGGAAATGACTTAAATACTGTATTTGACTGCGTCACTGATGATGACAGCTGGATATATTCCCACGAACTCTAAAAAGACAATTTGCTAAGAGGGCGTTTCCTTTTGAGGATCGGCCAACTAAAGTATATAAAGGAAGGTCTATGATCGGAAAGCCAATAGCGTGACGGCCCGAGCCGAGCCCCGTGAGCCCTCGAGCTTAGTCACCATAACGCGTAATAATAATACGCCGAAGTTCAGACTAGGCGCCTCGTGCGCCAGGCCACCTCAAGCCCGTCGGAACTATAAAGGGCCCTAAGGCCAACAGTGGCTCATACAGCCCAAAAAAAAATAATAATAATCGGAAAGCTCATTTGGCGATACTTGTTCTGGTAGACGGAAGGAGTGTTAACTGTTGTCTTACAAAATGTTCGACAAATAAGGAAGAATAGGTTCACTGCTTTTCTCAGTGGTTCCACCGGTTGCGTAGGTATAGAGGAAAACGGAGACTATTCCCAACAACAATAAAAGTATTGACAACTTTTAACATTGAACCGTTTTTTGATTTTCTAATAAAATTAAGCGGAACAATTAGCGGAACGGTAAAAAAACGGCGGTATACGAAAATATTGATGTATAAAAAGACGAAAAATAATAAACATCTTATAACATTGACTAACTTTTAATTAAATAAGAATTATAAAAAAAACAACACAATTTTCTCTCTTTTGTGGGAACACAAACAATGTTATTTAAGATTACTAAGATTTTACTATTAAATAAATGAAAGACTAATAATGTGTTACCTCCTCTGCTCTAACTACCGTTCCATCCTTCTGGGCATGCTGTGAATTATATTACTACCTATTGTATCTTGGGACAAGCTCTGCCACTCAAAAAGTAATGTGTTTTCTTTAACAAGTCCCAAACATGCTCTATAGGACCATATTCGGGATCCTGTGGGCCACTGCATCACTGTAATACCCACATGGTTTAGATATATCATAGATGCCCGAGCATTGTCCTGCATCTGAATAAAGCGGTCATTTTTATAGGGGGCAAATGGTACAATGTATTCTTCTAAAATGTCACTGATGTACCTATCAACAGATTCTATATCGTCTCGATAGAAGGTCAATACCTTCACTAACTCCTCCAAACAAGCTCCGAATCCCCACCCCGTACTTATTTTCAAAAGTACCCCGTATTTTAAAAATTAGTCTGAATGCATCTTTCTTCTTTTCGTCTACATATTCTCGATCGATCGAATACTTTAGTAATAAATTCTAAATTAATAATCAATTTTTATAAATCAAAGGACATACCTGCATGGAACATACATAAAAATTACCACGGCGCGCATCAGTATAGGACTAGCACAAGAGTTAAACCTTAACGTCGTTTCAAATATCTAGGCATGGGATGTCGAAAAAATATCAATATATAAGTACCTGGTTTTTATCTCCGACATTTTATTTGGTCAATTCAACATTTTATTCAGTAATTTGGCTATAAAAATGTCAAAAATATGTCATCATATTATTGTATCGTTGGAGACAGTTCAGTAATTCATGAAATAGACATTCTTTCGCATGAGGCATTTGACATCTTTTTCTCGGTCGTTCCCTTACTGCTGAGGATAATGAATCATATTCAATTGGTTAACGAGCTGTCTCCATCGGTTTCGTTCTGTCTCTTGGTGAAGTGTGTTGCTTAAGGGAATTTCTAGGTTTTCAGAAATTTCCTTCCGCCCGCCCCTTATCATTATCGGACAACTAGGCGTTCGGCGGGGCTCCTCCCTTTGCTGTCGTAGTTCCACGCACAAGAACAAAGCGATTCGCTTCATCATTTATCTTCCGTACAGCTAAGGAATAGAACAACTTGCCGGTGTCGGTCTGTCCGTCCGATTACAACCTAGGCGTCTTCAAGATAAGAGTGAATAGGTTTTTACTGAGCTAGCGCGCTTACCATCAAAGGCTGCATCGCCACTTACCATCAGGTGGGATGGAGGTCAAGTGCTGGCCAGTTTTGAATAAAAAAAAATTTAAAGCAACAAAATTCTAGCCCTACCATAGTAGCAGTTGAGGGAGGATCCTACTGATGCATGGATTAATTTAAAATGACTTCTTCCGTCATTTTAACTCTACAATAAAAATAATAAATGATAAAGAAACAAAAACATGTTAAAAACCGATTTTATAATATTTTAATTTCCGAATTGAGCTAAAATATATTAGAAGTTTTGACATTTCAAAATTTATGTTAACTCTAACATCCCCTCGAGTAAATATCACATAGGTAAAAAAAACGCGCATTTAGATTTGTTTACCATCTACTGCATATTAAAATATTTTCGCAACAATTTCCTTAATTGTTTTTTAAAATTAACATACTATTAATCACCATAAAAATAATTCACACCACAATGAAACATCTATGTAAAAGGTTTAAAACAATAGGGCTTGACTTTTGTACAAATATCATATTTATATTATAGGAAATACTTAATACATGTATATATATATTTAGTATTATATTATATAATACTAATAACATGTATTACAACAATGTATCAAAAATTTACTTTTTTGGCGAGATATTTTCAATTAAAACCAAGAAATCACTTTCATTGTACCAAATTTTTATGTCACAGCACACTTAGTTTTATTTGGATTAAAAAAACTATAATAACCTCGCACTGGCATCTAGTTTGTAAAACAGATGTAAGCAAGTTCATATTTTCTGCATAAGAAAATCTTTAGGAATGTTTGATTGACCAGCCGAATAAAATAATGTTACATTAATGTGCTTGCATTTGACTCTTCAAGTAAAAAAACCTACATATTAATTAATGGTGATAAAATTCACATTTTTGTCTTTAACCAAACCTAAACATTGTTAAAAATGTTAATGGTTTGATTTTAAATACATATGACTCAATTTGTCACAAATATGTTTTTTTGGCTCAACATTGTGAACACAAACATAAAATTTTGAAGACACTATTATTCAATTCCATGGGCAAATATCATCACTAGACCAGGTTCAACCATCATATGTTCATCCACATGTGTGTTATCACATTGCAAAACCAAAACTGCCTGCTTTCCTGGCACCCTTTTGCAGACATATTTTTCATATAACCTGAAAAAAGTATTGAAAATGAGGAGTTTGAATGTTCTTAAAGTAATTGCTTCAAATAATCAATGTTTAAAATAATAATTAATTGAATGTTCTTTAAATTGCTTGCTATTTGTCTGCTGTATAGCCATTAAAGAAGGTTATTGCAGATAAATCCGCTTAGACAGTTTTGTGTTTGTAGATATGTAGTCATCAGATAAATAAACAAACACTCTTATAAATATGTCCTACTGCTGAGCAGTGGTCTGTGCAAAGAGTATTAAGGCAAAGCTCCCCGAATCCATGAACATGGACCAGATGAAGATCATGTCTAGTGTTCATATGTATAATACATTGCACACGTCCATTTAAAATGTATACATTCACGGAAAACTTACAAATTAATCTATATAAAAACGCTAACGCAATAAACTAAACTCTTGCAAAAAATAAAATAATCCTCTTAATTTATTATGAATTTTTCTTTACTTTGTTTATTTTGTAATATTCAAAATCTGTTAAACGATTGCAATGAAAGGAAATAACATAAAAAGCGAGCGATTATGGTTCCTGTTAATATTATAATTATATAAAAATGTAAAATTTATAAAAACCTTTAGGTAATCTATACAATAAAATTATTCTAGCTCATCTTTTAATCTCAGTATTTAACAACTTAAAAAAAAAATCGATAATTGTTATAATATCACGATTTTTATTGAGTTCACATCGCAACTCTAATATTTTCAGTCAGCTTTAGAGGTTCGGCGAACTGGTGAAAGCACAGATCCTAAACGCATTATTTCAACTATACATTTCAATTACAAGTTTACTTTGGAAACGCAAGTTAAATTCACAAAGCACTGAGGTGTACCGCCCCAGGGCATTGAGCTCCACTAGCACCGCCTTGCAAACTACACAACGTACTTACTGAAAATGTTCCGCGGACGTTGCAAACTTTGAGTGTACATTATTTAAATTTTTTATAAGTTGCTAATTAACTGCTTTTTTGGCAATGAATAATTGTTGTAATAATTATTATTCAATATAGACCCTTAATGTCATGCCAACACTGGTTTTTGTTGGGAGCAATGTGCTCGAAGTTGTTGACAAGTTTTTTTTTTTGGCTAATTAATTTGGCAATGAATAATGTTAATTATTATTCAATATAGTTAAGCCAGCTAAGTTTTTGGCAGTTTTCAATCTAAGTTAATATTATAGTAACTCTGCATGCCTAGCAATGTGATAATACAATAACTTTATATTCTTTATTTCTAATTGGGTGGGTTGACATCTTAATTGTCAATGTGATGTTGAAAGGCCTACTTGATAGTTTTAAAAGCCGTACTTATTATATTTTTAAATTGTTAGTAGGTTAAGCATAAAGGAAGTTCTTATCCTGGAACCTTTTATTTCTACAGCTGAAAATAGAGCCAGGAGTCCGCTTAATGAGCTGTTCAGTGGTGGAGCTTAAAGGGAAGGGAAGATGAAAAAAAAGAATTTCGAATGGGCAGAGGTCAGGTCCTTTCTGGTAAGTACAACAACCTCACAGCCAGCTTGAAGTGGAAGTGTTATAGTTCTGCGTTTCGTCTGGTGAGTGAGGTAGCTGGGGCCCACTTTTTTATAAGGTGGCAACGCTTTTGCAATTCTACAGATGATGAAAACGTCAATGGGCTGCGGTTATCAGGTGTACCACTTGCCACATTCGCATATAAAAGGAAAGAGAAGTGCAAGTGAAAATAAGTGTAAAATTGTACATAGAGGACTGTTGTGACAACCAGAGGGTCGTCGCACCTGCAGAACCGTAAGCGGAGGATCAATGCATTACGCAAAGAAGAAAGAAAAGCGGGCGTTTTACTCCAATCCAGCAATATAATCTGATTCCCTAATGATCCCTACCTATATTTAATTCCCTATAATCTGATTCATAATTAGATGTCGAAAATGTAAAGAAAAATTTTTACTGTCCAGATCTAAATCTGTTATTTTTTTTATCTGACTCCTTCAAAAACATATTTCCACGATAATTAGAGGTATAGCTTTTTTGTCATTTTAGAAGTAAAGAAAAGATTTGAGCTTCGTGCAGCATAATATGTGTAGAGAATTTTACAAAGGAATAGATTCATATTAGTATAAATATTGTTTTTTTTTTTTATGGAGAAAAGGGGCAAACGAGCAGGAGGCTCACCTGATGGTAAGTGATTACCACCGCCCATGAACACCTGCAACACCCGAGGGCTTACAAATGCGTTGCCGTCCTTTTAGAAAAGAGTATGCTCTCTTCTTGAAGGTTCCCAAGTCGTAACCGTTCGGAAAAACCGCCGGCGGCAGCTGGTTCCACAGAGTGCTTGTGCGAGGCAAGAAATGCCTTGAAAATAGCGCTGTTGTGGAACGCTGGACATCGAGGTGGTGTGGATGAAATTTTTGGTTCTGGCGCGATGTCCGATACTGGAATTCAGCCGCCGGGATCAATCCAAGCAATTCCTTGGAACACTCCTCGTGATAAATGCGGTAGAAGATGCAGAGTGATCCAACATCTCTACGCAAAGCCAAAGGATCAAGCTGCTCGGAAAGACTTTGATCGTCGATAACCCTAGCCGCCCTATGTTGAATGCGGTCAAATGGAAGAAGTTATGTTATTGTTATTCAATATATCAATGACACTTGCAGAATTTGATTACTGTATAATAGTATGTGTCTGTGTTAGCATAAAAATATTAGCCCAAAACAAAATATGTGATATGATTAATTATTATCATTTTATACCTCTATCATCATATTTTATGAATATGGTAAAATTTACTGAAATTATTGAAATAATTTTAATTTATACCCAACATAACAATTGTAGTAAACCACAAATTTCCTATTTCTAATAACCATATGAATTTATGTATTTATATAGCGTGTCGTTACAACCGCGACAATAAATTAACACACGTCTACACGCTACTTGCCAATAATAATAAAAAAATATAAAACGTTTAAAATATAACATAGTTAAAAAAATATATTTTTCAAACAAACTAATTAAATAAAAAATAAACAAAATTTGTAACATTCTATATAACTACAACTGACTGATTCATACATTCAGACACTTTTTCATTCATTGCCGCAACGTGGCACTACAAATCTCTCCTTCTAACAGTATGTTTTATCTTATTCAAATTCATTTAACCCATTCATATGCTTTGTGACCTTTACAAATGAAATACGTTACCGTTTTATACGTAAGGGTGTTCTAAATTTCTTTGTTTTGGAAAATTTTATAACTCGATAAATATTGATGTTTAAAGAATGTAAATGTTTAATACAATTTTTAAAGTTATCCTCTATATGTGTGTTCATTTATTGTCGCGATGGTAACGACACGCTGTATATCTATAATGTAAAAGATATTATTAATGTTGTAATAAGCTTTTTATTTAGTACCTTCGGTTGTTTTGCCTAGTTTCTAAGGACGAAAGCCCAGGTGGCCACCTTCGTTCGTGACAATTTTCCATGAGATCATCAATGATGTGAGGGGGACAGCCGGATTCAGATAAACTTCGTTTAATCATCATCTGAAAGAACGTAACAATATCCTAAGTTATGGCTCTGCTTGATATATTCATATAATAGTGATTTTTTTTTAATGTGAAAATTTGCCAAACTAGCAGACGGTTCACCTGATGGTAAGTAAATAACGCCGCACATTGACAACCGCTACACCCGAGGATAGGAAGGTAGTAGGGAGCCCAATTTTCAAAAGGTTGTCGACGCATCTGTAGCATTGACAACCTTTTGAAAATTGGGCTCTGGCTACCTCACTCACCAGACGAAACGCAAACGTATTTTTCATACTTCAACTTTACGCTGATCTTCTATGAGGTCGTGGTACTTACCCGGACGGGCCTGCCCATTCGTGCAACAGCCAGCTGCTGCGTGGCCCTAACACTACGTAAACTTTTAATACCCTATTATCAATAATAAATATCATAAATTAAAGTAACTTAATCTGATGGTTTGTGGCGATGCAGCCGAAGATGGTAAACGCACTAGCTCAATAGAAACCTATGCCTTGAAGATACCCAAAACTATTTGGACGGAAAGCCAGTCGCCGGCAAATTTTTCCATTCCTTTGTACGCATCACGGATTACAAAACGAAGTGCGTTATTTCAAGTGCGTAGAATGTCAAAACAAAAAGATGCGAGGAATTAATTCATGCAATTCCAGTGCAGACTTATGCATGTACCCAAATGGTTCTAACCAAACAATTCGGCGAAATCCATATTGGAGAAAGTTGTTTTGTTCTAGGTACACTATGTATGTAAACTCAATCAGAGAGAACCTCTCCGATTGAGTTTCAGCCTTGTCGTGGCGGAGGGGCTTGGTTCCCCACGGTAAAGCCAAGAGGGACTCACATGTTCAAAGTATTCTATCAATTTTCTTAGTTTTTCTTGTCAATTTAGTGAATATGATGGTGTAATGATAACCTTACAATGCAGTTGCAGTGCCAATGAGAACTTGATCCTGAGACCGTTATCGGGTGAATAAGACAACCATATAATAACCATGAATAAACAACCTGGCATTAAACATAGTTTGAGGCTTTCGTATGTGACTGGCACACTACTTGGGTCTATTAAAGGAGGACAGCCAATGAAGCATCTTTTTCGGATCCCGCTAACCTCTGGGGCCAAACGCCCTACACTGAAATCACTGATGATGAATGAATGATGCGTAACGCCCGGTACTCGTTGCTATATAACTCCTCAAAACCACCCTTAATTCGGCTTCATCTAGTTTCATGCCTGAATACATCACAGTATTTGTCAAAATGGATTTTTGAGGCAAGCCAGTACCAATTCTTGAATTATTTAGTAGGGCATCATAATTCAAGTACCTCTTATTGATGGAAGCAACATCATTTACTGGAAGATAAAATATTAAAGAGGAAAAATTAACTAATTACAAAGTCAGAGTTGTCAGGCGATTAGCGAATTACAAGCTGAAAGATTTGCTTAGTTGTTAATGATAATAATGGTCCTGAAGACCAGACTAACAAACATCACCACTATCAATACAGCGTGTCGTTACAATTGCGACAATAAAGGAACACACGTCTAACGCTACTTGCCAATGATCTTAAAATATAAGCGTTAAAAAAATCTCTAACTGAAAAAAAAAAATTATTGAACAAACTAATTAAATAAAAAAGAAACAAAATTTGTAACACCTATACAACTGACTGATTCATACATTCAGAGACTTTTTCATTCATTGCCACAGTGTCGCATTACAAATCTCTCCTTCTAACAGTATTTTTTATATCTTTTTAATTTATTCAACCGATTCATATGCTTTGTGACCTTTACAAATGAACTTTAGATTACAGTTTTAGATGTAAGGGTGTTCTAAAATTGTTTGTTTTGGCAAATTTAATAACCCTTAAATATTGATGTTTAAAGAATATAAATGTTTAATATAATTTTAAAAAGTTATCCTCTATATGTGTGTTCAGTTATTGCCGCGGTTGTAACGACACGCTGTATAACACCTCATTCAAGGTATTGGCTAAACTCATGAATACTCAAATAAAATTTATATATTCCAATTGAAAATCGTTAAAATGAAGTCTATTACCACCTGCAGGACGTCATCGGGGGTTGAAATCATACCACCCCAACGCGTGACGCGCGCTCGGGAGAGAGAATTGGCCCAACGTACTACTTCCTCGCGTTCCATTTGGTCGGCGAGAGCGCGCATTGCCGGGTTAGACACTCGCATTGCTCGCATGAATTCCTTATGAAATTATTAAACTCAAGTTACAATTTTTAATTAGAATTTGGGTTTATTTAAAATTAGTTGAATATTTCTGGCTCATAATTTTTTTTCCGGTATAGATTTTCAGGTATAGAGATGAACCCATAACACAGAGATTGTGGTCCAAAAACCATTTTAACAACTGTATATAAGTATAAAAATGTATTTAGCTATTTCTAGTTTATAATGATTTAGTCCTGACTAAATTTTAAAAAATATGTCAAAACAACTAAATACAACTTTCATCTTAAAATATATGTTTTATTATTTATTTATTTATAAGAATGAAAGTTTTATTATGAATATTTAACCAAATTGATTTTGTTAGCTAAATACATCACTGATTTATAAACAACTTATTTAATAAACATTGGTTAGACAGAAATAGTAGCATAAATAAAGTTGCTATCATATCATTGTGAGCTATACTTATTACTATGATAACATTTAAAATATTGCTTATGCAATCTTTCACTCTGCTTACTGAAGCCAGAAGCAAGATTTTATTATTTGTAGAACTTGGATTTATTAGACACCCCAAAATATGATGCTTACCTTTAACAAAGCTAACTCTCTTTTGTGTTCATTTATGATAAGTCTCTGCTCCGTCAGTTCTTGTTGGTAGTCCGTTAGTTTGCCTTGCTGTGTAGCAATTAGAGCTCGGAGCTCACGAACACAGTTATGCTCTGCAAGTTCATCTTTAGGTATTACAAGACCACAGCCTGCTTCACACGGCATTAGTCTTTTAGGGTTGTATTCACCTGGAAAATTAAGTATCATCTATACTATTACAATGTCATTAAAACAGTTACAAATATGATAAACAGAATAAACAATGGTTGTCACCCATGAAAATCGACTATATTCCTGAATGACATACAACTTCACCATGAATAAAAGGCTTTTTCTCTTCATTAGTGGATCAAATTATGACAAAAAACTGAAAGTTTGGTGACTATTACCATGAAACTGGTAAATATGTATTAATCATTTCCTTAATATAAAACTTTGCAACAAAACTATAGAGCAAAACTTGATTTGTTCCTAAAGATATTAATAAATAAAAAAATATAATGATGAAAACACTAATATGTAATATAGATATATATACTTACATTCAACAAGGTGTGATGCAAGGGAATCCAGTTTTAAAACTGCATTGCAACCATGAGGTGCATTATCACAGCTGGTACACAATCTAAGATTTCAAAGTAAGTAAGTTTCAAGTAATAAATTGTTAATAAGTTTATTAAAAAATAATAATAAAGAATAAATCTGTTCATGTTGTTTTTTTCTTTAACATATAAATCTTACATTTTAAAGAAAACAAACTATTATAAGGGGTGCTGCCTCCACTTAAAAGAAAAAGTTGCCGAGCTTCCTCCTTTTTGAGTTTTTTTATTTTGTAATCTAAGGAATATTTCCTCAATTTATGGATTAAAATTAATAATTTGTGTAAAAAACAGAGGGAATCCCTTGGAGGAGAAGGAGGAAACCCCTTCATCAGTAAGGGTCATTCAGAAGGATTAATGTACCTTTTTTGACACTGCAAATTCTCTAGCTCTGTGGGAAGAACAGCCTCTAAGCCCTTGCGTAACAAACCATAGGCATCAGAGGAGCTGGCAAGCCATAGGTGCAGAAGTTGCTCTCCCCATTACGGTGTATTATAGAATTATGTTCAACATTAAATAATATGATTTTGCAACAATGCCTAAATGTAGTATTATGTTATAAGTATTACGGAATATTATAAGGTACAGTCTGTGGTACAGATTAATTAAATTCAATATTTTTTTTCAAAAACTATGCTAAAAATAATTTAATCTTTCTGTAAAAGAAATATCAACCCCCAACTCGACAGACGTCAATGGAAAGCTAAGCCAAATAGGTAATGAAAAAATGTGTATGTAGATTTTATATTACTACATTTTTTAATATAGCATAACAACATGATATCAAATACAATTAACATTTATTTTGTGTGAGTTTTGCTTAAATTGTATTAAAGGATATGTATTCATTACTAAATCTGTCAATTCAAATGAAACATTTAATGTGAACGTAATAGTTGCGAAACGTAACTAACCTGGATAGTAGATTACGCAGTATTCTAGGAACTGGTCTTAGCTGGCTTGCGGTGACTGCTTGACGGTCAACAGGGCAGGTAGGCTGCCGACTTATCCATTCAGTAATACATGCACGACAAAATGCGTGCTCACAAGCTGGTGCCTATCAACATCAGCTTGTTTAGTCACTGATAAATCCGAAACGAAAAAATAAAAAGCATCCGCAGAAGGGAAACACACCTGCAACGGATCTTCTAAAACTCCTGAGCAAATAGGACAAATGAGTTCCTCATCTACGTCACCTTGAAACCTTTTGATATCAAAGCCCATTATTGTTTATGACAGCAAACATTAGCTTATGCTGTACCTATATTGCTACTTAAATTATTATCAAAACTTCTATTGTTCATTAAAAGTTATTACAATTAGTACTCAGTTCGTAGTTTTTGTGTCATAAAATCTGTTTAAATTAAATGAAATATGAATACCAACAACAAAAATGAAACAATTTGCAGACATGCCAAAGCAAGCGCATAGGCAATCAATGGTATAGATAAAATAATAATAAATGCATGCAGTATGTACACCGCTCGGTGCGCGCATACTTGAATACGAGTAACCATAATATTATTTTTATTTTAGTAATAGGTAGTTATGTAAGATTTAATGTGTTTCTGAATATGAGAAAGGTGTAAAAAAATATTTTTCAAGACTTTTTTTTAATTCTCTTTTTAATAATTATTTTATTTACTTTTCTGATTCATTTATTTAAGCAAACGCTTGCAGAATTTTAATGAGACAGATTTTTCTTACTTGCTATCATTTTTATAAGAATTTATTTTTTATATTTATTTTTCAATGGTTGCTATATATACGATTTGTCATAAAATATGGATATTCGTGAAATTAATCAAAATTCGATGTCTATTTGAGTTTGTATTCAGTTATACTAAGTATTGCATATTATTTATAATAAATAAATAAATATATAAATATTTTAGGTCCATGGGCAGCGGTTATCACTTAACATCAGTTGAACTGCCATTGAGATCGTTTGCCACTTCGTCACATAAAAAAGGACACATTTTTACACAACGTTCTCTAGTCCCAAACTAAACAACGCTTGTACTATGGGTACTAGATAACTGATACACATACTTAAACATATTTTTGTAAATAAATACATATTATTCATATATAAACACCCAGACACTAGAAACACACTATATTCATCACACAATATTTTTCCAAAAGGCAGGTACACTACCCACTACGCCATTCGGTTTGTATAATATTTCAGTAGAATATTTTTTGTAATGTAATTTTGTGATAGCGGTCTCGCGGACTCAGGGGAACAAGATAGCTCGTGCACGATGATGACACGATGGTGCCATCCGCTGCACTCCATTCCTCTGTTAACGAAAGATGGTCAATTCGACTAACAAGTGGTCACGATACGATCGGGTCCTTCAGATGGAGATTTGAACCTCAGCTTGGTCTACAATTAGAAATCTATCAGAAACTCGATTCGGAATGAAATAATAATGTTCAAATTGTGACTTAACCACAACACATAATTTAACGATGCACAAAAAATTTAAATTACGGAAACAATATACGAAAAAATTACTGTATTAGAAATAAATTATTTACTAAACGTAATATTTACGAAAATAAACAATTTATGAAAACCAGTAATTTTCGCAAGTTAAAGTTTTCTCGTCAATTAATTAGTAACTTATTACTTGAGTAAACGCTCGAAGGCACTGTAAAATAACAATGATAACACGATGTAAGTGATTTAAAAGCGACCAGGATATTATTGGTTGTGAACCGGGGACCTCGCTGCCTAGTATTTAAAAGTGAATGCAATTTGTGTCAATCGCAGTTGGGTCAGTGCCGGTCAGTTATTGATTCGAGCCTCTATCAGCCTGTCCCTTTTAGATTGTCTGATGGTAGTGGAAGATTAAAATGCTTATAATAGCTATAATTTAATTGTTTTGCGTTAATTCGTCGTATGGGTCTTTTCAAACGTTTATAGGACGGCGCCGTCTCAACTGCAAGGTCCGACGGTTTTTCTTTATGGAAAAAGATGCAAACTGATAAGTGTGTTACTTAGTAAGTGATCACCACCACACATGGGCATTTGCAACATTGGAGAAGTTGCGCTGCCAGTTGCGTTGCTCTAAGTCATATCGATGCGGAAATACCGCTGGAGGCAAATTGATTTACAAAGTGACTGTGCGCCAAAAAAAAATCGACTTAAATATTTTGAAATTTAATGATATCTGCACGCGTATAGCGTGCAGTGACCATCGCGACAATAAATGAACACACGCCTTAACGCTACTTGCTAATAATCATAAAAAAATATTAACGTTAATAAAAATCCATAATCAAAAAAAAATATTTTTCAAAAAAATTAAGTATAAAAAAAAAACAAAATTTGTAACATCCTATACAACTACAACTGACTGATTCATACATTCCGAGACTTTTTCATTCGTTGCCACAGCGTCGCATTACAAGCCTCTCCTTCTAACAGTATGTTTTGTCTCTTAAATTAATTCAGCTCATTCATAAGCTTTGTGACCTTTACAAATGTACTTTACGTTACAGTTTTGTACGTAAGGTTGTTCTAAAATTATTTGTTTTGGAAAATTTAATAACTCGATAAATAATGATGTTTAAAGAATGTAAATGTTTAATACAATTTTAAAAAGTTATCTTCATATGTGTGTTCATTTATTGTCACGATTGTAAAGACACGCTGTATATATTCTTAATTATATTAATTTATTTATATCTTGTGATGGCAGTTGAATCTAAAAACTGTAATGTTAACAACATCGTACTGACAAAATAGAAAAAACGCGGTCCAAGCTGAGGAGTTGTAGCGGAACAAATAGCATCATCTATCAGTTTGTTAAATAAAATTTAAATAGATATAGGAACGGTAGCTCCACTTTTAACAATATTAATATCAATGTATTTTTGCAGAACGTATGGTATTACTTCGGGCTAAAATGACTGAGTTTTGTGAGTAATGAAAGTAGTAATGGCAACATTATTAATTACTGCCATTGATGGTTGATGGTTGTTGGCGAATCTGCCAATTCTTTTTCTTCATATGTCTTGTCTAGCTTTCCACATTTCCATTTAAAATGGTATGATTTACCGCGGGCGTTGAGCAGTGTTTATTTCAATTTTATTTTAATACTCGAAGAGTATAATAGATCCTCAAAATGAGTGTATTTAAATCAGCCATGGGGTACTTCAGTTCTGGAGGTGCCAACGGAGGCAGTGATAATGATTTTGTTGGTCAATTTGTAGAAATCGGAAATATGAAACTAAGGGTAAAAAAAGTAATAGCGGAAGGTAAGTGGTACAGTAGTCTATGAGGAAATTGTTTGTCTATTTCTGCAGTAATGAAAGAATCAAATTTGTCATTAAAAGTTTGGGTCACTGCTTTCCACGTAGAAGAATGGGGGGCGGAAGAACTAAAAGGGCATTACATCTTTTGTCTTACTTATTCAATTAAATATTTGTTCCTTCATTGTTTTTATACTATTATAATATACAGTACGTATCATTGGTGGAAGAGGAATTACAAAAAATTGTCCATATATTAATAATGTTTATAATACTTTTTCAAATAATGCTGTGGCTTTATATTAACATAATCATTTAATAATTAAAATAATTAAAATTTATTTCTTGAATATATAATATTTATAATTTATTTACTCATTTATATAATAATTACTTATGAAACATTCGTCGTGTTTAAAAATGTTAGCTTGTTGCCAAGCAAGCAGACCATTCTCATGATGTTAAGTGAATAATGCTGCCCATGGAAATCTGCTACACCCGAGGGTTGCAGATGCATTGACAACCTTTTGAAAATTAGACTTTGGCCACCTCATTCACCAGACGAAACGTAAAGTAATATTCTTCCACTTTACGCCAGTCTTCTGCGAGGTTGTGGAACTTATCCGGCCCTGCCCATTCATGCAACATCCAAGGCTGCTGTGTGTTCCTACCACAGTTGAATGATCTATGTAATAGATATTTTTTTATCAATAATAAACTTCTCTATAAAAATATTTTTATTTATAAAGAGTAGTTTATTAAATATGATGGATTATTAATCAGGTCCACAATATTTTCTTATAGAGAAAAGTACTATTAAAATTCAATGTGTGGTCATAGATGCAAATTCTACCTATTCTGATAAGTACCCTAGTTGTAGGATATGTCAGAAGTGCTCTTATCATCGTAAAATGATATAAATTGCAAGTTCTAGGGTCTTTTTTTTAATGTAATTTAGCAATTTTTAATTAATATGTATTGATGTCATTGCTATTAGATATTTGATAACAATACTTCCTTATTTATTTAAAAAAAAAAAAAAAATTGTTACATAACTATTCAATTCTTACTGTCTTCTATTTTTAAACATAATTCATTAACTTTAAAAGGAATTAACTGCTTATAAAAATGTATTTTGGTTAATACTTATTAAATAAAATAATTCAAATACATTTTTTAATTGAATAGTTCATTTAAAAGATATGGTGTTTGTCTGACTGATGCTTCGTGATGACCTGATATAAAATAATGTATAATAAAAATTTTATATAGTAATTTGGGGGAGGCCTATGTTCAGCAGTGAACTCTTATAGTTAATGATGATGATACTAATATCAGTATTATTTAAATGGTTATATTCAATGTTTGTTAAATTGTATAAATATACAATTTAACAAATAATGTTATAATACTGTACCCTTTATATTTTTCTAGGGACAGTAATATATTTAAATTGTTTATAGTGCTAATCTTTGCACTTAAGATTGAACATTAAAATATGTAGATGGGCCGCGAATGCCGAAGACGTGGGTTCGATTCCCACAGCGGCGACAATCTTTTCGCACTTTTTCTACATATTTTAACAGTAATATATTTCTACTTTTTCTTATCTTTTTTATTAGTTCTATGTATCAATAATTATTGTTAGAAACAGTTAAATCAGCTTAGACAATTAATACTCTTTTTGATATAACAGTATGCATATAGGTTTTTTTTTTTTCAACTCAAAGATTTATTTTTGTTTGTTGTATCTAATTCAATAATTATCTTGCAGGAGGTTTTGCATTTGTATTTATTGCTCAAGATGTGTCTACAGGCACAGAGTATGCCTTGAAAAGACTCATGGCAGCAGATGAGCAAGCTAACAAAAACATTATACAAGAGATAAGTATATTGAAAAAGCTTTCAGGACACCCTAATGTCATCAAGTATATTGCTGCCTCTTTTATTGATAAGTCAAAAACGTCTCACGGCATGGGGGAGTATTTGTTATTAACTGACCTCTGCAGTGGTGGTAGTTTAATGGAAGCCCTGCAAAATCGAGGGCAAGCTTTTCCGCTACAAACTATTTTAAGAGTGTTCTATCAGACATGTAGAGCTGTGCAACATATGCATAATCAAGTCCCGCCAATTGCACACAGAGATCTCAAGCTTGAAAATTTTTTAATATCAAATGAAGGTAAATTATTATTGTTATTATTAATGGTATTTTAACCCTTATTTTTTTATTATATTATTATCATTGTTTTGAGACAGTTTTCTTTTCACTGCACAGTTATTAATAGTGACTGTGTGCAACACAGTGAAATACTTTGGTTTTGTTTGTGCATTTCTGTTAGTTGATCCTCAAATATGCTTGTATTATATTATAATGGCTATAAAGCTTAATATTTTCTAGGGATACCGAAAGTGAAGAAATATATCGATATTTATAAAAATATCAATGGTGGCTTCAATATATCGAAGAGAATATATCTATCGATTTTTCCTTTTTAGGCCCTATTGTCAGAAAAAAACGTATGCCAAGTATTAAATAATTGAATGTACGGACCCTGTATCGGACTCGAATTTTAAAAAAAACGTTTTTGATACGATTTCGATATTGAATATTCTATATCGATATATCGGTATGATAGATATTTTTTATCAAAATATATCGGCAAAAATATCCATATATTTAATGAAAAATATCTCCAAATATCTCATCTCGCCGGACGAAACGAAAAAGTGTGAATATTTTTAAGTTGGTCTTCTCCTGTAAAGCCGGTTGCCTAAAGGCCCATTTACACAATGCCTTTTTCTTGTACATTCAAGAGCAATAATTGAATGCAATAAATTGCGCGCAATAATTTGTTAGACCATTTGTTGTTTAGACCATGCAACTCATTTATTGCTTCAATTTAATTGTATACAACAGGCAAGAAACTTGCACCGTGTAAATGGGTCTTAAGGGTACTATACTGCAGCGAAATCCGCAGCGTTCTCACCGTGTTAAAGTAATAACGAACGAGAGTAATATCAGTACAATAGTTTCGTATAATGTGTAGTATTCATATAACTATAAAAAAATCATATAGGTATTAAATAATAATAAGTTGATATGACAAAACTTAAGATGTATTTTAATGGTGTTATTGTCTACTAATTCGGCTTATCGTAAATATTATCAAGAAAGGTCGATTTTTTATTATAAAAGAACCAAGATTTTCTATTTCGTGTGACTATTTCTCAACTCATAATGCGATTTCAGGCGTTTTGTTAGAAAAACTGTTATGTAACGAGTAAGGGATCATGCAATCTATATCTTATATATTGCATGATTCCTTAAGGCCCATTTACATGGTGCCTGTTTCTTGCCTGTTGTATACAATTAAATTGAAGCAATAAATGAGTTGCATGGTCTAAACAATTATTGCGCGCAATTTATTGCATTCAATTATTGCTCTTGTATGTACAAGAAAATGGCATCGTGTAAATGGGCCTTTACTCGTTACAGAAAGTTGTTAAAATTTATTTTACTTTTCAACCTATTACCTATTACGTCGAATAAGTAGCGAGTATTTTTTTTTGTTTGGAGTCTTTTCGCAATTAATAAAGCTCCAACATTCGTATTGTAACACTTCAAACACTTCATATACAATACAGTCGACATATAATATTGCTGAATAAAACAAAGTTTATTCTATTAGAGCCATCGTTTCGGGATATTCACACGTTTTCTGTTCAAAATCAATAAATAAGGATGAATTACTTTTCATTGAGTTTTATAATATTTGGGCATTACATCAAACAGTCTTACCAGTATTATACATACATACATTATCGCATTGTAATGTACTAGTCGTTAATGTGTATGGTGCTTAGGTGATAATTAAAGTACCGTTAAATATTATTATTTGAAAGTGTCATGTCAATGTCATGGCTATAAAACACCTTAAAAACTAGTTGATACTTTTCTAATATAGATGTCTAGGGAAGAAAAGGGAATTTTCATCTTAATCACGACTCAATTCCCATTACTAAGTTCTTAATAAACTTACGTAATTTATTCAATATGTAACAGCACTGACTTAGACATTTATAACCTTTTCGTTGTTATAATATTTAGGATTTTACTATAAAAGACCAAATGCTAACACTATGATATATAAGAAACGGCGACGTGTGTGACATAAGATACAACACAAGCAACATTAGCTTTTTAACAACGAAGTCTATCAAGACCTTATATTATTACCATGGTTATTCATTATTACAAAAAAACAAAACGACCTCTCATTTATACGTTTCCTATTTGATTTTGAGGGGGTATTTTAATATGATAACAAACAAAAGAAAATATAAACGAATTTAGAATCTCCTCCATTTTAGTAAACTTAATTGGAGTGGGTTAAAAAACTTGCATCATAAAACTTAAATTGTACTATACAAGGTTTGGATGGTCCGTTTTGGTTCTGAGAACAAAACGACGAATTAATTCTCAATTCCATCTATTTCTTAGGTATTTAATGTTTTATAAGCTAGTAGAACTATCTAATGTTAAAATGTGGGCACAACTTCGTGTTTAAGAATTAGAATTTCATAAACAAATAATTTACTAATGCAAATAAATAATCCATTATGTGACAAAACACAAATTTTATAGGCGACGCAAAAATGCGTGAATGAATTCTTGATTGCATTACTGATTATGATGCCATATATGATTGGATATATTATTAATTAGGCGTCGTAGGATTTAATGCTTTATAATATTGTTTAGAATTTGTTCTAGGGATTTTAATGGTATAAGATAAATCAGTTTGAAAAATATGCAAATTACTATTGTATGCCTCTGAGGTACAGAATTACTTAACGATACTGCTTAAAATATGCTGCATCCACCAATCCACCCGCATACAGCGGTTATTCCTCGAGTATATAGCGTTCCGCGTTTACCGTCAGATGGGATGCTACTAAGAATGGCATGGGATAAAAGGCTTTAATGCGTTCCAGGTACTATAAAACTGTGCGATTTCGGTTCGGCCACGACTGACGTTTACACCCCGAATCCCTCTTGGAGCGCCAATCAGCGAAACATGCTCGAGGAGAATGTGAGTGTTTTTTCCTTTTAACCACAATTAACGCGCCCGCAATGGCAATACAGCCGATAAAAATTGCCCATTGCACAGAAAAACAAATGCATATAGATGTATACGAGTATTTTACACTGTTGAAACGACTTTCTTTTATCTTTGGCATTCATTCAGTTGCTCTTAGTTTGAGATTTAATTGAAGAACTTAAAATGTAATGTGTATTAGGTAGCAATAGTAGGAAAATAAACAATACTATATGTCCAATAATTCAATGCGCTGAATTTAAATGTTTTTAATAGAAATCTAACACAGGAAAATGTGACGGGCGTAAATAGATTATTCTTACTTGAAGACTCCCGAACAATTTAATTGCTTTTGGCATCTGCTCCAGTATTACTATCACTAGTTTTTATTATATACATTGCAGTGTTCTGTCCGCAACGCTCATTACTGAAGCCAATTGATATCAATTATATGAAAGACTTAAATGGCTGCCATTGCTCCACAATTGGCATAGTTGATCATTGCCACAATATTGCCACTAAATAGTAATTGATATTGTTTAACATTAAAATTCGATCGGACGATATTCAAACACCACAGTTACATGTCTTTGTCTTGAAATTGTTTCCATCTCTATATTAACAAACATTCTATTATGTGACATTCATGTGATGAAATATATTTAGATATGAAACACGTCTCTTTCGAAATGCTATCGACTAATTATATCGTCATTACTAAAAATAAGTTACAGGTATATTTTATACTAGCTTTCCGCCCGCGGCTTCGCTCGCGTTGAATCCCTTTAAGAGCTATCTATATTTTTTAAAGAAAGATATTTTCAACCCTTTACAGCACTTTTTTCCAATTAAACATGGCCTATGTACTTTCTCAGCCTCTAGACTATCTGTGTACCAAATTTCATTTAAATCTCAGTAGTTGTGGTGTGAAAGACAGAGTTACTTTCGCATTTATAATGTTATTATGGATGAAGACAAAAGTCACGGCCTATACGTAAGTCTCACCTTTCGGGTTAAGCCTATTGTGCATTGGCAGACCGCATCCATCTTCTTTCTTCTGTTCTTATAACACGTGTGGTTGGACATTTTAAGTTGTTGTTAATGGTATTAGCTAGGTTTTTCACGACCGGCCGCTTGCCTGACGCCAACTCTCCTTGCGAACAAACATTGAGATCCGGAACAATTATATTATCTGGGGGTCACACAAGTACTTGTTCCGTGTGAAATTTTTGAACTGTTTCACGAAGTCATCATCAGGCATAACTCGCATATATTCAATTTTTTTTTGTTTTTGGTATTATTTCAAAGATATGCCTTTTCTCGTGACGTGTTTCGTTAACGTACACTCGTTAGGTTTTTTAAGAATATACTATATAATATTTTTATATTTTCTAAACCGATAGACACAGAGCCGTATTAGCTCAGTGTCCGGGCGCTCGCCCTTAATTCAATATACTCGAGCAACCTGAGTTCGATCCCCAGTGCCGGCACCATCAAATTGTTAATTTTAACTGATGACTTATCATGTGCTCAGCGGTGAAGGAAAATATCACGTGGAAAACCTTCATATTTTCGAAATAATAACAAAAAAAAATGTTTCAAAGTTATATGAAGTCTGCCAATCCGCAGTGGGGCCGCGTGGTGGACTATGCCCTGATACCCTCTGTAGAGGAGGCCCTTGCCCAGCAGTGGGGCATATATGGGCTGTTACTTTATTTTACTCTCCTACTTCTAAACTTATTTCAGCTGGCCCAGTTCACGACCCCAATGTACAGAGCACCAGAGATGCTGGACACTTGGGACAACCGAAAGATCGACCACTCTGTAGACATATGGGCGCTCGGGTGCATACTGTACACTCTGTGTTACATGCAACACCCCTTCGAGGACTCTGCCAAACTGGCAATACTGAACGGCAACTACAACTTAAACCCGAACGACCAACGATACAAATGTTTCCACGAGATCATAAGTAAGTGTGATTTTAAACTTATGGATAGAACACAATTTTTTTACTTGGAGAATCCGTTTAAATAAGATCACTTTCAATTAAACGCCTAGCTGCTCTTCCAGATTAAAAGCGTAATCTGATGCCTGTCGACTATTTTATTTTTATAATAATAAGATTATGGCTTCTTCATTCGGCTTGTTGTTGCATAATAAATTTAACTGAAACCTTTTTTTAGAAATTGTCTGTTTTGTATGTGTATTTTAAAGTATACATCCACTCACGCGTGCTCCTAAGGGCAGAGACTACAGTTCCCCTTAAGTCCATGTTATAAATTTCCAAAATCTCTTATTTGCAACGCATATCGGTTATGACTATGAGTACGGAACACAATATAAACAAAATATACTATTTGATAAACACGCGGCCACCTAAATGGGTCGTATTAGTAATGGGACACAATGTTTTAAAAAGTTTTCTTATGTAATTTATAAATTGTTTACCTATGTAATACTTGAAGGCGTCTGAACGCAATTTGCTTTAGAACCAATATAACTAGCCAGTGCTATAGGATATTGTCGCACTGGCTCAGTCTTAAACACAGGTCAGCAACTCATCAGAATTCCAATAGTAGGGAGTGACCCCACTCGCGCCACGTTCGAAGAATGCTTCATCATTTTTATAACTTTTTTTATAACATTACCTGCATTTTTAAATTCCATAACGTGTAATGCGAAGTGCACAGCGTGTTGGTTCCGTTCATATATTATCAGTGTAATGTTATATGTGACTCGTTATTAATAAATTCGTAACTTTAAGTTGCGTGACTATCGTAATGAAAAATAAAATTGGTCGCTCCGGGTATCATGCGATCGCAGCGCCGCTAACGGCTTGAGGCTAGGATGACCGCGTTGAAAGCCATAGTTGCAGTACATGTAGATAAGACCGAGCATAAAATAAAGCAATAGAACAGTTTGCCGACGAGTGTATTCCCGTCCGAATATGATGCAGGCCATTTTTAGGCGGGTGCCAACCTTTTAACAATTGCATCGTTTCATATAATTTGGCAGGGTGGCGGTTAAACACTGGCCTGTTGCTTACAAAAAAAAAAATTAAAAAAACGTATGTGTGTAGTTAAGTGCGCGAGTAAGGATGAAACATAACTAATTTCTTACGTGCCACTAAATCAGCAAAATGTTTCATTGTACACGCGATTCATGTGCACCGATTTGTCCACAGGCGGCTGCCTAACCGTGAATCCCGACGAGCGACTGACCATAAGCGGTGTGCTGGAACGGCTCGCGGCTGTAGCGGAGTCTAACAGCGTCAATCTGAAGCAACCACTGAAATTTGAGCGTAAAAAAGTTGAACAATCTGTGGCCACTAGCTCGCCAGGTAACAAGAAGTCAAGTAAATATTACACTACCATATACTAAGTAACCCATCTATAGTTTTTCGCGATAGGCCGGTGCGCTTGTGAAACGCATCGTTACGGCACCGCGTCGCCAACTCACCGAAAGATCTCCATCTTTTTGTTCTGTTGCTATTACGAATCGAGCTAATAATGGTCAAGTATTTTTTGACTTTTTACACTCAAATTTTTCTTTTGTTCTCCCTTCTCACTCACGGTTTACTCTCCCCCTTTGAATTGATTTCTTAAGAATATTCTATTGAAATGGAAAAGGATGTGAGATGTCTTTACATTCCATTGTCGTTTTTCGTCAAAAAAACAAATGAAGCATCACCAAAGGTAAGGCAATGTTAACTAAATTGTTATCAGAATGAGTTAAGGTAGTATAGCATTTATTTGACTTGATTCTTATAATATTCTATTTTATTAACCAATTACTTCTGTAAACAGAAAATCTTATTATTACATGTATTCTTTCAGTGCTAAATATTAAATGTGAATATGCTTTTATAGTAACAATTTTACATATATAGTCGTAAAATACAAACATGATAAGATGTTATGAAAATGTCACAGGTGCAATGTGACATCCGAAAAGGCATAGTTATTTATGGAGCTTTAATTTAAACATTAAGTCTGAGGGAAAAATTGCACGGTAAAGAAAGAACAAATTTCATCTATAAGTATAGAAGTATTTTGAAATATTGTAATATGGTTCATTTAAAAAGACAATAGGTTTGCACTTCAAGTGTCAATTTATCATTTTATTAGTCATTTATGTGATTACCGTCGTTAGTTAAATATTTTGATTAGTTTTAACTTATGTATTAACATTCCTTACAAATTAGTGATTGGATATATCTATATACTTCAAAATAATAAACCCCAATTAGAATTGAAAGTAGTAAGAATGATTGAGTTATATTGGAAATGGTATTTTTAAAAAGTTTTCCAGATAAAGGAGTAAGGGCTATTCAAATTCTATTGATATTCAAATAATATTTAAAACATATAGTGAATACATTTCTTATGTTTAATTTATTATTATAGGTTGATGTAATTTAAATGTTAAGATTTTCCTTGGTTGTATAATAAGAAAATATTTAAATAGTAGCCATTTAAAATACAAATGACGTTTTGTCGTTAAAAATATATAGTATTTATTTTATGCAGTATTCTATGCAGCTTAGCAGTTATACTTCTTACCCACAAGAATTTTTATTGTAAACAGAAACCAGGAAACAATTTTAAAAATATTTCCGATTGAAAAGCCCTTACAATTCCATATTGTTCTATGTTTTTAGTAGAATTAATAAAGTAATTAAATTACAACTACATGCACTAACCCAGCGAGGTGGCTTCGTAAAACGCACTGTGTCATTTAACTTGGTGGGCAATTTAACTGCAAAATTTCAAGGTGTGTTGCTAGTCTTGAGGCTATATATAAAACATTGTGTTACTACATAAAACACGTGAATAATGTTTATATTTTTCATATCTTATGTAAATTAAGTGGAAGGACCATTGAATCCTTTCGGACAATACGTAAAAGGGATAATGTAGATATAACAAGTATTATTGTTTAATTTTTCATTCAGTTATAATTTTTGGTATATGTTTTTGATTAATGTACATACAATCTTCACTTTAATTGCTTTTGTTTTATTTTATTATGCATAATTTTTTTGGAAACAAGAATATGGTTTCAAATAAATAAATATTTTATCGTCATTCTTGGTTTGTTTTTTTATTTTTAATACAGTTTTTGAAGTCACAATGTAAGAGGAATACAAAGTGGTCGGACTATTATGTAACTTGGAAGACATGGTCAGTGGGTAAAATAACTTTTGAATTTTGCTTCATTTCATTAACAATATCTCACTGTACACTCTCTTACTAATATATTTAAATGTTCACAGCTCACAATTATCTATAGCACACTGTTTCACTAATATTTACTACAGTTATCTCACAAGCAGTTCAGCTAGACCATACTAAACAAGTTTTGTATTTAACAGTATTTGATACAGGATAGCATGTCATCAGCGTCAATGACATTCTATTGTTTACATATTTTTTTTTATCATTTATAATACGTTTTGTTTTAATTGTTTTTGGTGTTTTTATTTTAAACAGCTTTGCGGCATCCCTGGTGAAATATTGGGTACACATTAGAATAATTCAGTTTTGGTACAATGTGCTCAATTACTTTACTAGGCAAAAATAAAAACATGTTTATAATGCCCTTCGCGAGTGCCAAAGTTTCTCTTTTTCGCACTTATTACTTGAAAAAAGCGCTGTCTCGAAGTATCACCCGATGTACGGCGGTAACGCTAGCATCTTTTGGATCGTCTATTAATCACTGGAGGCTTGAGAGGGTAGGCCAAAATCATGAAATTTCACTAGGGTAGGGTAAGGGGGCGTAATGAGATAGATTCTTAACAAAATAGCGGCTTGTGAGCTTGACTAGCCACAAGCCGACGATCAGCAAAAAAACGTGTCTGGACATTTTTATCACGGTCCTTAAATTTATATGAATTAAATAAGATTATACTTGTATTTAAAGACGATCATATAAAATTTTAAGATACTTTTTACTAAAAAAATTCTAGTGATTTTGGGCGTTAGGCTTAAGCCTTACTAAGTCTTACAATGGGGGAGGGGAGGGTTAAGTTAGAGGGTGTGACAATTTATGCTTGGGACTAAAAATTATCTTAAGACGGCGGTCATTGCATCTGTGCGAGCGTGACGGCAATATATTTTGGCGGTAACATCAGGAAAAGGCAAATACAGATTAACGTACGATTCTACGTCCTCCGCGACCGGACTAGCTCCAAACATGACGCGATGCTCGCTTTACCATAGTTCATCGAGTACAAATTGAAAAAAAAAAAAAGTTTGAGTGTGGGATATTTATCATTCAAAACTTCACACACATTATTAAACAAAAAAGAATTGTGAGTTGTAATCAAACGATGTACTTCTTCTCTGTTGACTGGTATATAGTTCATATATGTATTGTACCCTCATAAAGCCACTTTATGTATATGACTTGACGGTAGAGACAAGATTCGACACATGCGCCGTGTCTCATCTTCAGGCATTTTTAGGGTTCTGTACCCAAAGGGTAAACCGGGACGCTTTTACTAAGACTATCGCTATCTGACTGTCTGTCTGTTTGTCTGTTCATCTGTCACCAGGCCGTGTCAACAATCACGGGTTCATGATAGTTGATAGATGAAATTTTCACAGATGATGTCTTTCTGTCGCCACTACAACAACAAATACTAAAAAACGGAACAAAAAAATAATTAAGTGGGGATCCCATACAACAGACATGATTTTTTTGCCGTTTTTATAGATAATGGTACGGAACCCTTCGAGCGCGAGTCTTACTTTCACTTGGCTGGTTTTTACCGACAATTCTAATAATTTGCCTTTAAAATTTAAGCGCTGCGGTGGACTTGTGTTAAGTACGTCATCGTCATCAAAATAAAAAACAAGAAGCTACATACTTTTTCGTCTTTTCTGAAATAACTTACTATTTTGCGCAACATTTTAATACCATTAAGTTGAGTATCAAATTTAAAATAAGAAATATTTTATTGGAATAAGATACGATAACTTAACCTCGTGTTTATTATTTACTACGTCGGAGTGGTCACGTCGCGTTTTATATATGTGCAAAGTTTCATATCAAGCGGGCTTACGGTTACACATAAATGGATAAATTATATATATACATAAATTAATCTGCTGCCAGAATTCGAACCCGATTCGTCGCCTTCCGATTAACACACGCAGACACTAGATACCAAGCTAAATGGTCTTCACAACACGAAAATCTGTCCTTATCATGATCTACATATATAGAAAACAAATTGCCTACGTAAGATACGTCTGATGATTGTAATTAATGTACGATAAGCAATAATCTGCCTGTATAAGAATATTGTCATTCAAACGGATTTTATTTTCGTTACTTAAATAAATATAAATGTTCGCCCGTTTTAAATTCATTTAAAGTTTGCATACGTAGTATTTGAACTAGTAATTATGAGATTATTAGAAATTATTAAAACAACACCACAACAGTAATCAAGTAGTTTCAAATGTCATTTACATTTTACAAGATATCAAACGTAGTAAATTTCAAAATAATAATGTCGATATACACCTTAGATTTAATTACACTATAACGCTAAACAATATAATACGACATGCATGCAATTATACATAAATGCTTCCTTTTATTTTATTTTAAGCATTTCTGAGCCATAGCATGTTTGTGTTTGAACAAATCACCATGGAACTAAGCCACGTATCTAACTGTATAACATCATATTTATATATAAAATTCCAAATTCATTTAAAATTTAATTTATCTCGATACACCAAATCCCCATTGAGGTGGCGATTTTAAAAATTGTTTTAGTAAATAAATGTGGCAAATCCACGCGAATCTATTTTTTTGCATTGAAATGTAAAGGTCCAATGTTCTTCATTTACTGACACTAAACCTTCTTTTAAGCAATTAAGATATCGATTTATAGATTATTTGAACGTGTTGAAAATTATGATTTGAATTTTGGGGACAGTATATACGTGGCTTAGTTTTATGACCGAATGAATATTTTCGCTATGCATACATATCACGTTTTCTTTTTCATTTTAGGTGTTTTCAACTTTTTCGGGTGCCCAATTGTTTTCTCGTTTAAATGACCCACGGCGCTAGCATGAACCCTTGCATCGGACTCCACCCACAATTTGACTGCTTGTGCTAGACACATTGGATATGCTCGCAATGATGAGTATTGTTTTTTATTTATACACACATCAGTCGACCTTCAACCATTTGTTAGTTTTTTTTGTTTCTATTTTTTAATATTCTATCAACACTGGCATTGAGTATAATTTGCCATTAGGTTATTCAGTAAAAAGTATTAAATGACACATTCCCTATTTAAACACCAACGAAGGCGGTGCTTATAGTTTTATTTTAATACAAAGATTTTCGTTGAGATTTTTAATATTCTTAAGTTACCAACGACGAAGGAACCTTTAAGACAATAATATTAATAAAACGCAGTACATGAAAGAGTAAAACTGTTTAATGTATAAATAATCCAAAGAGATGTTAAATAAATAACAATCTAAATTGTATAATTTAATTTATATGATGAGATTTAAGCCCGTTCTTTTATTGTAATTCGATGTTTTTGTAATAACATCGCATTTCTAAGAATGCTCTCAACCGGTGTTTATATAGTAGTTCTTCGCACAAAGACCTTAATTCGTCTGTGATGGACTTAAATAGGACGCCTAATAGACCTTTATCTTGTGGGCGTTTCATTAGTTCAAGATTAACATTAGGTACAAATAATTCAGTATTTATTTCTAAGTTATCTACGGTGCAGGTATATAGTTAACCAGATAAGTTTATGAGCATTCGAAAGGGCAATAGGGTGATTTTTTTTAATAATCATCATCGAGTTGAACTTTTCTCGCATTTTTAATATGTTCTAATCTTTTTTCGTGAACATACAAAATAAATCAATATATTTATTGGTGTCATCATTCCTATTGTGTCCAAACGGAGGCAGTTACCGCGGGCTGCTAATTTAATTAATAAAATCTGTTCGCGCTTATATTATATAAGTTATCGTCGTCCATTTTTAACAGAAGACTTTCTTTTGTCTTTACCGAGGAACTACTGTATACTGGATAAACCAAATCATCAAGCACAATGGCCCCTACGACGTACAAATGTTCGCTATACATTATACTTACCAATGTAATAATCAAAAATCTTTATTATTACGCATGCAAATAAAATTAATTTTCATGTAATCAACATAGTTGATACCGTTTTGTAGATAATGTTACAAGTGCAAGTAAATTCTAACATAAAATTGATTCCATTCGCATTTAATGTTTTTAAGCTGAAGTTTCTTGTTATTTTTTTGTATATATGTCATATATACAATCAGCTTAAGATTTAAGGTCTTTATGTGATTTATATTTCTATACGTATTATAGCATTTTTTTTTTTCGTTTTTCGTTTTGGTTGATTGTTCAATAAAAACAGTTTTAATGCAACAACAAACGGTTAACCTTTGTGTTAGTTTGATTTTTTAATATGTTTGACAATAAACACACAAGATGTCATCAACTCAGGTTCATACACTTGATTCGGAAGTAAATATAGACAATACACATTTCATATGTTTATAAAAGGTTTTTAAAATAAAATTATAATAATTGTTATTAATTAATTTTGAATGTTTTTATTTATTTTGTGAATTGGAATTGACACGCGTTTACTTCCCGATAATTTGGATACAGTCGATTTAAGATCATTCTTAGGTGCTACAAGCACCCCTAATTTATACCGTAATATTTTTTTCATTTTACGAAACATAGACGTATATACATTCCCATAGAGTTAAGCAATAAATGTTTTAATTTATAGTTGTTAGTATTTAACACGAATTTTAAAGCCCTTCAAAAGTATTCCTATTTTTATTTATTTAAATGATTCATATTTGTTTTGTCATTATGTTTAAATTTTAATTAAATTGTATTTAATGCTATTATATAGGTTTGGTGAGAATTTGTGATACACTTTTTCATGTATAGAATAAGTACTATGCAATATTATACTATCCATGATTTAAGGATGATTTAATTTTCAAGCAATTCACTTTACCGTTGGGAAACAAATGCATTCGATTTTTTACGAGTAAGTTCCGTCTTAATAGAGCCCATAAATAAACTATTTCGATGACAGTTATAATGAACTTAATTATACAAAAATTCAATATGGCGATTTTTAAAATTAATTAATTGTTATAAAGATACATAGAGGTAATGCTGTAACAAAAATTGTTAACGTTGATTGACGCATTTCAAAGAACTGTTTCTTACGAATGCCCGGCATTTTAAAATTTTATGAACCTTTTTTTTAACTGTATTCGATGTAGACAATAAGTTCCTCGCCTTGTAATTTGTCTATCGCGCGTTCGGGGATTTGAAATAATGGTACCATTACAATGTTCTGCTTACTTTTTCAAATCATGTTGCAAATTGGTCGATGTTTATTTCTTAAGGATGATGAAACTGTACTTATATTGCGGTTCCGTACACTACTTACTGAGTTGAAGTTCATAGAAGTTTACTATTCTTAACTTGTTATATTAACTGACAAAACTTGAAATTACGAAAGGCGACGATTTACAATCTAACGATTAGATTACAGACTTACTATGTAATGAATATGTTTATTTTTGGGATTAATTAGTATGGGAATTATTTGGTATATTATTAATACGTATACCGAAAACTTCATTATTACGTCACTATCTCTCATCACATACTTAATATTATATTCTTATCCAGATTATTCATACTATACTTAACATTTTGTTATATAGTTTATAGACGAGCAATATTTTTGTTACTACTAGAATTAAGAGAAGCATGTAAGATATTTAATTTTAGAAATAAACTGAAATTAAAATGATATAGTCTTTCTTTTGTGCTCACAATCCATCACCTAAATGTCACATTTCGATACAAACGTTTTCCTCCTAATTCGATTATTGAACGAGGCTTAAGTAATAACCCAGTTAAGCAATTCTCGTCCCTTAGCGTTTGATTAAATTCTAACTAGAAATATTTTAACGAATGTATCGAACAACATATTAATGTTGCATCAATAAATAGCTCTCTTGGAATTCGAAAATTAGCTGTCGATTTTACAAGTGGACAGTTGTACAGTTGTATTCATTTTCAGCGGGCAAAGACGTAACGCCAAACAGCCAGGAGGCACCGAACTCCCGACCGCCGGAGCCGAGCCGGCCACCGCCGCCGAGCCGGCCGCCCCCCGCCCCCCACCACCAGGCACCCCCACCACAAATGCCTCCGAATACCGGCGGTCTATTCTCCTCTATAAGAGGTGGGGCGGGCAGTTTTTTGAAGAACCTGAAAGACACCTCCTCCAAAGTCATGCAGACCGTTCAGCAGTGAGTAAATAATAGATTTAAATATTATATCATGTTTAATAACGTATTTATATTGATTGTTAATTATGATGATACTTTTAATTCAATTAATATTTGAGTGAGCGGTGTCGATTGAAAAAATTTGCAGTGCCTGAAAAGGGCATTTAAGTTTTATTGTAAAAAAATAAATGATTGAATTCAATTTAATAATTTGTTCTACTTTTTTTACAATGCCAATTTTATGTGAAAAGTTGTCGAGCGAGCAAGCGGTTCAACTGATGTTACTTGAATTATAATTGTATTATTCTTATGATTATGTGTGAAACATTATGTGAGTGTGTTTAATATCGTTTCAGGTCGATAGCCAGGACAGATTTGGACATAAGCTACATCACTAGCCGTATAATCGTCATGCCATATCCCTCGGAAGGTTTAGAGAGCGCCTATAAAACCAACCACATTGATGACGTTCGAGTGAGTAATGAGACTACGTTGAGTTTAGCATAACAGTGATAGTTTCAAGCTCTTGTATATACGTGGATATAGGTGGGCAATTTGTGTATGGTGGGGGGAGGCATGTAAGAGAATGTGTTGAGATATCGTCGTACAGAAGTTCGCTTAGAAAAGCGAAGTCTACCGACAGAGTGTATAGATTGTTTAAAACATGAGCCTAATGCTCCTTTCAGCTCATTTTACCGCCTCCCCCCCTATATCCTCGCCACGAGCACTCGTCTCGTCCACGAACCCAGTGTCCCCTCAGCCCAATTTCCCGCCTCCCCTCCGACGACCGCGCCACGAGCCCACTGTCCCCTCTCGGCCAACTCCACCGCGTCCGATTAACGCGTCCCACCGCGTCCGATTAACGCGTCCCACCGCGTCCGATAAACGCGTCCCACCGCGTCCGATTAACGCGTCCCACCGCGTCCGATAAACGCGTCCCACCGCGTCCGACTAACGCGTCCGTACCTGCGCAGGCGTACCTGGAGAGCCGCCACCCGGGCGGGCGGTACTGCGTGTACAACGCGTGCCGCGGCGCCCGGCTCCACTTCCCGCGGCACGTGCTCGTGGCGGACGCGTGCCGCGCCCTCTGGCCGTCGCCCGCCCACCGCGCGCCGCTCCTGGCGCCGCTGTACGCGCTGCTGCAGCACATGTACCAGTGCCTGGGCAAGGACGAGCGCTCCGCGGTGGTGATCACGTGCCAGGTGAAGGGGGGGGGGGGGGTCGCGTGACTAGCACTCCGTTAAGGCGTTGCGGTCACGTGATGAGTGCCTTCACAGAGTTGCGGTCACGGGATGAGCGTTTACCCACAGCGGCGACAATCTTTTCGTCCTTTTTCCACATACTTTAATGTTCAATCTTAAGTGCGGACATTAGCACTAAACAAAAATTAATTTCTAAGAAGCAATAGCGACATCTCTCGTTCGAGTTATCGTTGTAAAACGATTGTTTGTATGCTGGAAATGATACAACAATGGATTTCTTCAAATGCTAAAAAACAATGTAGATAAAAGACGTTAAGATTTTGGTCGGCGTGGCAATCAGCCGTTTAGCTTAGTGGCTAAAGCGTCAGGCCGCGAATGCCGAAGACGTGGGCTCGATACCCACAGCGGCGACAACCTTTTCGTACTTTTTCTACACATTTTAATATTATAAGTATTACTTATATAGATTAAAAAAAAGCGGCTTAACAAAACCCCAGGACGGGAAACTGGTGTCGTGCATGGTGCTGTGCGGGCTGCTGCTGTACGCGAAGCTGGTGAGCGTGCCGGAGGACGCCCTGCAGGTCTTCGCGGTGAAGCGGTGCCCAGTGAACGTTCAGCCCTCGCAGCTCCGCTACTTGTACTACTTGAGCAACATAATACGGTGAGCGCGTTGAAAACAAATTTCACAACCTATTTATAGAACAGAATGTGCTCTCATATAAATAGTAATTCACTTGGATTTCAAATGGAAAAAATGTGTATTGATTTTATGTTTCCCTACTTTAATTATCACTACATAATATAAAACAAAGTCGTCCCGCTGTCTGTCTGTCCATATATATATATGCTTAGATCTTTAAAATTACGCAACGGATCTTGATGCGGTTTTTTTTACTAGATAGCGTGATTCAAAGAAGATTTATATGTATAATACATTGCACCCGTGCAAAGCCGGGGCGGGTCGCTAGTTATATGTATATGTTTTATATTGAAATGTTGCTAATTTCAGACCGGAGCCGATATTGCCTCACTTCAGGCCCGTATCGCTTGTGTCTATAACGATACAACCCGTGCCGTTGTTTACGAAAGCGAGGTGAGTGGATTGCCAGTCAAACTTTTCTTTTGACTTTTAGGCAAGAAGAAAAGAATATATATTCATTCATCAGTGATTTCTCCGCCTTTGAGATGTTTAAGTGCTTGAAATTTGAGTAAAAAAATAATGAACCCTTAGTGAAGTAACCGCCTATAATGCTCCACTGCTGGGCAAAGGTCTTCTATAGAGTATATTAGGGCATAGTCCACCACGCGACCCCACTGCAGATTGGCGGACTGCACATATCTTCGAAATATTTTCTTGTTATTATTTAGAAAATATGCAGATTTCCTCACAATGTAATAATTTATCGCCGAGCAAGTGATAATTCAGCGCTTAAAATTAACAATTTCATTGGTGCCGGCACCGGGGATCGAACTCAGGTTGCTCGAATATATGGAATTAAATAGCTAATCGGTAAACATATTTATTTTTAGGATATATTGTTTGTAAAGTAGGACCATGATTCGCGGCAGTCTATGGGCCTAGTCCACTCCTAAATACAGGCCATTTAGGTGTGGACTAGGCTGAAATGATATTAATGATAGTACCTGGAGGTTTTTTTTTTGGTAAATCATGTATTTTGAAAATAAAAAAAAAAAAAATAAAGAAAATGATCTGGTATAGAAAAAAAAAAATAAGTGTGTAAATGATCGTGATACGAACCGCGGCCGTTTATTTTGGGGCCGCCCCATTACCGACCGAGCTATTATAACATTTTTTTTGCGGCGAAATTTACTATCATATTCGAATGATATTTTTAATTCCCTGAAAACAGGGATATAATTATTTTCTAAAAATGAAACCTAGCTAGATCGATTTTTCGCCCCCGAATCTACGCACATACTACTACATAAATTTCATGAAAATCGCTGGAGCCGTTTCCGAGATTATATATATATATATATATAAGAATTGCTCGTTTAAAGGATAAGATTTATTTACAATTACAGGGACGGCTGCCGGCCCTTTATAGAAATATATAACGAAGATCGGCTGATTCTCTCCACGGTCCAAGAGTACGACAGGATGCATCTATACACCATGGCCGAAGGGAAGGTAAATTGTCATTAGCCTCAAAATAAATTGTGTCTTGTTCAAGTAGGCGGGGTCGGCATAACACGTGAACGACGTTGCTAGTTATATTGGCTAGGGTACTGACCGCTTGCCCACCCAAATCTGGAACTATTATTATATTGAAAGCCCGGTCTACCAGTCCACAGCGTGTCGTTACAACCGCGACAATAAATGAACACACATATATAGAGGATAACTTTTTAAAATTGTATTACATTCTTTAAACATCAATATTTACCTAGTTATAAAATTTAACAAAACAAACATTTTTAAAACTACCCTTACGTATAGAACTGTAACGTAAATTTCATTTGTAAAGGTCACAGAGCATATGAATGGGTTGATTGAATTTAAAAGAGATAAAACATACTGTTAGAAGCAGAGAATTGTAATGTGACGTTGTGGCAACGAATGAAAACGTCTCTGAATGAATGAATCGGTCAGTTGTAGCTGTATAGGATGTTACAAATTTTGTTTCTTTTTTACTTAATTAGTTTGTTTGAAAAATATATTCTTTTTAATTATGGATTTTTTTAACGTTTTACATTTTTAATGATTATTGGCAAGTAGCGTTAGACGCGTGCTAATTTATTGTCGCGGTTGTAACGACACGCTGTATATTCCGTCCGCAGGGACTTTTACCTTTGACCTTATCTTTTGCCCTGTCGCATTTAACCTTTTGGCCCTTAAATAGTAATATCTTTTGACCTTCGGCCGTTGGCGCAGGTGACGCTGCCCCTGGACAGCACCGTGGCGGGCGACGTGCTGGTCTGCGCGTACCACGCGCGCCAGCAGCTGGGCCGGGTGCACTCCGTGCCGATGTTCTCCGTCCAGTTCCACACGGGCTTCCTCGCCTTCGACCAGCACGCCGTCAAGTTCACCAGGTAAGGGCTGCTTTTGTTGTGCAGGGCCACGCGACAGTCCCCGACTGTTGCACGAGTGGGCAGGTCCGTCCGGGAAAGTCCCGCTACCTCACAGAGGGCCGGTGTGAACTGGAACATTCATATGTGTACATATTTAAAGATACACTTATATACTTTTCAGCGTCACGGTGTCGGACACTATTCCAACATCCATATTTTATGTGTTAGTGATTATTATTTGGTTTGTGCCATAATAACTGAAATTTTAATATAAAAATTATTTTTGTTCACGTTATTAATCATTTAAAACCCTTTCTTTTACACTATCTTTGTAATAAAGAAAATTATCATTACTTTGAAGCAACACAAAAATATTTCGACTTTAAAAATTTCGTTTAATAGCAAGTAATAATTAGTAGCATAGACTCCCTATTCTAAATGTCGCCAAATTAAAGCTTTAGCAAAATCACTAAATTACAGGACCGAGATTGATGGCATCGAGGATTCCGGTGGCCCGAATGAGCACTTTTCGCCCGGCGTGTCGGTGGTTCTGAGCGTGGTGGTGCAAAACGGCGAGCGGCGGAAGCCCCGCTCGGACCTCTGGGAGGAGGACCACTCCTACCCCGTTCGCACTCCGGATGTCCTCTTCTCCACAACCTTGGAGAGGGACGAGACCATCGACAACTTCGGTACTTCCCAATTCCAATTTTTTTTGATAGCAACATTTGTGTTGAACATTTGAGACTACTGCGGTAAGGCAACGCGACAGTTCGCTGTTGCACGAACGGGCAGGTCCGTCCGGGGAAGTACCGCGACCTCGCAGAAGACCGCTGAGTGAGGTATCTGCGGCATCCCCAAATATTGAGAATCCTTGTGTAGCCCTTTATATGTCGGAGATATCTTTGACGGTACTAATAAAAAAGTCCGAAAATATGTTTGTAATTTAAATATATAAGTCCAAATATTTATAATACTCGAGTGAAATTGTTTCTGTCTAACCGACTTTGACAACAGAAAATTTGTTTCTGCGTGTCTGATAGACTCTGATGTTGTTTACATTTTGCTAATCTGCAATAATGTTGACTTATTTGAGTATAACATGTTTGATATCAGGTATGGATAACATAGTTATAATTTTAAGAATTTAAAGTTTTGAAGTATGTACTTATATTTAAGGAATTTTTATGAACAAATTAATAATGTATGTAATTATAATATTCTACCTATTCTATTGCAACATATCTAAGTATTCTATTTTACGCAGCCAATCTCCGAAGAAACACGACAGTCGTGCCCCCTACAAGTATGTCTTTGTAGTAAACAATGTAGTGCTTATTTTTCTCTTAGTTTCGCTGACAACTTACTTATTGTTTCGAATTTATTATGGCAACTTATATCTAAATTATTTATCATATTATGTTAATTTCACGGAGATCTCTAATAATTATATATAAGCCATTTTTCATATTAGTCTTTTAAATGTATCATTTTTATCTATATTATGGAGTATTTAATGTCTACATATACATATGTTATTATTTTACACTTGTGCTTGACTTGCTTATTCAGTTAACACTTAGGATAAACAGTAACTTCTATAATTTCTTTTATCCATTAAGTAACTTAATACTATTTGCATGATATATTTTTTCTTGATATTTTTTTTTCATGGTAGTTCTAAATAAGTACATACGTAACATATGTATATATTAAACATAATCTTTAGATCAGCCAACAACTAAACAAAGTTTCAACTTGATGGAAATATACAGGACGGCATAAGGAACAACACATAAAAATGCATTTATCTCTAATATTAAGACACTCAAGGTTTAGACTGGTTAAAACCAAAAAGTCGTTACTTGCTAGATGTATTAACTTTTATTATTAAATTAGTGAACTCCACAAACAACTAAGTGTAAATAATTTCAAACATTTTGTAAAAACTACCCTAACGGTAAGGGCCTATTATAATGGTCTAAGAATACATAGAGGACAAGGATGTGTGGAAATTACTTGCTCTGCACTTACAAGTCCCCTGGCTGCTGATTGATGTTATATTTAAATAATTTTGTATACTTGTATCATTGAAAAAAAAAAGAGATACTAAGATTGCAGACTTGTTTTTTGTTGCCGGTTTGTTTGGTCAGAAGTAGATTATTAAACCGGTTGTGGTTTCAATAAGAGCTTAAATTAAGCCTATATAAAAAAATGTTATTTTGATATTCACTTTATTAAATTATAGCGGTATTTAGTTAACATTGATCGTTTCCACACTTCCAGTGACGGCGGACTACTCGTTGAAGGAGCCCGAGAGCAAACCGCCCTCGCGGCCGCTGCCCCCCCGCCCGCAGCCCCCCCAGCCCCCGCGGCGGCCCTCGCCCCCGAGCGGGGGCACGGCCGACTTCCTCAACCTGGCCAACGCCGAGCGCGGGGCGGCGAGGGCGGAGAAGCTGCGGAACGAGGACTCCTTCGACTTCTTCGGAATGATGGAGAAGCAGCCCTCGCAGGAGGACAGCTTCGGCGACTTCCTCAGCGGGAAGGCCGCGAACGACGCCCAGGTCAGCGCCGTCTCCGATACAAATTCGCCCACGGACTAGAATTAATCTTGTCACTTGAAAGGTCTTTGTCTTTTTGTTCATTGGCCTCTGGTATTAGAATTCTGCCAATGTCATCATACGCTTGTATGGCTGAAGAAAGGAACAATAATAGAGACTGGGGAATCGCCCTTTCATCTTCTTCGAATCCACATGTTCCGAATTCACACCCAAACGTTTTAACCACCAAGCTAAACTGTTGCTTGCCACACTGATGAAAATCTCGACGTATTTTATCCACATTGTTTTGCGCAATTTAAGCCATGCTTGGTGCTTCTTTTGATTATGTCCTTTACAGCACACAAACAATTTCCAATACAGTTTTACAACGATGATTCGACCGAGAAATGTTGTCACTCCGAACGACGTCGATTCTCGCAGCGGCGAAAAAGTTTACATCCATTTAGTCTAGAAATTTTAATGCACAGAAATTTTAAACATAAAAGTTTTTTTTTTAAATTTAGAATAATATATTTTAGCAGCAGTTTCCGACGCAATCGATATTCGGCGAGGGGGGCGCCCCCGCCGCCGCGCCCGCCCCCGCCACCGCCAACCTCAATTCGAGCGACCCCCTCAACTTCGACCCCTTCGGCCTGAATGACCCCCTGCCCAAGCAGGAGCCCCTGCTCACCCCACAGCTCGTCAAAGATGAAGGTACGAGATCATATCCTCTCAGTATGGACTAATTGGAAGTATTGCCGTCATTATATACCCCTATGTTGGATAAATACAATAATTTTATCATTATTAATCATGCTGACAGTAAAAGTAGTGGTATAGTATATATAGTGGTGTTTTCGTCAAAATCATTAAAGAAATAAAAAAAATATTGATGACATTAATCAGGCTTCAGACAAAGACTAAATGTACAAGATAGATTTTTTTTTTCTATTGGCATAGAGAGCTGTAAAACAATTGACACCAGTTTAAAGATTAGAAGGCGTTTGTACATGATTTTTTCGCGTGATTAAGATTTTCGACCGACATAAAACTCACAGGATATCATTGACGACTCGATTGGGTGTGGGTTCGATTCCCACTACAGGAAAAATGTTATGATGAACATAGTGTTTTGCTACTGTCTGGGTGTTTATGTATCTAGTACTCTGAGGACCGAGCTTTGCTCGGTTTGTTTTTTTTCTTTGGTAAATCGTGTATTTTGGAAATTACATTTAGATACAAATTACTGAGTAATGAAATATGCATAAAATTTTTCGATATTACCTACGTAATAATAAGAAAATATGAACTGATGTTTTTCACAAAAGAAAGAACTTTTAAAAAAAAAGGGAAAAAAATAACAATATAACAAATCGACAAAAAATTAAAAATAAAGAAAGCAATGATCTGGAATCGAAAAAAAAGTTAAGAAATAAATGTGTAAATGATCGTGACGCGAACCACGACCGTCTGTTTTGGGGCCGCCCCATTACCGACCGAGCTATTATGACATTTTCTAAAAATGAAACCTAGCTAGATCAATTTTTCGTCCCCGAATCTACGCACATACTAAATTTCACGAAAATCGCTGGAGCCGTTTCCGAGATTCCGATTATATATATATATATACAAGAATTGCTCGTTTAAAGGATAAGATAAGATTATATGTATTTATTTACAAAATAAAGTATGTTTTTTAGTTACCTAGTACCCACAGACTTTTCTTATTTTAGGTATAATTTAGGTTTCTTAAAATGATGTCCTGAAATATTTGTGTTTAGTCCTGAAATCGAACCGTTCGCAGGTCGGTCGCAAAGTGTGCCGCTGGACCAGGCGCAGCCGTCGAACAAGGACCCCTTCGCCGATTTGGGTCTGCTCGGCTCCAACATGCCTGCAGCCGCCACCCAATCTACGGGCTCCATCGGGGCTCAGCCCGGGTCGATGCCCCCGCCGGGGTCAATGGCCCCTCCGGTGTCGATGCCCCCTCCGATGGCGGCCCCCAACGCGGCGGGGGGCGGCACTCCGCTGCTGACCCCTCGCGCCTCCCCCGCCCACACCCCCGCGCACCAACCGCACACCCCCGCTCGCTCGCCCGCCCACCAGCCCGACTATAGGTGATTGTTTGTCGCTTGCTAAAGCATTCAGCACTTGTCAGGTTTTCATCAGTCTTATATGAACGGAAGCTTATTTATGGAGAACCAAACCCGCGATAAAGATTTCCACGAATTGGATGGACCCTAAGATAAGAAAAGCCAAGGTGAGGTGATCCCCACGACAGAGTATGCGCTGTTAAGTGCAGAGTCTAACACTCAAAAATGTTAATAGCAAAAATCATCCAAAGTGGGTTGAAAGTGTAAGGCCGTTTCTTTGACTTTCTTTCTTTCGGCGCCTCTCTCTTAAACGTTAATGCTATATTATTTATGTCACATTAATATTCCTATTATGTGTTATTATTAGCTACGTTCGATCTATGCCTTTCTACGGTCGACGAGGCGGAGGTTCTGACGCTACTCCCTGTTTCAGCCGGACGCATTTCGACACCGCCAAAACCCCGGCCGACGACAAGTCAAAGAAGTCCACGGACATATTCGGCGAGCTGCTCGGCAGCCAGGGCTACGATTTCGCGACCAAGCGGGACACAGGGCCGAAGACCATAAACGCGATGCGGAAGGAGGAGATGGTCAAAGAGATGGACCCAGAGAAGTTGAGGATACACGAATGGGTATGCAACCAAGATGTTAAGGTTTCACTTAGCTTGTGGCTTGTATAAGATATATGCGACCCAAACCGTTCACAAACCCGTTCAGTAGAAGCGACATGAAGATGCAAGTTATCATAAATAGTATTTCTAAATTTATGCAAATTTAAAGTCCGTGATTCGATCCACTCATGTCTAATCTCCTACACATGTCACAACCCAGGATATAGCCTGATTATATACGTACATACACATACTAAAAAGAGTACCCATCCACACAAATTGTAAAACGCACAAGCCGAGGATCCGGTCTTCAAATTGAAACGCGCGGTACTAGGATAATAAGTTACGAGCTACTATGGTCTTATGCAGGTAGAGACTACGCAAGGCCAGGATCAGGTCTGCCAATTGAAAGGTACTATCAAGTGACTTTGTGCTTGCAGACCGAGGGAAAGAAGGCGAACATCCGCGCGCTGCTCTGCTCCCTCCACACGGTGGTGTGGGAGGACTGCCGCTGGAGCCGCTGCGACATGTCGCAGCTCGTCTCGCCCGCCGACGTGAAGAGGAACTACCGCAAGGCCTGCCTCGCGGTGCACCCCGACAAGGTTGTTGCCCGACCTGGTGATAAGTCGGTAGACGGTTGGCGGTTCACCCGATGTTAAGTAATTACCACCGTCTGTGAAGTCTAAAGAACCTGAAGGGTTGTGGGCGCGTCCTTTAATACAATGGTCCCCGCTTACCTCAAACACAGCCGAAAGGGGTCGTCCATTAATCACATGATGAATTTTACCATGTTCTTTAAACCCCTTCTCCTTGGTGATTCGCACCTCCTCCACCAAATATCAAGTGTTTTGTGTCGTGTGCCCTTCTGATACTTTTTGATAAATCCTCTCTCCCCTTACGAGGGAATAAATGGTTGATCTAAAACGCAAAAGTATAATGCTTTTACTTCACGCTCGTCTTCAGCGAGGCCATGGTAAATGCCCGGACGAGCCTACTAACGCGTGCAACAGCGAAAGCTGTGAGAGAGAGGGAGAGAGAGAATACGTAATATATTATATACATGCAACACATCCCTTCCTTTTTTTTCCTACTATTGCTCCACTGATACGTCAGTGATTTTGCCAATGACTTGGTACTTGGAGATTGCCTAGGCTGAGGACATGACAATAATAACCTGCTGTATTAAACCACTTTCAGTTGCGTACCTGTAAAGAGAGGAACAAAACACCTCATTAGTAACACACAGTCATTAGTAATGAGACATCAACCATACTCAAATAAAAAGAGAAAAAAAAGAACACGAACAAAAAAGGCGAAAAACAAAAATCTTATAATCCAGCTTAAAGCCGTATATAGTTGATTTATATCCCTTCCTCATTCTGTATGTCATTTGCTGTTTGTCTGTTGCAGTACTTTGTACTTACCGTCTCTTGTAAATCTTTTAATTCAGTATACTGTTCGTCCTTTTGCACATTGAATATATCAAGACTATACGTCTTGAATCATTTGTTTAATTAGTTAGTGCAGTAAGGTTTACCTCTTCGTCCGTGACTTAAAGTTTTCGCTAACTAAAGGTCTACACTCCTGATTCAAGTATTCCTTTATATTTCTAATACAAACTAACACATACATTTCTTGATGGAGTTGCTAGATGGATTAACAGTTACTGTTCTTATAACTTCCCATAGATAATGGTGACGAACTGCTGTCCTTTCATGGGGTACAAATGAGAAACAGTGTTATTTATCATTTTTTTACATTTTCGTACTTTATGTACAAACTTTAATGTTCAATCTTAAGTGCAGATATTAGCACTATAAAAATGTAAATTAATTGTTTTCATTAAAATAAATTTCCTTTAAAATACACACTTATAAACAATATATTATAATGCCATCTACAATTTGTTTAAATGAATGATAGGGAAGTAGATTGAATTTTACCGTTATTCTTCAAAATAAGATATCTTTCAGTCTTCTTTGCATATTGCATATTATTATTTTACTTTTCGGTGACCAATCTCGGGTCAAGTAGATAACATGTATTTTTATTTTCAGCAAATGGGCACCCCCAATGAGAACATAGCGAAGATGATCTTCATGGAACTGAACAATGCGTGGAGCGACTTCGAAAACGATGCGAAACAGCAAAACCTCTTTCAGTCTTAAGTCTTAACATATATACAACTGATATACGATTTGTAGCTTCGAATAGTTCGGAATATCTAGTGATTTCGTGTGTAACCGGCTTCATACATTAGGTACGGTTGCCAGAAGACTGTGCATAGCCTTTGGAGTTCAGAATAATTCTAGTCTATGGCCATGGGGAATATTTAATCAAATGTTTTTCATTAATAGAAGATAGATAATTTTAATTTCGATTAAAACTATTATTATTTCTATGGCATAATATTTTAATAGATGTATGAATAAAAATGCAATTGTTAGAGAATTTTCAATCTGGCAACCAGACCATAGAGATTTAAAATCATCATATTATATAACCATTAAAACGGTAGTTAGTGTTGGGCAAAATGAAAACTTAGGCAAATATTAAAACTGTTTGTTAAAACATACATCTCGTCACGAAGAAACAGATATCTTATTATTTAAGAAGCATGGGTCTATTAAAGTAATTATTGTTGGTTGCCTAGATTTTCATGTCTCGATTTTAACTTTATTAATGTTTATTATTAAAAATTTCAATTAAGATATGCGCAAAAATCCTGTGTATATAAGCGTCCATACTTATGATGCGAGCTCATTGGAAAACTAATCAATACTATTAGCAATTATTTTATTTTATTTTATTTTGATTTCCACTCATATTGGACGGAGTCATATAGTTTGCTTATTCATTTTCTGTATAAATCAGACAAGTAGGACTCCTGCCGATTTCAAAATGAGAATAGATTTGCTAAGTAAGCAAAAAGGGTAAATTTAATTAAATGTTTCAGGCATGTTACTACGCATAATTCATACACAAATATTGTATGAATTCATAATTTTCCACTTTTTACGAAAATAGCGGCATTATTTTTTTGCCAATTTCATTACTCTACAGCCAGTTGTGTGGAAACTTTAAAAATAATTTTATTCTGTTTCGAGCTTATGAGACGTTAGTTATCTACTCCCTCAAACAGATTTGTGTGATTCTGTGACTGTTGTAAATTAGAATATAGAAAAGATTTTTTCCTTTCACATAACCTATTATATTTAGATGATTTCATGAAGGTCCACTTACTAGAGTCGATTTCAGATTTATCTAAGACATATTTAATTTAGGGACATTATAGAATCGGTCAGAGGACGTACTTAAAAGTAAGTTATGTATATTTTTAGCTTGAAATTATTATTTTTGCTACTTATTGGAAAGTGTTCTGTGTATATTTGTCTTGTTTAAGTAGCCTATAGAGTAATGCACTTAAGTTAACTTAGCGCTATTTTTATGTACAATACAAAAGATAAATTACTTATTTACTTGTTGTTCTCCAAGAGCTTATAAAATCGTTAAGTTTTCACATTCCTAACAACAATGTAGAGCAGTTATAACGTTTAGTATCATTAAAAACGTTTAATAAATGCAATTAAAGAAACAAGTAAATACTTCAGCCAATTTCCAAATGTCATGTGATGATTTAAAAATTGGCTGTATGATCTTTAAAGTTTGGCAATTTTTATAAATCAGAAATAACAACGAATTCACACACTTAGCTACAAGAAATACAAATAATCATGATCTTATAGTGGATGGGAGACTCACTTAGATGCTTTAATCATTTTAATTTATATTTAAACCCACTTTCTACTTTTTTAATTATTTTATTTACGCTGACAGCACAGAAATTATTCACCAGTGGAAGACTTGGTCAAATCTTAGAGAAGTTATGTGAAATAGAAAATTTATCAACAAAACTTAGCTTGATAGGATTTTAAATCACTCATTAGCCAGTGAAACTGTTCCTAGGTTATGTGCTTTCCATTCGGTTTGAAATGGGGCCTACAAGTTAATCGTTAAGTTAGGTTATTCACCAGTGGTATGAGGATTGTTATGAAAATGTGACAGGTGCGCTCTTTCTATTTCTGTATATTTTTGCTTGCTAATAGCGAATGTGTCAAGTAAAGAAATCATTCGGAAATAAATTATGGCAAATTTAATAAGTCTTTTCAATCTATTTCCTCTTTAACATATAAATGATTATGATCTTCACTATATAGTATAAAACAAAGTCGTCCCGCTGTCTGTCTGTCCCTATGTATGCTTAGATCTTTAAAAGTGCAGAACAGGTTTTGATGCGGGGTTCTTTAATAGTGTGATTCTAGAGGAAGGTTTACATGTATTAATACATTGCACCCGTGCGAAGTAGGGGCGGGTCGCTAGTTTTTTATAAACAACAGGCAGCAGATTCTGTTCTTGCACGAAAAAAATATCAATATCGGCTTCGATAAATTGAAGAGAAAATATCGATATTTTCTTTTTAGGCCCCGTAATACAAAAAAAAAGACGTAAATCATGTATTTAATATTTGTATTTGACACTGTGGCGGAATCAAATTTGAAAAAAATATCGCGTTTGATACGACTTCGATATTGAATATTTTTTTATCGATATTTAGGATCAAAATGATATATCTGCTAAAAATATCGATATATTTATTCAAAAATATCGATTTTTTCGATATCCCTAGCGGGAAGTGGAACAATTATACTTTCTGGTGAGTGAGGTAACCGGGCCCACTTTTTTATAGGTTAGCAACGCATATGCAATCTGTAAGGTGTTGTAGATATCTATAGGTCATCATCATCATCATTTCATTTCAGCCTGTTTGAGTCCACTGCTGAACATAGGCCTCCCCCATAGACTGCCATGAAGTACGATCCTGAGCCACCTGCGTCCATCGACTTCCCGCACATTTGCACAGGTCGTCACCCCATAGATGGAGGACGACCCCCCACTCTAGTGGGGGGTCGTCCTCCATCTATGGCATCTCTACACTGCGATGGCCAGTACAAGACTGCCGCCTATACCGGTTGTTGTTGGGAGCACTGAGCTCGAAGTTGTTGACGAGTGCGTTTACCTAGGGCAGTTAGTCCGGCTAGATAAGTCCAACTTCGACGCAGAGGTCAATCGGCGTATCCAACTCTGATAGGCAGCGTTCGGGAAACTTCGGCATATCTCGTCGATTATAACTCAATGTTTGAAGACTAAAGTCTTCAATCAATGTCTATAGGTGGCGGTAATCATTTCACAGCAATAGAACCGCCTGTTCGTTAACCCAACTTTTGACATAAAAAAAAAATTACTCTATATAGTATAATACACATACACATTCCTATTTGTAAGCATTAGCTACAGTCTGACCGACAGACCTAATGATTGCCGTATTTCACGGTTATTTAATTTATATTTGTAACTCTTGTAATCAATAATTTCACTAGGATGTAAGCTCAGGTCACTCAAATATAAGTTTATTAAAAGCCAGTGTCCGGAAACAAGAAAACATCGGTTATATTAGAAATTTATTAAAGCTACACATGGTTCCTATGTCAGCTTGTTTCCATTTTAACATCTAAACAGCCGTAACGCTCTAAAAGCTCCTGCTTTTTCCTTCTGAGCAGGGCTTCTTCTATGTCTTTCTGCGAAGGCACCGCCACAAGTGACGTCCCAGATGATTTTTCTGTCGTGACGTCGTCATCATCTATCCGTTTATCATCAGGCTGGAAGATTTAAAAATCATGTTCTTATTATCTATATAACAATCATGTACAAGATAGTAATAACAAAAAAATCCTGTAAAACATATGCATATGAAAATAATAATAAAATATCTAGAGAGTAAATTTTAACAAATTAAAATAAGTAATTTTTGTCTAATATTTAGATGAGAAAATTAAACGCTTTACTTGTGTAATTAAATATCTCAAAGAAGACTTTTTATGTAGAAAATAAAGAAAAAGCATAAAACTTGATAAAATTGTTCAAGGGAAAAAGTATACAGTATTTACTAACATCTTCCGGATAAATATTTTCCTCTTCAGGCAACTCTTGGTCTTTGTTCTGTTCTTTATTCTGTCGCCATTCTTCGACCGCTCGTGCTATTGCTACAACAATAATCCATGTAAATTTAATCCTGTTTATATAAAATTTCCTCGTGATGTATTTAAGTCATCTAATGACCCGATCTTTTGTAGTATGAGTAAAAGCGACTATGTCCTAGCTACTTACTAGTCTTTTCACTCGCTTCGGCATTTACCTCTCATCCATCCCCATTCAGAAATACATCATCTCTCCAAGTTTGCAAGTGGTAGGACCACGCAGCAGCCTCGGCTGTTGCATGAATGGGCAGGCCCGTCCGGGTAAGTAGCACGACCTCATAGAAGATCAGCGTAAAGTGGAAGTATGACAAATACTTTCGCGTTTCGTCTGGTGAGTAAGGTAGCCGGAGCCCAATTTTCAAAAGGTTGTCAACGCATCTGTAACCCTCAAGTGTGGCAGATGTCCATGGGCGGTGGTATTCACTTAACATCAGGTGAACCGTCTGCTCGTTTGACAACTTTTCGCATAAAAAAATCATCTCTCCTTCTACACTCATGCAATCGTCTTCCCGTCTTTCACATACAGACGCTACTTGCTGATTCTGTGGCCCAGTTGCCAAGGTATTGTCCCTTGACAATACCTTGGCAACTGGGCCACATCGGGCAATCGAACCCACGACCCCCGGGGCCGTAACCTTTTACGGCCCCGGGGGTCGTGGGTTCGATTCCCACACGAGACAACTATTTGGGTGACCCACCGATAATTGTTTCGGATGTAGGTATTTCTTCATGGCAGCCCTGTATCCTACCCCTGCCTGTCGTAAGAGGCAGTCTCGAGCTGCTGCAAGACGGCGAAGGAATCGGGGAAGTTTATCCTTCTCCGAGGCGTGCTCACGTGCAGTACCGAGGGACACCGGTGCGTTCCGTAGGAGATCCAGGAGTCCCTCCAAACGTATAGAAGGTGGCCACCGAGGGGGTTTTAGTGGGTGAGAACCCCACATAACCCTGTCACGTAGGTCGCGGGCAGTAACCCAACCCCCTCCACACACAATACAAATATAGACACTAACCTACTTTCTCGGCCTCCTTTTCCAAGGGCACCAGTAGACCATCGTCGTCGTCCCGGTAGCCGTAATAGTCCGCGTCCACGTCACGCATCAGATCGGCGCGCGTTCGACGCGCTGGCGCTGGCGGCTCCTGCTCGAATAGCTCGCGCACACCTGCAATTAATATTTTTTTCTTTTATCATCATCATCATCATTTCTGCCTGTTAGAGTGCACTGCTGAACATTTCAAAAAGCACAAACACAGCCCAATTTTCAAAAAGGTAAAACCTTCGGAGGTAGCAGATGTCCATGGGCGGCAGATCAGGTGAAACGCCTGCTCGCTTAACAAGTTTCCACATAAAATAAAACATAGATCTCCCCCACAGATCACCACGAAGCACGAACCTGAGCCACCTGCTTACATTGACTTCCCGCACATTTGCACAGGTCTGAACCTCCTGTGTAAATTGGGGCATTTCTCAAAAAATCTCCCTGTATTTTGGTAATTAACTGCAATACGGTAGGTTTTGAAGACAAACGATCTTTTTTTCAATAAAATAAATTTGCCAATGCTGTTAAATTATTTCCATCGTTACATTAATAAATTTTGTTAACAATGAAAACTGAACTTAACTACAATTCAATTGAACCTCACCCGGTAAATCCTTCGCGGCACCGAAATATTTGTAGCCCCTATTGCCGGGGACCTCCCTCCCGTCCTGGTCCAACATCTTAGGCCCCACTCGGGCGTGGTCCGGCCCGCCCAGAGCCCTGATCTGGACCTCCCAATGGCGTTTCTCCCTCATCAGTTTGTTTATCTCGTCGTTCAGGTCGCGGATCCGAAACTCGCCGAGACCGGCTGGAATCGGCAATACAGAGATGAACGCAAGGATAGCCCATGCCTAGAAATATTGACAACGTATAAATGGCGATTAAATATATCGATATTTTTACTCTACACTTTCGGTACCCCTACAAACACACAGCATCTGCTGTTACACGAATAGGCAAGTTCATCAAAAAAAAAATCAAAATCATTTATTCATCGACATAAGAAAAATCCATTTCATTTATCGATAGTCAAGAAACTCCGTAGGTATTCTCTTTTTTTGTAATTTTTTTCGTCACAGAAGACCAACAAGTGTGAAGTAGAAATAGACCTTTGCCTTCCATCTGGTGTGTGCTGTAGCCGGGGTCTACTATCTATAAAAGTTATAGTATAAAGTTTTAGTATGTCCATGGGTTGCGGTAATCACTTAAAATCAGATGAACCGCCTGATAACGCCAACTATCACATAAAAATAAATACATTTGTACGAATAAATAATATGATCTCATTAATTGACTCAATGTTTGGATTTAGGTTTCTAACTTTAGTTTTACACGCCATTTGCCATGAAGCCGGTTCTCATAAATGGGATAAAAAAACCAAGATTAATAAAGGGTTAAGAGAATTTATTACGAAATAGCATAGAGCTATTTCTTGTTTTTCTTCTTAGCTTTTCCAACCTTCGCCTTGCTCTTGCTTTTTAATTTCTCCTTCGGTTTCTTCTTACTTCGCAATGCGGACGGTTTCTTCTTCAAATCCCCCGCGCTGCACTGTTGCGCGATGTGGTTATTAGCCTCCTGATTAGACGGTGCTTTGGGAGTTACTAGTTCGATTTCGAGGTCCGTCTTCTTGTCTTTCGTCTCCAACTTCTTGCCGATCTTCAGTATGAACACGTCTTTTTGCGGGTGAGCCAGTTTCTCCATGTTCACGGGAACGGGACAATTTGACGGGGTGACGTTGATAATTTTCCTATCACGGCTGTCGCAGCTCTTTTCTTTGCCACCAATTGTATATTTGAGATTGGACGAGTATGTGTTCTGCGCCTTAGCGGGATAACATAAGTCGCGCGGTAACTCGAACTGTATCTGCTCTCCGGTGTTGTGCGGCGTGTTCTCGCACGAGCATATCTCCTGTATTCGATCGTATTTGCCCATTCTCTCGACTTTAGTCGTCTTCGGCACTCTGATCTTCAGTTCGTTGGTGTTCATTTTTGTGAAAATCTCGTCGAACTTCGACATTCCATCTGTGAAAAAATTAAACTATCAATCTTTCCAATATTCTTTACAGTTTTCTACGAACTGATTTATTTTTTTATGTATCTTTAAGCTAACAAGCAGTTAAACCAATTCCAACAAAGTGTTCAGAGATCTTTTTCAAATTTAGCTATAATCTACTCAGAAATCGCTTTTAGTTAATTTCTACATATCGATCATTAGCATGGATCGTTTGGCTATGACGAAATAGTTTTCTTACTATTGCCTTTTAATATTGAATCAGAAAATTAACTATAACTTATATTTATGACGCCTAACCTGGTTGATGTTTATTTCCGTAACGTTTGAACGACGGTTTCGACGAAGTGCTCGAGAATTGCGATACGGGGCTGTCCGTTCGCCTACTGAATACCGTGCGAGTGCCGCGCGAGGCCTCTTTCCGATTGAGAGAATCCTCGTCCAGATATATCTTTCCCTGCCCGTCCATCTCGACGTCTTGACACGAGAACATAGTCATGCCGTTGTCTTCCTTCTGCAGTAGCGTCGTGCCCTGCTGCTTAGGCGAGGCAATGAATGCCGTCGTGATCTCCTTCCCGAGGAAAGACATTCGGGTCGACATCTCGACGATGCCTATCGAGTCGCTCTCATCGATCTCGCCGCACCACACGTAGAACATGTTTTTGTTCATTGGAGTAGACGTCGTACATAAGATGTTGTCGTTCGGCCGCTCTTCCGTCCATTTCCTGCAGAGCTCCTCTCGGAGTTGGACGAACTCCTTTGTGTAATCTGCGCGCGCCTCCCCGACCTTTGTCACGCAACTAGAGCAGGGCGGCTGCTTCGCGATTTGCAGTTTAATAACGAACTCCTTAATGCTGCAAATCTTGTCGTACGTCATCGCGAAGAGGGCTGATTTGCCGACGTTCAAGTGCGCGAAGCTGTCGACCTTGCCATACGACGCGTCGTACAGCACTATCGGCTGCTTGCCCAGGAACGCAGCGTTTATGACCAAGTGGTTGTGGTCGAGCTCGAAGCATTCGCATTTCATGTGTATCTTGTTGATTATGAGCTCGATCAGGAACAGGTGATACGGGAAGTTGACGTCTTCCTCGTTCGCTGCCAGTTCCCTTTTCGTGCGGCTGATGTCTTTCGACAGACTTTTTATCGATTCCCTTAAAGCGTTGGCCTCGTCTGTTAGTATCTTGCTCATGTTCGCGATCTTGTTGATGTTTGTATTCAAGACTGGTGAGTTCGAAGGATTTTCTACCGCATTCGAAAGAACCCTGACGGATTCGTTCAATTCGTCCATGTGGTCGGTTAGGTTCCTGCCTTGCGGTTCCAGATCGATGATAGTTTGGATTATGTCACCTTTCCCAGTGGAGACTACACTTTTAGCGCTCGGGCTGTTGGGGTTGCCCGTCACGATTGCCGGTTTTGCACTTCTATCGCTTTTGACGGATGATTTCACAGATACTTTAGCGACGGAGCCGGGGCTGGGGCTTTGGGGCAAAGGAGGAGACTTTGCGGCGGCTACACGCGTTGGAGAGAAGCGTGGACTAGCAACATAAGCTGGTGAGTGTGAAATTGTTAAAGGGCGGTTTGGCGACATCAATGCTGGCGATCCGGGTCGGGCGACAGCCTCAAAAGGCTGAACGGTTTCGAATGTATCCCTTATCACAGAATCTCTCTCGGACGGTAAAGCGGGCTCACTTAATACTTCGTTTGTGGGTTCAGGTATATCTGTGTTGCCTTCTGCCATCTTCTTATAGGTTTTAGAAAGCTATTTTAAAGGGTTAACTAATAATTTTCACATTGTTTCGTACTTGATTTCAGGTATGCATAGTAGCCAACTAGATCAATATAATAAATGTTTAAATCTCATGTTGTTTGAAATGTCACTAACGTGTAATACGATTTAAATAATAGGGTTTTTTTTAAAATAACCTTTATATATTTTAATGCTTTACGATGCATGGTTAAGCACTTAAATATACAGGCTTGTAAGAAACTAACGTATTTTTGGTGATCAATGAAAGCGTAGATAAAGAAATAATAACTGCTAATATACTTAAATAACATAACTAGAAATTTTCGTAGATTTATATACTATACAAGCCTTCTTATCAATGAAAAAAAATGCTTATCAAACTAAATATATTATTTTTTAAATTTAAACCTTTTTGGAAAACCATATTAACCAAGTGAAATCTATTTCGAATTTCGAAATTCTGGTGTAAATAAGACGTACCCTAACATCTTACGATTTTCATTGAATACTTATGTCAATAACTTTTTATATGATATCCATTATACACGATTTCATTTTTGTTAATTTTATTGTCTCCCTTTCCAATTGTGACAATCAAATAAATTCCACAATCGACTCGTGCCTTAAGTTTCGAGGCTTAATTAAAAAGGAAGATTATGATCTATGAAGATTTTGACCTTCTGATTCCTACTACCTTTGTGGATTCTTTAGTCACTACAAACAAGCACACCCTGCTCTGTGGAACTTTTATATCTGTCAAGAAAACTCCCATTTGAATCAATCCCGCTGATCTGAGATAAGTTTGAACCAACGAACAAGCATGCATGAATTCATTCATCATCAATTAAAATCTGAGACAGATACCACATATACACAAATACAATAGATTACTCTTTTAGATATTGAGACTTTTTACACAATATCTTAGTCGTTACTTCTGAGCAAAAACACTGAATACAGAAAATGTAAACAAATGTTTAAGGAAATAAACGTATTATTATTATACTGTATCGCTTATATCGGAAAAATCAATCATGTCCACGGCCAGTTATATCTCGTTTTGGAACTTAGTACAGTATCCATTAGTCATTTAAAATTTTTACAGTGCTAATCTCTGCACTGAAGATTAAACATTAAAATTTGTAGAAAAAAGTACGAAAAGTTTATCGCCGCTTTGGGAATTGAACCCACGTCTTCAGCATCCGCGCCCTGACGCTTTAGCCACTAAGCTAAACGGCTGATTGCCACACCGAAAACAACATTGTTTTTTTAGCATTGGAAGCAATGCTTTGCACCATTAGTGTTCAAAAGCCATCGTACTTACCGTTCTGTATCTGCGCGACCTTCTTGGCGATCTCCCTGACGATTTGCAGCCGCCATTTTTCCGCCTGCTGGAGGTCATTGCACTCCGAGGCGAGGTAAGGTCGCCGTTCGCGCTGCCCGCCCGCCTCCTGCACTTGTGCCGCACGCCACCGCGCTAGCGTGGTCCTAATTAACCGGATTTTCCTTTAATTTATACTCTTATTGTTAAAACTTAAACTAACTGTTTTTGTTAAAATTTGTTACGCTTGACGACTCCTTGGCGCAGTTGCCAAGGTATCGGCTTCGGCCCACACGGGACAACTATTTGTGTGACTCACAGACAGTTGTTTGGCATCTGGGTGTTTGCCCGTGTGAAATTTATGTTTGTAAAACATCCTTACAACACAGGATAATGTTATCATAAAGTAAGGTCCTTGTTTTAAAAGCAGGAATTTCAACTAAATGCTTCAAATAAATGGTTTCTCAAAAATTGAGCACAATATGATAGACTGAATTATCGTTTTTGACGCGGCTGCTAAGCATTGTTACAATTTGAACAATTCTCCATTAAATATTACCAAAACCCTGTTCATTTAATAATTGAACTAAGTTTGAAACTAATTTAAAGTATTTCAATACATCTTAAATCTTTAGCATTCATAAAATTTATATGACAGATGTGAATTATATGAAGCGCAGAATGCTTCATGTTATATGTAATAATATATCCAATTCTTAGAGTAACTTACAAGTGACTTGACTTACATTGCTTTCTCTGCATTCCTAGCCTGTGAACAAAATATATTTGGAAAAATTAAAATTGAATACTAAAAATTTTAAAAACTGTCTCGTGTACAGTTCTTTTGTTTCGAAAAATAATGTTATTTAATTAAAGCAAATGTGTAATAATTTAAAATATGAAAATTGGTTTTCATTTTACTTGGAATTGATATAAGAAAAAGCTTTCCAATATAAAAATCTACCGATGCCACCTGATGGTAATTGGTGTATATTAAGTTGTAATCTAGTGAGCCTATTAGATATAAATGGCATAGAAATGGTGCAGCTGACATTATATTCTTTGTTAAGTTCTTCAGCGTGAACACTATCTCATTGTCGTTTAATTTAAGTCTGTTTTATTTTTAAATAAAACAAACAATTTTAGTGGAATTTATTTACTTTAAACAAAATACTTGTAAAGTAATACATACCATTTCGTAATTATAGAGTCTTTCTTTATATTAAAGAAATTTATTTGTAAATTTTTAGATTTTTCGTTTTAATTAAGGCTCCTCTGTAATACTTAAAAACATGCTTGATAGTAACTTATTTTTAATGATGAAGATGAATGGTTTTCAGTTCAATATCAAAACTGCTGTCTTCCTCTTCCTTTTATTAATGATTGCTTTGTGAGTTATCACAATTCCGCCAATGTTGATTCAAACAAAAACTAAAAAATTGCAATTATTATCGCTCCAAAACTACTGTCAGATAACTGTAGGGATGCCGAACAATATCGATATATCGATATTTTTTTATTAAATATATTGATATTTTTAGCCGATATATTTTGATACGATACATCGATATAAAATATTCAATATCGAAATCGTATCAAAAACGATATTTTTTTCAAATTCGAATCCACGACAGTGTCCGCACATACAAATATGTAATACTCTATACTATTACTATACGATTTTTTTAAAACAAGGCCTAAAAAGAAAATTTAGATATATCGATATTTTCTCTTACATAATATATCGAGGCCGATATTGATATGTTTATAAATATCGATATATTTTTTCACTTTCTGCATCCCTAGGTCACTTTAATGGTCAGTGTCACTGTCAACTTGTCACGACTCAAGTCAATCAAACAGTGTTGCCGACTACTAAATGGCCCTAAAATCAAAACTAAATAGCCCTAAATAACCCTTAATGCAATTTTCAAAAAAAAAAGGCCTGTATTGAATTCAATGATATTGTTTAAATGAGTAATAATTAATTTTTCTTTTTAATAATTTATTCACCTTGACATGTGGCAGATTGTTTTCAGCCATTGCCTTATCGAAACGAGTAATAGTAAAAGTTTTTTGACAGAGTCGCTCGTCGCTCATACATTATTGATTTTATGATGATAAACATTTCCATTATAAATAATCAGTGAGTTTATAATAAATACTGAAAACGTAATTAAAAGTAATATTCTATAGTGTCGCATTATGTGTAATATCTGTATATTTTGTTAGTGAGTCGTCTAACTGAAATCTTAATATCTTATAAAATTTGTAAACATGTATAATATACATATGTACTTGGCATCTATAAAATGATAAATAATAGATTTGATATATTTTAGGGCTATAAATACTATATGCCAAAGTAATAATAGAAAACAATAAAAAAATGCTTGAGCGTTTGTATGAATTGAAAAAGAAAACTTAAATTTCTCTACAATGAATTGGTCATCATGTTCACCTGATATTATTTTTTTAATCTTCAAGAAATTAGACAACAAATCACTGCTCACTTGTCTCGCTATTTGCCAATTATGGCGAGATGTTGCTTACTATATTATAGAGGTATATTCAACAATCTTTTATGTTTACATTTGCTTTCAATTTTTAATTAATACTTGACACGCTGATTTGTCAAAATATTATTTCCAGACCAAAGATAATATGTGGCAAAGCCTTGCAGAGGATACCCTGTATAACAAAGCAATATGTTTCAAGCAAAAGTCTACTCTTTCTTGGCAAGAGATATGTTTCAATTCTTTGTTGTGGATCAACCTGAACACAATAAAAGTAAAACTTGATAAAACTTGGGTCCTGAAAAGAGAGAACATAAAAGCTATCCATATGTATAAAGGTTAGGTAGTAAAACACATATTTTTCTTAACTGAACTACAATATTAAATTTTTAAATATGAGCTTCAACTTCACAAATGGTGCAATTATTTAAGTAATTAACATATTAGTGATATTGGTTTGCATCTGTAATATCATGTTTCTACAATTTGCCTATGTCCTAGGAAGCCTTTTTCAAAAATCAGCAAATATGTGCTTGCCTTACTTATAACATTATTTATTGCAGATCAAATTATTATTATTTATGATTCTATTGCGGAGTACTTCAATGTGAAAACTTCATCAAGGGTTGTGAAAAAACCATGTAGGTATATCATTTACTATTAGAATGTGGGGTATCTGTGGCTTACGGATTCCCAAGTTAAATTAACCTTAAAGGATTTGGAAATATATTTTTCAAAAATTGTTAATGTTAATAATTTTAATTTTTTTTTAAGGATGTAAGAATTGAAAGAATCCATTATTTTTAGGTATATTAATGCATCAATTAACTGCCACAGACTATAAATTTGAAGTTTATGTAATAATTGTGAAAATAAGAAATTGCTGTTTACGTCTTTATTGTTTATTTTTCTTATAGCTTTGATAGATTCTCAAGAAACGGAGCACATTACTATTTCGCTTATGACTGGAAATGAATTAAGCATTAGCTTTAAGCACAATTCCACCAGATATTCACCTTTATGCTATGTTTTTAAGTAAGATAACCTTTTTTTTATCTATAGACCTTTATATTCAAATTGGATGATATAATATGACTTCTTTTTTAGTATATGGTTAAACGATGTAAGGCTGCCGTGCCAATAGCATTTATAATCTGTTAGTTTTTTCTTATGTGAGAAGGTGGCGAGCAAGCTGGCAGTTAACTTGATGTTAAGTGATGACAGGGCAGTTGTGGACATTTCCAATACTCGTAGGGTGAATCTTTTATAATGTGGGCTCTGGTTACTCACCAGACGAAACGCAGGAAGTATAACACTTCCATTTCACGCCGGTCTTTGCGTTATTTTTTTTGTAAAGTAGTAAACACTTTCTCAGTATAAAGTGCAAATTTTTTCCTGACGGAAAGTGAGGGTGAGGTAATGTAACCGCAAAACTAAGGTTACCTCACCAACTGTACTAAACGCAAACATATAAATACTTATTTTCGCCGCTGGTTTCGCCTTGGTGGGAGAAGTACTTTAATAGTCGAGTTGAAATAATAATGCAGCAGTTACATGTTACATGGCTTCACTTTAATTGAAAAATGTATTTATTAAATCTCTTAATTTTGGACAATCATTTCGTTTTAAATTATAAACATTAAAATCCGGGGACTGGCGCCTTTTAACAAATATTCAATGTTTTAAAAACGAAATACTATACCATTTATGAAACAAACTATTTCAAATGTGAATTTTTTTAGAAAAATCGTCGAAAACTTTTCTGCGCTGCGGGAGTCGAACCTGTGTCTTCAACGCAATGCGTCTAGACACTTTGTCACATAAGCTAGACGGCTGATGACGACGCGAAAATCTCGACTTCTACTTTAATGATTGCATTTTTAGCCATGCATGCGGCAAAAATTTTTTTAACAAGAAAAGTTAGCAAGTGAGCCGGCGGTTGTTCCCCAGGGATTACAGATGCGTTGCTAACTTTTAAGAAAGTCAGCTTCGGCTACTACATTACTACACAGCAGATGAAACACGAAATTATAATACTTTCACTTCAAGTCTATGTGAGGCCTTGGTACCTTAAGTCGACGAGCCTGCCCACTCGTGCAACAACAGCAGATAAAACAATGGAACCGCTTTTAGAATATTTCATCTTGAGCGCAGAGACAAGCGTAATAATATTTTTAATTTATCATATATGAAAAATTTAAGCGGGAAAAGTCAAAGTTGTCCTTGTCAGGTTAATCGACGATCGCTGCTTCGTCATAGACAGTAAAAACAATCTATGGCGCTACAAATGTTGCGGCCGGGGCTATGGGGTGCGTTTCATAATGCGCACGTATGACTCGCCCGGTTCGATTTTGACATTAAACGTGTTCGACAAAGATGTATATATTTTAACAAACAACGGCATCATATTGAACGTGCTGGAATGGGGCTTGCACTACTGTAGCGTTGGCAAAGTGGAACAGCCGAACTTTTATAACAGCCCCGTGATAGTTATGTTCCTGAAGCACAGTATCGTTTATAGTGGTAAGTTAACTGTTAATAAATAAGAACAATTATGAAATTAGCGAAAGCGTGGTAGTGACGTTCTGAAGGTAAACATCGTGATGATAGTAATATTTGATTTTGAGGAGATCCTTGGCGTATATTCGGAACGAGGAATTCTTCGATGTATCTCCGGAGCCCAAGGTCGAATACCAAAGAAGTTAATATGAAGAAATGAGAGAAACAATTTTTAAAATCCCTTCACAAATGACGGTTTCTTAGGGAACGCAAATATAGATACAATCTAATTGAGAACCTCTCTCTAGTAGTTTTCTCATTTAATATGACAATTGACGTAATTGTTCTATCTACGTAGACATACCCATTGTAATGTAGTCTCATATTATATTATATGCTGTTATTACATGAGTTATATGGATGTAGATATAAATAGATTACGAAATTATTTCGCGGGCCGGGATAAATCAAATGCGCCTGACCGATGTGTACTGGTACGCTGTCGCAATTATACGTCTGTGCTGTCGTATGCAGTTTAAATATGAAACGGTTCACCTGATGTTAAGTGATAACCGCCGCTGACATGTGTAACACCCGTAGGGTTGCAGATTCGTTGCCACCTTTTAATAAAGTGGGGCCTGGTACCTCACTAAACGAAACGCGGAATCATAACACTTCTACTTTAGGCCGGTCGTCTGTGATCTTGGTAGTCCTTACCTTTAAACGTATAGCGTGGTTGCGTGGATTAACTTTGGAGGCGCATTAACTTTAGAAGACCTCGTGGTCTGGATTTTATTCCCGAAGCGTAGCGAGCTTAAGAATTTTAGTTTAGGCTCTTCGGTTATGTTGATATCTTCACACTATTTTAGTTCCTACGAAATCAAAACAGGACAATAGGTAAAACAAGTGAGTCAGAACGTAATTCTGGATATCAACGGTCCAAACTAAAATTAAATTTGTTGTTTAGTCGAGTTAAATAGGCATGTTTATCTACATTTACTTCAAATAAACAGACTATTAATAAATAGTTATCTGAAGCATTTTATTTTCAGTGCCATGCCAAAGCGAAACGGACACAATGAGCGTCTCCAAGATTGGTGATACGGAAGAGGTGTTAATTGAGTGTCCCGGGATGACCTGCGCAACACCACACGGTGAACTGCTGCTACTTGGATACGAAGATGGGACCGTCAGTATATTTAACTTGTAGAATTTATCTAGCATCTAACAGGTGTTGCCAGTTTGCTTAAGCCAATTCCCTAGTTAGGGATTGGTACATTTTGAAAAGAATCATAAAACGTAATACATATTACAAAGGCGCCACTAGATTAAAAGCGTAAGTCTCAAATCGTTTTTTTTATGTAAAAAGTTTGCAATCGAGCAGATGGTGCACATGAGATTATGTGATTACCGCCGCCTAAGGACATCACCCGATCGGTTGTAGGAGCGTTTCGAGACCTCGGTTAATTCTCACCAGGCGAAATGCGAAAGTATAATACTTACATTTCATGTCAAGCTTCTGTAAGGCCGCGGTACTTCCCCGGACGGGCATGACCATTCGTGCAACAGCACATCCAGCAGAAACGTCAAAAATATAGTGAGACACCTGTTCACTCTTGATTTGAAGAAAGTAACACTGCAGTCGGCCCAGTGGCGGATTTAAAAAATTGCCGCCAATAGGCTGTTGAATTCTTGCCTCCCCTACTGACCTTTGAAATTCGATACCCTAGTTCGCAATCATATTAATTACATTTACTAGCTTAAACATTTCTGGAAGAAAAAATTTTGGGCCAAATTGCCGCCCCCCTTAAATCTGCTGGTAAATTCACCACTGAACCGGACGTAAGGACTGCGAGAAGAGACGTCGCAGGCGCATTGTGCCATACTTTTTCTGTACGCTTACGAACGAGGAAGACCCTCTTGGTTCGTGCGGGGCAATTCGTCATCAATATCCGCCAGCTGAGCGTTTAGTTTATGATAGAAGAGGTAGAGGTAATTATGCAATTTATGCGCGTACTTTCTTGTGAACTCTCGAGAGTTTCCTTATCCTAGGAATGAGGATAAAGCAAATTCCATGGTTCGAATTTTAGGAAATTTCGAATGGTTTGTCGAAAACAACGAATGCTAACTCTAAGCATTCCACATATTATGTTCCTCCGATGGAACAGAGTGGGAGTTGTCACACAATTGCGATGTTTGCGACGTATGTAATGATTTCCATGCTCTCGTTCCAGGTAGAAATATGTTACCCGCAGAAACTTTTGAGTAACACGAGTTCGAATTTAAAGTTCAATATTAAGGATCTCGTCGGAAATACTTTAGAAAAAGTGGCAATCGTAGCGCTAGACGTGTACGAGGCAGAGGGCGCCCAATATCTGTTCGTAGCGACGCAATGCGATGTATACAAGGTGATATTGCACCACGAAAAAGTGTTTTTCTCTAAACGTTGTATAATTTAAAACGCTAAAGATTTTTTAAACTCAATGTGTTCAAAATGAATCCAACAGAGAATCAGAAATTTTAATGTACTTACTATTTTTTTGATTTTAATTTTATATTACGATCAAGTTCCTTAATTTAACATGCTTTTTGGAGAATATTAAAAATCAAGGCTTTAGTATCTTATAAAATTATTTTACAAGCAGGACTTATCAACATAGACAATAGCGTGCCACCTTGCTTGATACTGACAAACATAATTCCAATCTATCGTTTCCTTCTTAAACTTTCCAGATTGTTTCTTCTTTTTAAGCTCTGTTTAATAATCCTATCCAAAATTTGGACAATATTCACTCTACATAAAATTTTTTTGGGTGTTTCTCATCTGAAAATATTCTTGTTACTAGTATAGACGTAAGAAAGTGCCATTTTGTTACGAAAATAAAAAGTTACTTTAACCTTACTAAAAATATCTTTATAATCTTTCCTCATATTATGTTCGTAACCTGACATGGGGTGGGTGAAAGAGAAAAAAAAAAGTATTACCAAATCGTTTTGTAGTTGTAATAAAAAAGATACGGAAACATGATATTTTATACATCATTTAATTTATTGAGTGTGTACAGTGCGATTGACCGTAATCTAAAACTATTTCAATCTCAATTTCTACTCGTCAAATTATATACAAAACCGTTATAACTAAATGAAATGTGCCAAAATTTTATTGGACTTAAAACTTCATATTTACATAAATATTATACTGGTTTAAAAATGTAACATTTTCAAGATATACTTTATCGTTGTTCGGCATTCTATTTTTATATTGTCAGCAATGTACTTCGTATTTAAGAACAATTATTTATTCTGTTTTAAGACCCTAAAAAACTAAGATATTTTAAGCTCTGTTTAATAATCCTATCCAAAATTTGGACAATATTCACTCTACATAAAATTTTTTTGGGTGTTTCTCATCTGAAAATATTCTTGTTACTAGTATAGACGTAAGAAAGTGCCATTTTGTTACGAAAATAAAAAGTTACTTTAACCTTACTAAAAATATCTTTATAATCTTTCCTCATATTATGTTCGTAACCTGACATGGGGTGGGTGAAAGAGAAAAAAAAAAGTATTACCAAATCGTTTTGTAGTTGTAATAAAAAAGATACGGAAACATGATATTTTATACATCATTTAATTTATTGAGTGTGTACAGTGCGATTGACCGTAATCTAAAACTATTTCAATCTCAATTTCTACTCGTCAAATTATATACAAAACCGTTATAACTAAATGAAATGTGCCAAAATTTTATTGGACTTAAAACTTCATATTTACATAAATATTATACTGGTTTAAAAATGTAACATTTTCAAGATATACTTTATCGTTGTTCGGCATTCTATTTTTATATTGTCAGCAATGTACTTCGTATTTAAGAACAATTATTTATTCTGTATTAAGACCCTAAAAAAATCCAAAGAGAAGCGATCAAAAAGTTTAATAGAATTTTAATTATAATTTAAATTTTTACTTATTTAGTATGGCGAGTATTCAATTTTTTATCATTTGATTCACTGTGATATTATTGTTTTTATTTTATATTAAATTAAATATAACCTACAAAAAACAAAAGTTGTGTACCAGACACAATACAATTATTAAATCTGATATGCTCTAATATTTTTTTAAATGTAATTAATCAGTAAATTCAATAGAATATACATTTGCATATTGTATATATTTTTCTTGAACTTTATCCGATACTAAGATATCGTTTAAGCTCTGTTTAATAATCCTATCCAAAATTTGGACAATATTCACTCTACATAAAATTTTTTTGGGTGTTTCTCATCTGAAAATATTCTTGTTACTAGTATAGACGTAAGAAAGTGCCATTTTGTTACGAAAATAAAAAGTTACTTTAACCTTACTAAAAATATCTTTATAATCTTTCCTCATATTATGTTCGTAACCTGACATGGGGTGGGTGAAAGAGAAAAAAAAAAAGTATTACCAAATCGTTTTGTAGTTGTAATAAAAAAGATACGGAAACATGATATTTTATACATCATTTAATTTATTGAGTGTGTACAGTGCGATTGACCGTAATCTAAAACTATTTCAATCTCAATTTCTACTCGTCAAATTATATACAAAACCGTTATAACTAAATGAAATGTGCCAAAATTTTATTGGACTTAAAACTTCATATTTACATAAATATTATACTGGTTTAAAAATGTAACATTTTCAAGATATACTTTATCGTTGTTCGGCATTCTATTTTTATATTGTCAGCAATGTACTTCGTATTTAAGAACAATTATTTATTCTGTATTAAGACCCTAAAAAAATCCAAAGAGAAGCGATCAAAAAGTTTAATAGAATTTTAATTATAATTTAAATTTTTACTTATTTAGTATGGCGAGTATTCAATTTTTTATCATTTGATTCACTGTGATATTATTGTTTTTATTTTATATTAAATTAAATATAACCTACAAAAAACAAAAGTTGTGTACCAGACACAATACAATTATTAAATCTGATATGCTCTAATATTTTTTTAAAATGTAATTAATCAGTAAATTCAATAGAATATACATTTGCATATTGTATATATTTTTCTTGAACTTTATCCGATACTAAGATATCGTTTAAGAATTAAATCTTGATTTATGAGTCATTGAATAACCTCTTTCGTAACAAATAATTTCCCTCCAAAATTTCAACTGTCACTGACAGAATATATTCGTGTCAGTGTGGTGCCAAACTTTCATTGATATCAAACATCGAATCATATGGATTTACACTGGTAAATCAGTCTACTTCAGAGCTGTCGAATAAACAGCTACTATTCCGTTTCCTTTAACGATCCGTCGCATTTGGGTTTGTGTAGGAGAATCCCCTGAATGGCTCTTGGTCCATGGAGCGTAGAACTTGAGGCTCCACTGCGGTGAGACGAGGTCGCTCCCCAGTGAACGCCCTATCGAAGTACTGCGTGTCTAATGGATGCCTCTGAAAATATTTATAGCTTACACTTTATATATTAACTTAAAAATAGTACTTATAATAATAATATTTTATACTATAGTCTTTATATATAATTCTTCTGTACGTCTGTATGTCACTGACATCCTCCTAAACGGCTGGACCGATTTTAAAGAAATTTTTTGTGTGCATTCAGGTCGATTCGAGAATGGTTTAGATTCACAATTCGTTTTTTTTTTTAATTTATAAGTTGTCAGATTTAAGTCATGTGTACAGGACAACATCTGTCGGGTGCGCTAGTATATTATAAAATTTTACAAATTAAGCTCTGTGTAATAATTAAACCGTGTTGTTTAATATGCAGGTAGAATACTAATGTCTGGCACTGTGTGCGGTAAGGTTGAATATAATTTATCTCGGTATTATGGCTTTATATATTGTTGTTCTAATAAAATACAAGAACAACCCGGATAACATTTAGAATAGTTGAAAATTATAGCTCTATAAGAAATTATACTCGGAATATTGTCAAATATTTGTTTGCGTAAAAACCCTAGCTTTGTACATAGGATAAGTGTAATTTAATGTTTTAACCTTGAAACGTGTAATTTATATTTTGCTATACAAACAATTTATTTAATTTGCTTCAATAAACCAATTATTTATTTTATAGTTGTTTTATTGTTGCCAATGATTAATTATTCGGTCTAGCAAAGTTTGGTACGACGGTGTAACTAATTTATTATGTGTAAAGTCTAATTTCTATGTCATTATGAAACTTGGCGAAGGAAGACACATTTGCGTAATGTACATATAAGTACGTCACGACACTGTTTTTGGCATACGTTGCGAATGTTGACAGTATAAGTTGTAAGACAGTATAACAGTTTTGTTATTTTATTTTATAATTGTGTACGGTACTTGAATTTTTTACGTTTTGTTGCGATCATGATGCTGGCGGTCCCTACACCTCCATTTTAAATATGGTTGGGTGATAACGCGATGCGAATGTTATGTTTCGTTACCATCACATCGCAAAGCCTTTCAATGTAAATGTTTTTTAATTTCCTTTATCTTTCTGTGTGCTTTCGATGCAATTGTTCTCCATTAAAAATTGTAATTTCCACCATGAACTTTTATCACTTAATTTGTATATGTACAACTTTACAAGCCTTTTTTTCAAAAGCAACTATCGTAAACTCAGTCCAATAAAAAGTACTTTTTATTGGTCTGCGATCGTAATTATAAATTTTTTAAACATTTTTCATTTTGTTTATGTTCAATAAGTCCTTCATCCTATTTGATTTTATTTTAATCTTGGATTGGAGGGGACATAACGCTTTTATCTTACGTGATGATTTTTACCAACTACACTCCCGCAACTCGAGGTATCGAGCTCTTCCAATAAGTTATAAGTTATTTGTTGTCACGTTCGCCACGGCATGAAGCCACAGAGGGTAAATTGAGGCACATCTTGTATCTTGTTTTAACTGATGTTAACGCTATCAGTCCCGAGACTATTGCAGCTTCATCTTAGCTTCATCTAGCCAGAACCCACGGGTTTGAGGCCCTCCACGGTGGGTAGGGCCGCGCATGTGCTCATGCGTGCGTCAGCTACGTAATTAAGGAACGGTTTCCAAGAGTAATGCACTGACCACTCGGGGCTTGAACGGCGCTTCGAGCTCGCGCCGCTCGAGGCGGTCCCAAGCCACCGCGTGGAAGAAGTCTTGGTCGCGGACGTCGCCGTGCATGCACTCGGCGCCGCCGAGCCGCGTGCGCGCATCCTTGTCCAGCAACTGAAACAGGACATCACTAATATAGGGACGCGCCTAGTCACTAGTGACCGGCTAGTCAGGTCATAGTTAGACGACCCGAATGGCGTAGTCGGTAGTGTACCTGCCTTCTGCGCCAGAGGGTGTGGGTTCGATCCCCACTACTGGAAAAGTATTGTGTGATGAGCATAGTGTTTTTCTAGTGTCTGGGTGTTTATATATGTATAATGTGTATTTATTTACAAAAAAAAAGTATGTTTAAGTATGTCTATCAGTTTTCTAGTACCCATAGTACAAGCGTTACTTAGTTTGGGATTAGAGAATGTTGTGTAAAAATGTGTCCAAAACTATAAAAAAAAATATATATATATATATATAATTAAAAACCTGCCAGTCAGGTTATTGACCGGCTAGTCAGGTTGTTCACCGGCTAGTCACGTTATAGTCATCGGCTAGTCAGATTATAACGACCGACTAGTCGGGTTATAGTGACCGGCTAGTCAGGTTATAGCGGCTTCATATAGCTTATTCATTTTGTCCCTAGTCGAAACTATTTCGTTTTTGTTTATAATTGTTTGACATTATTAATCGTTTCTATTTAAATTGTAAAAAATATCTTTTTCATAAAGAGTCCCAATTTTACGTTAGTTTTAACGCCGTTTTAGTACATGAAAAATTATTTATTTTTATCATCACTATCGTCCTGCCACCTAGGTGTGGTGGAGACAACATGTGAATCATGTTGTGGTTGTGGTTTTGGCTAGGTTTTTTATGTCAATCCTCCTTGGGAACAAACTCCCAGGTCCGGAACAATTATTTGTGGGTCACGCAAATATTTGTGACGTCAGGGAATCGAACCCCAGGCGCCGAATCCATAAGCATGACAATTGTTCAACCTAGTCGTCATTATAAAATTCTAAGATCGTTATATCTATGTTGTGAAAGCTTGAGAGCATCGTCCCACCTCAAAGGACCTCTGACAGTTTTTTCCCTGACAGCTTTCAGTATAAGACTGATAGTGATGGAGATAATACTTGTAATACTTGTCCCATGTGGGAATCGAACACACGACACGCAGAAGCCACCGAGTCATCGTCATCATCATATGTCAAGATTATTAACATAAAATTGACAAATTTAAAAAATAATGGTAAAGGTAAATAACTTTAACTCCGGTGTAATTCAAATCAAATAAATTTTAAACGATAGAGATAAATCTCTAATGAATTAATCAACAAGCAGAATTCGGCGGTCGCTTATAGTTTTCGAGAAAAAAAATATTTAAAACTTGTTTTTTGTACTAAGAAATCCACCATTTTATTTGTTTGACTTAAAAACTCAATACACAGTTCTGCCAACATGATAAATATAGGAAGCGGGCGATATCATACACGTATCGATATTCCGATTTTATTAATTTAATGAATCACAGAACCGACACAGAGCGAATCCGACTCGGATAGATTAGGTAAGAAGGTTCGGGCGGGAGCGGAGCTCCCGCCTTAACCTTCGATGTTAGGTTTTTTTTTTATGACCACCAAGAAATACGAGCTGAAATGACATATTGACAACAAAAAAAATGGCGGATTTCTATAGTAAAAATCACACTATTTCATTATTTATTTTTTCGAAAACTACAAGCGACCGCCGAATTCTGCTTGTTGATAAATTCATAAGTGATTTTTCTCTATCGTTTAAAATTTATTTGATTTGAATTACGCCGGAGTTAAAGTTATTTACATTTGCCAAAATAATAAATAAAAATGTTCTTGGTATATTATAAAACTTCACCCTAGTGAGTATGCTAAGGGCCTCTTGCGATAAGAAGCGCGGGTAAGACGGCATCTCGTTGCAAATGGACCAAAACAGTTCGTCTTCGTCGCAACCGCTGAACGGACTTTGGCCGATAAGCATTTCGTATAACAGGACACCGAACGACCACCAGTCCACCGTCTGGTTGTATTTCAATCCCTTTATTATCTGGAAGTAATACAAACATTGTTAATATACTAAAATTGTTATTATAACGGTATTGTGTTGGTCCGCCGCTTCATCGGCAGAATTGTATGAAAACAATCTCCGATTTGACCGTTTTTCTGTGAGTAGTAATAGTATATTAAATGAATCATTTTTCATAGGAGTTTCCGCCATTTGAAACCCTTTGATGCGATTTAAAGTCCTTTTTAGGGTGCCTACTATAGAAGAGTTACTTATGGCCGGTTTGAATATTCTATATATCAATATTTTTTCTTTAATTTTTTTTTATGTGAAAAGTTGCCAAACGAGCTGACGGTTCACCTGATGGTAAGTGAATACCGCCACCCATGGACATCTGTTACACCCGAGGGTTACAGATGTGTTGACTACCTTTTGAAAATTGGGCTCCGGCTACCTCACTCACCAGACGAAACGCGAAAGTGTTTGTCATACTCCACTTTACGCTGGTCTTTTGTGAGGTCGTGGTACTTACCCGGACGGGCCTGCCCATTCATGCAACAGCCGAGGCTGATGCGTGGCCCTACCACTGTAAGTGAATGTAATGTGAATATGAAAAGTTGCCAGCGTTGCAAGGCAAGCTAATATTAAATGAATATCGCCGCCCTTGGACATCAGCTACACGTGACGGTTGCAGATGCGTTAACAACTTATGATGTGACGTTAGTGACTATCTTACCTCAGGTGCCATATAATCCGGGGTGCCGCAGAATGTGTCTGCGGTTTTGTCCAAGTAAATCTGCAGCTTGCACATTCCGAAGTCAGCTATGCGGACGTGTCCGTCAAAGTCCAACAAGATGTTGTCGAGCTTCAAGTCCCTGGAGCGAAATTTTTTAAACATATAATGTTGCAGTGAAACAAAAAAAGCGACCACAAAAGCTCACTGTCCGTGAGCTCGGTTTTGATTACGTATACGAATAGAATCAAGTTGTTAATTTTATTTTATAACCTTATCCCGTGCTCCGTGGTTAAGGAAATCGCCGTGACGAAAACTTAAAAAATGTGAAATATAATTAAAAAAATTATTTGGAAGATCGAAGATCTGAATAAAACTGAGAAGAAGTCTGACATAGTGAGTCCCGAGGTTACACAGCAGGGAGGGGCTATAATTTTATAGGCTGTTAATTTACTTTCCTACTGTGAAATGTCTATTTGGATGATATCTTTTATCTTGTATTAACAGAAGTTACACTTTCAGTACGGAGACAACGTAATGCTCCATCTAATAGCGGACCTGGGAAAAAGCTAGTTTCCAATAGTTGGATGGACTCTAAGCTAACAGAGTCAGCTATGTGATGTGTATATGCGTCCGCTGGTTATGTGATGGGCTTGTGTATGGGCCGTTGAAGTAGGATATGCGGATCTGAACCCAGGCTGTAAATTGAACTGAAACCTTATCATCGTTGGTTGAGAGTGATGAGAACTGTCCCGGAATGTGGGTGTATCTAGTATATGCAGTGGATCGGTTTCGCAATGCTCCCAGGCGAGGGCGAACTACGTTATGGTGTTAGTCATACTAAGGTCAAAGATTTGCTGCCCGCGGGGTTATAGGTCATCGTTGCGCTATGGATGTAACCGCAATGTATTTGCGACAGTGATGAAGTTACAGTGTAACGAAATCATAAATGCATATTTAGGAATATTCTTCAATACCATTAACGAAGATTTTAAGAAATACGTACCTGTATATGATGCCGCGCTTGTGTAAAAACTTAAGCCCGGACACGATTTCAGCCCCGTAGAACCGAGCACGTGGCTCCGGGAACCTTCCGCTTTGTTGTATGTGGAACATCAAGTCACCGCCATTCAGGTACTCCATTACGAAGAACAAGTGAGACTGCAAAATATGTTTTCTTTGACTTAAGAGCCTACGAAAGTGCTAAATGAAATACTTCAATGTTTGTTGTGACTGGCACAATCGCTTAAAAAGTGTAGTCTGTTACTGCTTACTGCGGTGAAAAGGTTTGAATATTAAGAGTGGAATTCAGCATACCGCTGTTTCCGTACAAACCCCACAGCACTATTAAATGTTAATATTGTTAAGAGCTGTGCACGATTATTAAAATCCTTTGCCTTAATTTTAATCTTTGGGAACATTATATAGCCGTATCTTAATTCTTATGTATCTTTAACATCAGCCGAAAGTAAAGATTGTCCAAGGGATTTTTTTATTGAATGTATTCTTTTCCTCTGTGATATTGCAAGTCGATTATAATGGGTGAACTTACGTCAGTCTGAAACGTAGCAAAAAGATGACAGAGGTAGGGATGGTTCGTTCCCAGCGCGAGTACTTTCCTCTCTATTAAGGTGCACTCGACGTCGTCATCTTCTAGAACGACGTCCTTCTTCAAACACTTCACGGCGTAATAGTACTCCGTGTCCCTTAATTCAGCGAGCAAAACCTGGAAGCGTACATATTCATGCATCATTGGGCTATTTACATTGAACGGACAAATTGCAGGGGAGGCACCGAATGAATCGCGGCGATTTAATTTATGATAATAGTGAAGTACAACGATGCTAAAAGCATGTCGGACTAGATGTACTATTCGATTATAATAAATCATATTCGCCTATTTGCCTCCCCTTACTGGGTGCACGCCAGTTTTTGCGATGTGAATAAAGTATTGAGTTACCTACACGCGTCCACAAGTTATACGGCAATGTCTGACCTCTGCTACAAAACATATTTACTCTATTGTTAAAACATGAAATAAAATCTGCCCTTGACGTTACAACATTTTAACACATCACTCTTTTTAAACCAGTAGTAATTTTAACTATGACATGATACAAGGAAAAGTCTTCTGATTAATAAAAACTAAGTACACGTTTAATTTTAATTACTGAAGTTCTTATTCTTTTTCGCCGCTGTTTTTTACTTCTCAATACTAATCTATTAACTTTTTTTTATAATTAAGCAAAACCGTAATTAAAATAATAGCAGAAAACAGTTTCAATTTTAAAACAAACTAGAAGAAAATCGGTATTCGCTGAAACAAAAGAAAAACCTTTCTCAATCCTTTTGTTACCGGACAAACAAAACGGCTAATTGCGCTTATCCTGTGAAATGTAAACGAAAAACGATGCAAAAGCTGCATTGAAAGATGAAAGGTATTTGTTCCCAATTTTCTTTCGTAAACGTGCCGGATTATAAGGTGTGAAATACGGAAGTGAAGAATTCATTTTATAACATGCACACATCGCTTTCTTCGTATTCTTGGCTCGGCGTCAAAGATAATTGGGACGGGCGGGCTACACCAGGAAGACGTTCCGATTTCGGGCTTGCGTATCGAGCTCGTATGCGAATTATTTCAACATGACATTACGTCTTTTGATGGAACTATGCAACGAATAGTTACATGACGACTTCTAACATTATTTTATATTACTTATTCAAATAAATAAATAAATTTGTAGTACCACAATATATGGCATTCGAATGCTCATATGGCGCATTATATCGATGTGCCATATATCTTCACTTGCCATTTTTTTATGTCAAAATGTGTTCACCTGATTATAGAACACAATTAGGGGCCAATTGCCGATTTCGTAGAGTAAAAGTTTTACGCCCAAACCCGTGGGTTCTGGCTAGCCCACCTGTTCTGCGTCAGATGAAGCTTTAATAGTCTCGGGACTGAAAAAGACAAAAACATCAGCTAATACAAGATACAAGAAGTTTTACACTTCTGCGTTTCCTCTGGAGAGTGAGGTAGCCGGGGCCCACTTTATTTAAAGGTGTCAACGCATTTGCAACCCTACGGGTGTTGCAAATGTCCATAGGCGGCGGTAATTACTTAACATCAGGTTAACGCCAGCTTGTTTGCCACTTTTTGACATAAGTAAAATATTGTCGATTGCTTCCACTTTACGAGTCTCAACAGGTGCTGTAGGTTGGTTTCCCATACCCGACAAAAATTGTGTCTTCGTCAAATAATTTTTCCGTGCTGGATATAATTTGTGACCGTTAATTTACCTATATTCCATTACGTTACTTTATAGTTCGCGAGTAGAACAAATAATGTTTATATAATACACACATGTTTGCAAGGATTTGATAAGAAGTAGATGTATACATAAATATTAAGTAAGTCTGTAACAGGAAATTGATATCACTTTCGTTACTAATGATATTTGAAAGAAGGCGGTTCAGAGTAGAAACGAGACAATGTGGTTGGAAAATGCTAGAGGAAGATCGGGAAAGATTTGGATGGACTGTGCGAAGAATGATAATTATGTCTGTTGAGATGATGGCTGATTGAGAAAAGTGGAAGTGTAAGGCCGATCCCACCTAGTGTGGGATATGGTCAGGAGAAAGAGGAAAAGAGAGGAATGAGACAATTTCTGAGATACGGTATTGGCATAATGAAGAAGAGAAGAAAACAAAAGAACGGCAAAGGGATTTGAGGACGTAATTACGCCTAAAATAAGTCTTTTATCACTTTTAATCGTTACACGTCATACCATCCAAATACCGCAGCGAGCTGATGTGATGTTTAAATTAAGAATACGTGTCCCAATTCTTATCCTTGTCGAGTGATTTTGAATCCGAATCTTTATCACTGAGGGCCTCGCAACAGCTTCGGCTGTTGCATGGGGCAGGTCCGTTCGGGTAAGTACCACGACCTCACAAAAAACCGGCGTGGAGTGGAAGTGTCATACTTCTGCGTTTCGTCTGGTGAGTGAGGTAAAAGGGGCTCAATTTATTAAAAGGTCTGCGTCCGGCAACGCGTCTTCGACCCTGCAGACGTTGTAAATGTCCATGGGCGGCGGGTATCACCTAACATCAGGTGAACCTAGCAGTAGAGCAGGTAGAGCCTACGCAGTAGGCATGTACCTTGTTTACATTTTAATGGTGTCCGACCGAAACTGGTTTTTACGACCGAAACCGAAACTTCTCTAAAAGGATCATGTTTTGAGGGAAGAATAAATATCTTTATATCATATAATTATGCAGTCTTCGACATTTTCACTTATACAATGGTATGATACTCAACTGAACAACGATTTCGGAATATGGCCAGTGATGTCAACGTCGGGAATAGAATGGCAGATATAATTGCCACGTACGAGATAGTGCGACAGGTGAACCGAGACGGGCAACATGCCATTTTGTTTGGGTTAGCGGTCAATCTGGATAAGTCGTCACTTGTATCTGTCGTTACTTACACACCACTTAGTCTGCCAAGCGTCTTGCAAGTCATGCATATGACTTGAGAGTTATTTCAAAATGACGAAAATAAGGAGGATGTTCTCAACTCCTTACCCCATAACGTTTTAAAATATTTATATAATACTTATTTATGGACCGATTTTGAAAATTCTTATTGCATTTGGTTCAGTTTAGCTCCCATGTGATACCACATTAATTTAATTTGTATTGAACATTGGGTTCCGGAGAAACATCAGGGAACTCCTCAAAACCAAATAGAAAACGTATAGCGAGTGAGATGTTAGGAGTCGGTCTCGTTTTATGTTTATAAAAATGTATGTCTAATGAAACTGCGTGGATGTTTATTTAAAACTAAAAATACATTTTTAAATGTATCACTAGGTTAAACACTGTATATCGTAAAATAAGCCCGAACTTACAGCAGAACTGACAAAGTCACGTAAACTTTACTTTCCAATTAAACAACTAGAGTACTGAGAACGGACGAAAGAAGGAGCAAACGTAGCCGACACGTAATTAAATGATGAATGTAGAAGAAAGATTCAATATGTAATACCTATGCTTGACAGGTGTCCGTGTTCGTATTGTGCACACAAATCCGTGTTTAAAGCTAATTTAATGGAATGTTTTGTACTTCTTCTCTAATGACTGCATCAATCAAATGGTCCTATCTGGCAGCATTATAAATGATCGTAAGTTTTCTAAAATGTACAATACACGAGCTCACGTGGTCATGTGATTCGTGTCTGGCGGGCTTTGTCGTCGTAAATATATCTCAAGTAAAAAAATAGATACCTACGTCTATCTCGTGTTTCTGGATTAAAATAGACGACTTTTTATATTTCAAAAATCGTCTACAAATACTCAACACCACAATCGATTACTACATGAAAATTATTTATCATTTATATATGGTTGGTAAAGTCTCATATGGAGGAGACAAGGTTTATGTTATCTATTTTGTTTATTTTACATGATTTCAATTCCCATTACGGTTTAATAGTCCCTCAATAACATTATTTTTGAAGTTCGTTTTGTTATATTATATCAGAGTTTTGGCAATACTCACCTATCTAGCTGCAAAATCAACTACGCCTAGTTTTCATGATAGGTTCATCGGACTCTGGCCGCAAATGTATTAATAGACACAAATTGACATTACACTCTAAGACTTGGAAGACGGTAAGGCGAAGATACACATGGAGTAATCATAATGTATCATTCGCATGTTTTTAGAAAGCGTCACGAAGGCCGTAAGAATCCCAATTTTAGACCCAGAAATCAAAAGTTTGTATCAGAGTAATATTTAAAGATTACTTTAAAGTGAACCCATACACATAAATTTCTAAATTATTTAAGTAAAATTAATGAATCGCTGAACTAGTGTTGACACCGATGAAATTGTGGATAGCAAGTTTGTGTCCATTAACATCGATTAACTGAAAGAAATTGCTGAAATGATAGGAACTATAGAAAAAAAGACGTGTTACATTGAAAATTCAGTCTGAGGAGGCTAAATTAGCCTGTTTCCTCTGAAGATTTAAAAAGATCCGCCAGAGGCAGTCCTAGTGCGTAGTACGTATATTTTGAAATGTCTATTGACATTAACTTTAAAGTCTTAACATTATAATAAATAAATTAATAAAGCGAATAAAAAATATTACAAAATAAATTATCATGCTTACAAAATATGTTGTATTCGCAAGTTGCACTTCTGACAGTCCATATAAACAAGATAGTTTATTTGTATTTTTTAAAAAGTATTTGGAGAGGATTTATCGCGAAGAACTAATTTAAGTAAAAAAAAATATATGTATGTACTTCACATTTCATAAACCCAAATGGTCCGACATTTCCAATATTTTTATCCACGAAAATTCTAGGAATGTCACAGAATCTAATTATATTAATGAAATGAATATGAAACTGCAGCTTCTGCTTAAATCCTACAAATGTAAATACAAATGTCCTAAATAAGATTTTAAAATGTATCAGCATTGATATTTAAAATGTTCAAAGTTTTCAAATAATTTTTGAATATATTTTTTTTTGTTATGATGTTGCTTTGTAAAGTGACCTATATCTTGTGTTTTATTTGTAGGGAAAAGGTATATTCATTCTATTTAAAATTTCACTTCGCAACGTGACATACTTTTCGACGTTTGCAGACATGAACCGTAAAATGTAGCCAATTTAGTGGTTTACGCGTGCATCGTAAAGAACAACAAGTTCTGCAAATAAGTAGACGGTTTCAAAAAGCAGTGGTTCAAAGTAGTGCTATAAGTCCCTTGGCATACAACTTGGGAGGAAGGTTAACGTTGTCTGTACCTATATTTTGTCCCGCTGTAGTAGCTGAGCCTAACCAAAACTTGTGTTTCTTTATGAATGCTTCAATTGGTGTTTGATATTAAAAATCGGGTATCGTTAGAAGTAGACTCTAGGAAGGCTTAGAAAATCTTTGTGATTAAGAAACATTTTGTTTTACAGTTAATACATACAATACACGGTAGAGTTGCTGTAGCAGCAAAAACTTTTTAACTAATAAATAAATAAATAAGCATTACCGCTTTCTAACAGCGGTCTTAAAGTTTTGTGACAACTAATTTAGAAATAAGTAATTTAGAGTGTGTCCGTTTCCTATGCGTCTCATCTAAAGAATCGAGTTATTGGCTTCACGGTTTACCATCAAGTAACTTGGGCACATTACTTGACGACGAAAGCTTACGCATTGTAGTAACTGTAGGAATCCGTCTTGGGGCACCGATTTGTCAACACAAATTTGGTCTCCACGGGCTTTCTTGTCAAAAAAGTCTAGCCCCGCCACGGTTCCCTGAACGAGTTCATCCGTAAGGCTCTTGTTTCCATCCATGTTCCATCTATATCAGAGCCCTGTGGCATTTTTCGCGACGATGTGATGGTAAGAGACGCGACGGTTTAACTTTGATCCCTTGGGAGAGAGGCAAAGCCATTGTTTGGGACACCACTTGTGTAGACACTTTGGCTGCCTCTCATCTAAGGGGTACTTCGGTCAGGGCCGGGGCGGCAACGGAGGCAGCTGAAGTAAGTAAATGGCGTAAATATGAGTCTTTATGGTTAGATTAAGTATTTGTGCCATTTGCTGTTGAAACTTTAGGTCCGTGGGGCAAATCGATTTTTTTTAAAGTTTATGTCCTAGGCTTAACGCCGCCGCTGGTGACAAGAGAGCTGGTTCTTTTCTCGCTCAAAGGTTAAGCATAAGTATTCAGCGAGGAAATGCAGGTAACGTTCTTGGCACCATGCCGCGCGGTTTATTAAATGTTTATTAGATAATATGTAATTTTAGATAGATTTAATCTTGTAAATATTATATCAATAAACTGTATGATATATAAATACTACTAATGCCATTTAAAAAAGCAAAAAAATAACAAGGAGTTTAATGAATAAGGGTTTGGATAAACGAAATAATAACGAAGGACACAGCTGTAGGTTAGAAGAGAAAACGCAATAAGATTATTTTATTTATTAACTTTTGACAACGACAAATGTTTTGTATTTACGTAATTAAGCGTTGAGTAAAGTCTAGGAAACGTTTCGTTATTTCATAATTAGGGGATATATTGATGTTTCATCTGATCCCTTAAGATATTATGCGATATAAGATTAAATGTAAATAACTGGGTTTAAGTGTTTTGGCATTATGAACACACAATATTTCAGAAAAAGTCAATCGCTTTTGTACTGTAGTAAAGTTCCGTCAATCTTTCCAAATTTCAACCTGTTTTTATTAAAATAAATATGTAAGTAATATCCCGCGTCGCGTCGCCTACAATGCTTTGTTTGCGTTTGTCACGACCGCGTTTTATAGACGTGTCTTTCAACGGTACAACACTCATCTCCCTTGTCTCGAGTCAAAATTCCGTTTGCAATATATGCGTGTTCCTATACTGATGGCCAGTTTTTTCTTGGCATATTCCCTTGCTTCATTTTTTTGCGTATTTATTTTTAGGACGACGCGTTCACATAAATTTTACAGTTTAATTGTTGGGACTACCAAGTTGTGAGTGCAGAAGTGAAATCAGACATGCGAAGTACACGTATTACGTCAATACTTACGTAAATCAATGGAACACTTGTAAAATTACAAGATGTACTTTAACTCTTATTGAATAGGCGTTATAAATAGTATTATTTCTAATAAGTAGTATTTTAAAAGAGGTCATATTATTTAGTTTAGTTTTTTTTAAACATTGTCCTTAATGTAGGATAACATTATCCTGTGTTGTAAGGACGTTTTACAAACATAACGTTTTAAAAAAAATATTGCAATAAAACTTATGCAGCAAAGTGGGCTACAAGTAATTTCTGTGGTCTGTAAATTCTATATTATTTTATGATTAATTTTATTTTATAGTCCTTATCTAAAAAAATTACATTTTAGTTTGATATTCTTATTCCCAGATCCATTTATATTCATATTAACATAACATAACGAATACAACATATTTATATCACTTTAAAGCGACACTGATCGGCAGTGTCCTCATAAAAACATTTTGTAAACAAGGTCGGTATCGCTTAGGGAATACGTAAATAGCGCCATGTTACAAAAAAAAAAACAAAGCTGGGAAACTGTTCAAATAAGCATATTGTTTTTCTGCCGAGTTCTCAGCATAAATGCATTCGGCTATCATAAGGCTATTCAACAGCGTGCCGATATTTCTTAATGACAACACTGGACCTCGATTTCTCGATGACCCACTTGCAAGAAGAGCAGCATCTCTGGCAGGCGAACTGGCATCACGTATCAGCACATGTCGAACCGACTATTTATATAGTTTTTAAAAATACAAGCGAAAGTAGTACTCGCTGTATTTTCTCAACCACCTTCGAAGGTCGCACTTTCTATTTGTGACGGAAAAAAATAAATAACCGTAAGATTCATTCGATATCTTCAAGTTAGTGACTGAGAGAAGGGTAATGAGATTCAAACAGCTTCTTGTCGAATGACGGCGTTTATTTCATTTTCAATCCGACTTCAACATTTTTTTTTAATTCGGTTGATTTTTTTTTGTTTGAACCGTTTGAAATATATTTTTGGATAGGGTTCGGTCTAACTCCTATATTAATTTCGTATGTATGTGAGATGTTTAAGGTCGGTTTTGTGTTTTACCTAATTGGTAAATTTAAATAGAGAGCTCATAAGAAGGTTGTCACTTGCGTTGTATCAAGACGCACTGTATTATCCTCTACTCACCTTACCGAAGCTGCCTTTGCCCAGAACCTTGATGAATTGGAAATCCTCAATCGTGTATTTTCTGAATCGAGGAATGGAGCGCGCCGGTGGCGTGAAGCGACCTGTCTTCCTAAACAGCCCGTACGCCGTTGATTGTTCTGCAAAGATTTTTTTTATGTTTAAACTATGACCACCATGAGGTTCAAAGGATTTCAATTAGGACTTGTTTTTGTAACAGTGAAGGGTATTCCGATCTTGGATAATTTTTAAAAGCTTTTTTTTAAACCGTATGCAGTGTGAACGTTTATTACGTGAGATGAGTGACAGTTTCTGGTTTGTGTCTGTACGTTACCACGGCCCCACAGAAGCCCAATCGTACAGTGCCACAGAAGATCAGTGTGAATTATACTTTCGCATTTCTCTGGTGAGTGAGGTAACCGTCACTTTTTTAAAGTTTGTCAACGCTTCTGTAAGCCGTCAGGTGTTGTATTGTCCATGGGCGGTAATCACTTAACATAAGTTGAACAGCCTGCTCGAAAATTAAAGTATTACTTGTGAATTAAGAAACTTCGGATGCAAAGAGATGTTTTGAGTTGAATGCAGAGAGATAATTGCCACTTCTATGAGGTTGTCGGTATTGGATTATGCTGGCAGTGATATCTCAGGGGTTCGTTATACATATTTAACAATCTTACAAAATTGCCTAAATGTAAGATGTAGACTCTTCCTGTAAGTTCAGTAAAAATGACGTTAGGTTTTTTAACTAGGATGAAGTTAGATGAGAAAAATATTTACACGTAGATGGAATGTACATAATATCATTTAGTACTATCTTTTCCTATTTATGAGGTCCGGCTTATTTAATATCAGAAAGGAAACTTTTGACATTGCTTCGTTTACATAATTGATAAAATATTTTATTTTTGGAAAAATTTTATAAAAGAAAAAGACTAGCATAAGTTACTAAAGTTTCATAATTTTTAGCTTGACAGTCAAATCAAATTCTTATCCAGGAGAACCATAAAAATTATAAAGAATATTTCTCATTATCGTAATTACATTATTACGGTAAGAATCAATATTTATATTTGTTATTATTTTTATCTAAAAACGAAATAACAAAATTATAGAGTATAAATTCTTTCACCTCGTACAACGTAAGAGAACGGCCAAAAATATTTAGCTCAGACAGAGCAATATCAAGGTCGCCGTGGATAAATTTGGACCTCGTCAATTCACAATTTTCGCGATTTATTGACTATATTTACGAAAAAATTCGCGGGATACTTTATCCGAAGCTGATATTAAACACAAATATCTTTACGATACGCATTTCTAGCTGCCATTCAATCGGACTTAATCGACTCGCGTTTTGCCTCATGTGTAACGGCAAGGTTTCAGGACTTACTAAACTCGGAAAATGTTGAAAGTACTAGTTACCTTCCTCTATCATATTAAATTTATTTCTTTCGATCTTTCTTAAGTGAATGGACCGAGTTACAATAGCTACAATTAGCAATATTGCGTGGGGACCATTTTTGAGATTGAAAGACAAGGTTTTCAGATTGCTTGCTAGTCGCTCAATCCGCTGACATTAAATAATAGTGCAATCTAAAATATTTTTATTTGTGCTTGTGCTTTTTAAGTCACTACAATTTATGCTTTAGACGGGCTTTGATCGACTACGAAGAACAAAACAACTACGCGAGGTATGAAGATCTAAAGTAAAAATTTTTAATAAGAAATTTGTGAAGGGAACAAATTGTCAGTAAGGATGATTGTTTTGTATGGAATTATTTAATATCTTCGTTTATTCAAAAAGGATCAACTTCTAGTTCGCAGTTAAAGAATTTGCGAATAAAGCAACATTTACATGGATTAATTTCGGAAGCTATTAAGTTATGATAATAACGCGTCTCTGGAACACTGCCTACCCAGTAAAAGATTACCAACGCGTATTGATGTCAAAAACATAATTTTCTTTCAAATGTAACACGATCTCATGGCATCTAGAATCTCTATAAATTATGTTTTGTCCGGGCGCTTGCCTTTAATTCAATATACTCGAGCAACATGAGCTCGATCCCCGGCACCAATGAAGTTTTTAACTTTAAGTGCTGAATTATCACGTGCTCCGCGGTGATGGAAAACTTCGTGAGGAAACCTGCATATTTTCGAAATAATAACAAAAAAAAAAGAAATTTTTCGAAGATATGTGAAGTCCGCCAACCCGGAGTGGGGCCAATAGAGGAGGCCTTTGCAGTGGAACATATACAGGCTGTTACTTTACTTTACTTTTTTTCTATGGGTTAAGCAATCATCATTATTAATATGCCGTACTGAACGTATGCATAACCAATAGACTAGTTTTTTCAAATCTTATGGCCAGAACGTTACAAATTCAAAAATTTAAAAGAAAATTTTAATGCTTGTGAAGGCTTTGACCATTGTTGGTGTGGTGTTTTTATTTATTACTTTTCTTTAATTAAAAATTGTCGCATTATAAAATTTTCGTATATCGTAATTATAGTTCAAGTGTGTTTGGCTTCTTTTCCGTATAACTTGTACAGATATAAAATAAATATACAGGTAAACAAACTTTATTATTTTTGTGTGCAATTTATTTCAAGTTCATTTCAAAGATTTTTCGTATATAAATAATACAATCGCTTTCAATGTGCGGTTGTAATAAATTATTCAGCCATTTTGACGCAAAAATCTGTTTTACATCTGCACTGCACCGGATGACTTCACACGGTCTATCGTACAGTATTAGAGTTGAGATTACGTAATGGTAAGTACATTGCTGATACATGTATGACAGTTTATAGCGGGCGTTAGACTCATAAGTAAATTAGGTGGCATTTATTATTTTTTACCCACTTTCGATTCACTTTCTATGAAAGTTTATTTTATACATTATTTACAGTCATTAATATTTTGTAGGTTTTTTTATTAGTATTAAAAATGGACAATGGACTAATTCATCATATAACTTCCTATAATCTTTATTAATCCACGGCCTCATATAGAACGTTAAAAGGGTGCGGTATTAAGACACCAAACAGACAGATAATAATCCAAACAGATATAAATTAATTAAAAGTATAACAGATCAATAACTTTTTCAGATTGGGCTACAATAAGAAAATGCGTCATTTTTTTGGCAATGCTCCCAAGCCTCGTGTATTTCCTTGTATCCAACATCTTCGATTGTCTTTTTTACGCAGGTGCGCTTCTGAGAAAGTGCACAGAGGTTTGGAAAACAAAAACAATTTCGTCTATTTTCACAGGAAAACACTGAAAGTGTTTATCTACGCAAACCTCTGTTAAGAAACATCGGCTCTGAATGAAACTTTTTTGAATCTTCTCAAAAGTATCCATATATAAAATTTGTCTGACTAGTATAGTATTTTTATTAGACTTAAGGAGACATATAATATATTAACCCGGATTGCGGAAACTAAACTGGACCATGCGCGATCTAATTTTCCAGAGAAAGTTATCAAAACGCTTATACCGTCGTTATTATTAGATATCTTGAAAATACCTCGCCTCAAGCCGATTGTGCCGGGAAGTATAAATTTATTATCACTAAAACTGTTCTACTCGGAATAGAATTTATGGAAGGCAGTTTCAAACAGAAGTAGCCCATTCGCCGAACCTCAGAAACATTTACGTACCTGCATTAGCAACACATGCATAAATATCAAATGTTAGGAGAAAAGCGAAACTACTTTGTCGGTGATGGTTAATATTTTTGTAAGGTAACACAAAAACAGCATATAAAGAATAATGACACAATACAAAACGTATACAGGAATGCGGTTTGCAATTAATAATTCGTTGTACATCTCACCCAGTTCCTGTTCTAAGATATTAGAGGCTACAGTTTGCGCAGGAACAATCCCTGTAGAAGTGCTGGGGCAATCTCCACCTGTACATACGTCTAATGAAGCTTGCACTATCTAGCACACGATCTTCTAATTAGTACAATTTGCATGTCGTAAATCTCATAAGCTAAATGTGTGTATTAATTTAAATATCATTTACTTACAAAAGCAAAAAGATTTTAAAGAAGTCTCATTTTCGCTGATCAGATCCTAGCCGATAATTGTGGGCCTCTGAACCTGTAGCTATATATTGTTATTTCCTTATTCCACGTAGATAATAATAATAATTTGATTATTTTATTCCCCTAGTTAATAGTTGATTTTGCGTATACTTTTTAAACCCAAGTGCAGAATTGTGTAAGCCACAAAATGGCCGCTAAACAAACCGCCCAACTCTACGCCAATGTAATGGGTAGTGGTTCTGGGCCGATAAAAATACGTAACGTTTGAAGCGTAGCCAAATATATTGACGATACCAGCAACCATCAAAGATTACTAAGAAAATAGGCTTGTGATCTCTGTCATTATAAAGAGCGGTACAATAAGTTACCTATGATATCAATTGTAACAAAATCGCTAAACAGGAAAATCAAATTAAGTGATTATTATGGTAATTATATTAGGGTCAAATGCTTTTTTGATATTCGTGTACTAATAGAAAATACAAAACGAAATATGCATTAGATTGTTTTTCGTACAAAAGGATCCTTTCTTTGTCTTTATCTTGGACATTTATATAACGTTTGTTGTATAATAAATTACAGGTGAGCATACTATTGGCTTCCGTCCAGTCTTTCACATTGTGATCCCATCTGCATCATGTACTGGTCAAATAAACAAATAGAATGTACACATTTCATGCAAACGCTGTCCTTGATTTTTATAAATATTTGTCAATATTAATGTACATGATTACTGATCAGCTTTGCTACCATAGTGAAATTTATAAGAAAAACAGAAAAATGCGGTAAATGAAATTCCTGTGAAATCAGCAATATTCAAGACAAGACGATTTATTAATTACGTTTAAGATAAAAGCTGGTAATTTCTGGTACAATATTTAGTGCTAAAGGTATAGAAAGCTCCTTTCTCGCAATAAAATCCTAATTTTTAAATTGAGAAGAGGGCACAAACCGATCTTTCCGGTTGCCATTTTTTTCTTCTATTATTACATTATATTAAATAAAATAATATTATATATAATATTATTTTACTATCTGAAAGAACATTTTTTTGTCACCGAATTGTTTAATATTATGAAGTATTTTTCGCCGCTGCCAGTTGTTTATACCACGGATGAGCAACGCGCGGCCCGCGGGCCGCTTGCGGCCCCTTAAACATTTTTATGCGGCCCGCCAAGCATTTCTAAAATTTTATGGAATTTCTCCCATCAATATATTGTTATAAAATTAATTATAATAAAATGGTAGTACATACTGAACCGAAATATTTTTTGTTCGTTTTTCTGCTCTTTTCTTGTTTGTTTTTACCTTGCATTAAAATTTGTATATGAAATCTGTACTTTTTTTAACTTTATATTTTTTTATTCTAATATTTTTTATAAATCAATTTTCGTAAATTATTATGTACGGCCCGCCAAAAAAATTAGAAATTTAAATTGGATCATTTATTAAAAAGGATGCTCACCCCTGGTTTATACCAATAAGCGCAGAGACCAGCACTAAATTTAAAAATTAAATTTCAATTATTTCTTCTCTTTTTCTTTTAGAATCGGGACTATATCCCGCAATTGATTGCCATCACTGTAAATCAGTGTTGTAGTTTTAACTGCAACATTTTGATGAGTGATGTTCTTTATATTCAGACCAACGGCATACAATAGTCAAATGTAAAATTGTAAATTTTAGAGGTTAATACACTATTTGAACTTTTTCCACTATTGTTTTTCATGAGTATTGTGTACACCATTTTGTGTCCGTTGTTTTATGTCGAATTAACTTCTTTCCATCTTGCTTCTTATTGAAATGTCTTAAGCTTAAGGAAATATAGTAATATCTGATACAAGATTCTTTCACTCGCATTGGTATTACAGGCTTTATTTTATTAGCCACGGCGATGCAGTAACAAGAGCTGACGTACCCACCTCTTCTAGACGCAGTTCGAGATGCAAGAGCTTCTACTAGCAGCCGCTGGTTCACTCCACATAAATTCGCTGTCAACTTTTCACACTTTCTATGGCAGTTAACATCGCAGTCTAAAACAAATAATTGGAATTGCTTTGCTACAGGTTTGTTATAAATTGTATTTTTTTAGTTTAGCCATGCAGATGCTGTCGTGCAATTAGATTGTATCTACATATGTACACATTGCAATTAGGTTAAATACATGTAAGGGCAGTTTTAGAGTCCTGAGTTTGTACCTAAGGTTGCAAAAATTTATTCTATCCATACCTTTTCTAACACAGTTGAATCCTGTAGGTGAAGTTGAAGCTGAGGAATCAAAACCGGAGTCATTTGACCCTGTTGATGTTCTACCGTCAGGGTTGTCGCATTCGAAGAATTCTGCTGAACTTTCACTTGAGCTTGACTCTTCCTCATCTTGATCCTCGTCTGAAGTTTCATCATCAGACGTTGTTCCTGAGGAGCTTGAGGAACGAATCGGCTGTGGAACTTTCTTCTGCAAGGGCCTTGGAGTGGCTATTAATGGCTTTAACGCCTTTTCTTCCTTGACTGGTTTAAAAGGTTTTGGATTAATTATTTGCTTTATCGAAGCTTCTTCAATACGTTGCTTTTCATTTTCTTGAGCCGCATCGGGCATACATATGATTTCTTTAGTGTCTGCTTCATGTGATTTTCTACCTTCAATATTATTTGGAATGTTTTGATGTTCTAATGGTGTTCTTGAAACATCATATTGTTCTTGATTACTTTTTATCGTATCACAAAGAGATTCTGCCTCCTTTTCGTTACCAAGATTAATCGTGTCTTCCTGTTTGTTTTTAATTGACTTCCTTGATGAATTAACAAGTTGTAAGGAACTTTTTTTAATTTCACCCCGATTTTCTTCACCGCTAATTTTCCTTAATGTCTTTTCTTCAACAATTAAGTTGTTACCTTCATTTTTCACTGGAATATTGTTAACATTTAACTTTGGCTCAATGTCACTGTGTTCATTTAAGATTTGATTTTGATCACCTATTAAATCAGTCTTAGCAGCTTTAATTTCATTCTTTTTCTCGTTATTAATTAATTGATTATGTTTTTCATCTTTTGTTTTCTGTGAACTTTTTTTTAATTTTTTAGCCTTCGAATCCCTTGAGGTCTCTTTAAATTGAGCATTATCCTTTGGGTAACTAGTAGAAATCGTTTTTACTTCGTTAAGCGACGAATTATTAAACAATATTTTATCATTACATTCAGAGTTGCGTACAATCTGACCGCCAGTTAATACTTCCTCACTAACTTTTACTTCTTTTGTTATTGAAGATCGTGAACTGGTGGAATTCATGTTATCATTAATGATATTTTTTTCTTTACTTTTTTTATTGATACTACATGAGTCTTCGTCCACAGTTTGCATTTTTGCAGGGAATTCTTGATCAACATCTTTTAGCTCCAATTTACTCTCCATGGGTAATGTTTTAATTTCGTTAATTTGTTGGGATCCTAGAGGAGACGAAACAATTTCAGAATTGACAACATATACATTTTCAGTCTCAGTTTTTGATTTTATATTAGTCACTTTTTCAAGGACTTGTTCTGCTTTTTCAAGTTTGTTATCGACCTGTATTTCGTTAATTTTAGTTCTAAAATTTTGATCCTCAGACTGGTTATTTTTAAGGTTTTCTTTAATATTTTCTTTACTTTCATAAGCATTTTCGCTGTTTGCACATTCTTCTTCAGGATGCCAAAATAATGTCCGTTGCTGATCTTCTTTAGCGTTTGCTAACTTTTGCTTTCTTGTTGTTAAATAAACTGTTTCTCGTTTTCCTATTTTGTTCCAAAAATTGCCATCCTCAGGTTCGGGTGATACGGGATCAGTAGTTTGTGTGGAAATTTTATTTTTGCTTGTCGTGTCTTTGTTCTGTGCTTTTACGTTTTCAACTTCACTGCTGAACATAATTTCTTTCTTAGGTAATCGAGGTTTCTCATCGACGGTTATATTTTCTACTTTAAATCTTAATGGGCTTGAAGGTGGTGTTACTTCTACAGTTGATGTGATTTTCGTTTTTAATATTGGTTTTAATTTTGGTTTTTGTTCAATATCTTTTAATGACTGCCTACTTTCGTCAATAGCTGGCAAGTCTTTTTGATTAAGTTCTGAAGGAAATTCTGTAATTGAATTTAACTTAGAAATGTTGCCACCTGAAGCCGATTTTTTCACACTTAGTCTTTTTGATGTGTGCTTTTGATCTTTTAATTTATTCAGTCGATGATGTAACGAATGGTCAGACTTTGTGGTTGTTAAAGGATTTGCACTTTCAGGCGCTGTAAAACTATTGGATGATTGTTCTGCATCATTTTTATGGCTAGGCTCAGATTCATTTGTACCAATTTTACTTAAATCTAACGTTGCTGTACTAAGGTTTTCCTTCCTTATTAATGAATCTAACAAACACGCTTGTTCTGCTAACAGTTCCATCGAGCATCTTCTATCAGGTGATTTATTACTTATTATTGTGTTGTGTTCCATTGATGGTATCTTTACGAGGTTTGGTTGCCTTTTTAACCCAGTTTTAATGTTGTCTATTATATCAGAATCCTTATCTTTAACTTGAAATTTTTCTATTAGCTTGGCTCCTAATGTTTTCTTTTCTCTCGTGTCTTTATAAATTAAGTCGTCAGATAATTTCTCTCTCCACCTTTTAGTCTCTACAGATTCCTCTTTGTCTTTTTGTTCTTTAACATTGCCACTTTTATTTTGTAGCTCTTCGACTGGTTTCCGAGGTGAATCCCTTTCCTTCCGTTTTAAAGTATGTAACCTAACAACGGTACGATCCCTCTTAATTGTACCCCGTTTAACACCTGGTGAAGTGTCTATTCCAGTTTCAGGTTTATCTTCTACCCTTGACATAAGCGGACATTTATCTTTTTCAACATTTGAGTTTTCTTTTTGTGATTGTGATGAAAGATCTGTAACGGGTGGTATTTTGTCCCTATATTTGTTTCGAGATACATCGATATCAGCTGTGTTGATATTCAAAGGACGGGGAGTATAGGGTGCCGACACATATGTTCTGTTAGATCTACTCTGAATTGGGGCCCTTCTTGGACTATTAACTCTCACTGGGCTGGAAGTTCCACGTTCTGAAATCGTACTCAGCATTGGAGAATAAGACCTGCTGCTTGGGATCCATCTAGTTGTCAATGGTGTCCGCGCGTATCCGCCTAACGATGAGTGATTACTATAACTTGCACCGGGGTTGAGATACGAAGCACTGTACGAAGTACCCAACGGGGTGAATGAACTACCGTAACTATACGGCGAACTAATATACGACGGGGTCCCACTGTAATACATATTTGAAATGTGTTCGGAAAACAGTGGCATTTTAGCGCGTTAATTTCCGACGTGTTCGACGCCGAAGCTTCGGCGGAATCGCGGCGCAGACTGACGGAGGCGGTGGACGGCGACGCTTGGGCATCAGGTGCGTCCCGCCCACCGCCTCGAGCCCCTCTACCCAGGTGATTGATTGATGCTTCGTTGACAATTATAGCCGCCGCACGACGAAGCCATTATTAAAGAAATTTGTCACTTTAAAGAAAAAAATCTCAATACCCTAAAGTTCCGATAAGGAAAGTCTCTATTACGTATCTCCATGCATGAAATACAACATTTAGGTCCTTACTGATATGCATAGATTCGCTTGAATGACGAAAATAAATCGCCACTCTATTTCTATTCTTAGCGGAAGATCTCGACTACGTAGTTCGACGCTGTATTTATGTGTTTGTACCTCAGTAATTACACAATAACTATTATTATGTCTGTGTAAAAGTCATAGTGCAATAAACATAAATTGTACCTAATAATTGTAATAATTTAGATGAATATGAAATGTGGGCAATCATTTTGTTTAACATTTAACTACCCCTAGCTGTGTATGTTGATGATTTTTTTTTAATTAAATGTTTATTAAGAACAATTATTTTTTCATTTATTCGTTACAAGTGTCATAGTGTTACATATATATGTTAATTACCCTTCACTACGATATACTACCGACGAATATAAAAAAAATTAAATTTAAAGAAAAATTTATATGTGATAAATCGATGTCGGCTTACCTGCAGCCTTTGCCGTATTAATGATAAAATAATATGGACGAGAATTGATGAATTCCTAAAAGAAGTTTTCCATCGATGATACGAGAATAAACGGAAATCAGTTTGTATTTAGTAAGTAAAGTTTGGTGAGTATGATGGGAGATAGAGAGTTTCCATTCGTAAATTCTGAAGACATAAGACGCGGAAGACGTTCGTTTTGTGTGGAGATACTGATACCTCAAAATAAAACTTAACAATAATTAATTAAATAATTTTGTATTAAGTGTCAAGAAGCTATAATAAATAATACAGGCATATTCCACCACTCAAGCAAGTGAAATTGCCGTTAAGACATGATTTAGCTGTTGCCTTTCCGAAGTTTTGCTTGTGTTGATTGTCATACAGGCTCTGAGCTTACTGAGCTTTTTGATTGTTATGTAAAGACGATTTACATACGTAAATTTCACGTGAACAAACACTGAAACATCTGTGAGTTAAACAAAATAAATAGTTGTCCCGTGTGGGAATCGAATCGACGGTCGTCGATTCGATCGATCACTATTAAACGTCCCACGTCTATTAAAATAAATATAAAAATTACCAGAATAGATGCAAAAACAGCAAAAAAGCACCATGCGTTGAGTTGCTCCATACAAATCGTATATTTGAGTGTCGTCTGTGATGCGTTGGTGCAAGAATAAGAACGTTTTCAAAAATAACTCCCAATTCATTCCATTTTTCCATAGTTACTTTTTCATGTTAAGTAATCTGTGTCCACCTGTAATTGTTGGAACATTTACGATTTATTTATTTTTTTTACTTTTATAATTGTTCTGCATGTTTAGTGTGTCCAATGTTAGCGAACCTTAATAATAAATAAATAAATAAATAAATAAATAGTGACAGAAACGGGGATATCAATCAAGAATAGAATACTGGAAAAATATGGCTATATTATAATAATAATTAGACGCGTGTATTTCTTCTCTTCTTAATTATAGTCGATTTTGTAGGTACTTTTATGTAGGTACGGATTTAATAGTAAAAAAAAGTAAGTAAAGTATCAGCCTAAACATGTCCCACTGCTGGGCAAAGACCTTCTCTGTACAGAGGGTATCAGGGCATAGTCCACCACGCGGCCCCACTGCGGATTGGCGGACTTCACATATTATCTTCGAAACATTTTTTTTATGATTACTTCGAAAACATGCAGGTTTCCTCACGATGTTTTCCTTCACCGCTGAGCACTTGAAGTTAACAATTTCATTGGTGCCGGCACCGGGGATCGAACTCAGGTTGCTCGAGTATATTGAATTAAAGGCGAGCGCCCGACCACTGAGCTATAACGGCTCTTATAAATCCGGATATAATAAATCCATGATTTCAATGTGGCCGCTGTCTGTATTCTTCTTTCTTCTTCTTCTATATACTTGACTTCATTTAAAACTTGAATAGCATTCATTTATGTTTCAGACTTACTACGTACTAACCGAAACAAATGAACAAATGTATTGCTAATAGAATAATACGCGGCGACTTGAATGATGATTAATTGTGTTTTTAACAAAATGTCCGTAGTTTTATCAATGTCGGTTATTTGGTAAACTATTTATGTAAGCTTTTTAAAGAAAAGGCACAAGACGTCAGAATAACGACTAATTATTATGATGTCGATAGTTTTTCCTTAATAACCTCTGCAATTAATCACTGATACTTTTTCTGTTTTAGATTTCAGGCGTCCGAGTGTTATTCAGTTGGCTTGAAAATTATAAATTTTATTCCGATCCGCGCATGGAGCGCTCAGATTAAATACGGCACGATATAATCCGTGAATTAGTTTTATTAAAATATTATTATTATCTCTTATTCTTTAAACGAGCTATTCTTGTATATATATATATAAATATCGTTACCACCGCGACAATAAATGAACACACATATAGAGGATAACTTTTTAAAATTGTATTAAACATTTACATTCTTTAAACATTCCAGTTATTAAATTTTCCAAAACAAATAATTTTAGAACAACCTTACGTATAAAACTGTAAACGTAAAGTTCATTTGTAAAGGTCACAAAGCATATGAATGGGTTGAATGAATTTAAAAGAGACAAAACATACTGTTAGAAGGAGAAGCTTGTAATGCGACGCTGTGGCGCGAGTTGTATAGGATGATACAAATTTTGTTTCTTTTTTACTTTATTGGTTTGTTTGAAAAATATTTTTTTTAATTATGGATTTTGTTTAACGTTAATATTTTTTTATGATTATTGGCAAGTAGCGTTAGACGTGTGTTCATGGAAACGGCTCTAGCGATTTTCATGAAATTCAGTATGTGCGTAGATTCGGGGGCGAAAAATCGATCTAACTAGGTTTCATTTTTAGAAAATGTCCTTTTTTCCCTGTTTTCAGGGAATGAAAAATATCATTCGAATACGACGGTAAATTTCGCCGCAAAAAAAAAATGTTATAATAGCTCGGTCGGTAATCGGGCGGCCGCTAACAAACAGCCACGAAACAGAAGGCCGTAGTTCATATCACGATCATTTACATACTTATTTTTTTACTTTTTTTTCGATTCCAGATCATTGCTTTCTTTATCTGTTATTTTTTGTCGATTTGTTATTTTGTTATTTTTTCCCTTTTTTTTCAAGTTCTTTCTTTTGTGAAAAACACGAGTTCATATTTTCTTATTATTACGTCGGTAAGATCGAAACATATTATGCATATTTCATTACTTAGTAATTTGTATCTAAATGTAATTTCCAAAATACACGATTTACCAAAAAAAAAAAACAACAACCGAGCAAAGCTCGGTCCTCCGGGTACTTATATATTATATATACTTTATTGTACACCACAAAAAGTTTTATACAGTTGATATAAAATAAATCTTAAAAGCTAGGTACAATAAGGCGGTTTTATCGCTAAAGAGCCATTTCTTCCAGACAACCTAAGGACAAGGAAAATTAAACTTATGAATAGTGGGAGATGGTGTGCTTAATAAACTTACTTAATAATAACAAAATAAACTATAATAAACATAAATAAATATATGAAATATATAATATTCACATTAACATGAATATATAGTATTCACATAAATAAAATAAAAAAAATTATTACCTGTAGGCAGGTAAAATTGTTTTAAGGCCTATATATGTCCAACTGCTACCTGCTGCTGATGGCCCAAGTAACTGAGACTAGGTTCTTCACCAACCTGGGGCGGATGTACGAGCTATGGAGTGGGTTATGCTCGATGTTTTCGCAATACGGATAAACTCAGTAGAACGAGAGTAACCGAAATAGCTCAGAAGATTGGTAGGCTGAAGTGCCCATGGGCCGGACATATAGCTCGTAGAACCGATAACTGATTGGTAATAAAGGTTCTCGAGTGGTAGCCTGGTATTGACGATCGTGGATCGACTCGCCACTATATGGAAGTGTATGGATGCAGGTGGCTCAGGATAGTGCTTTGTGTGATTATTGCTCCCACCATGCCGCTTATGTTCAGCAGTGGACTAAAACATGCTGAAACGATGAAGAGCTGACATTAGGAACACAAAAATGTATCGTAAGAGATGGTCAAATGGTTATGGTTTATGGTCTATGTAAATCAATTGTTCGTTAGCATCGAGTAGTGCGGAAACTGTGCTGGTTCGCTAATCTAACGTAACGGACGTATTTCTTGTTCGTAACATTTTATTTAAGTGTTTTTACTCAAATTTTCCTTAAAGTATATATATTTTTTTATGTGATAAGTAGTAAACGAGCTAGCAGCTCACCTGATAAGTGATAACCATTGCCCATTGACATTTGCAACACCCGTAGGGTTGCAGATGCGTTGCCACTTTTTAGTAAAGTGAGTCCCGTCTACCACACTGGACGAAACGTCTGTCATCTGTGAGGTTTTCAAATATTTAGTTTGAAACAAAATAGGCTTGAAAATACAAAGTGATAGACAATACCTAGGACGAGATGGACAAATCTATTGTGCGGACCGCGATAACGTTGGCCATTGGGATAGACAGTGCTATTCGTTGGCTGGGAGCGGTGAGAACCACCCTTAAACTCGGGTGTACTTCGTGGACGCAAGTGGTGGTGTAGTTTTATATATATAGTATAATAGGCTCCTATAAGCGAACTACAATGTGCGAAGTTTAACGTTACCCGCGTGTTTGATCTAGTTTTGCGAGGTGGGCATTCCCTGGCCAGTTATAACATTTAATAATACTTGACAACATTAAACGTATTTGATACATGAAACATGTACTATCTTATTTTAAAAAAATATCTAAATTAAAAATCTCAAAAGCGAAAAAGTAGTCGAAAAATATAAACGGCATTATTATAAATAATGCTGTCTATAATCAATAGGTTAGACAAATGTTAATTTCTACAAAATGTTAATGTTTTATTGACAATACACAGGACAACACTCTGTTGCTTAAGATGGCACACAAAAGAATTAATGATAATTACAACATTTAAAAATTAAAAACATGTAATTAATTGATGTTAAATAATTAACCCGACGACAAATAATTTATGTAAGTAAAAGGCAAAACGGTTATAGCATACTCCCTGTAAGATTTAACATTATCACGAAAAAAAACCATTAATAAAATCAAATGTTTCAACTTCTTTTTTTTACATTGCCCTTACCTTAGAATAACATTATCCTGTGTTGTAAGGACGGTTTACAAACTTATATTTCACGTGGACAAACACCCAGATGCGAAACTATTATCTGTTGGTCCCACAATTAGTTGTCCCGTGTGGGAATCGAAACCACGACCCCTTATGCCGAAGCCTGCCTTGGCAACTAAGCCACGGACTCATCAAGCCACTTCTTGATTAAGTCAAGAGTTAAGGTCCTTGTGACGGCAATAATAGCTTATTCAAAGATGTTTTTAAGTTTTTGGTCGGGACCGTGGGAGAGCAAATCACTACGAAGAAACCTGCAAGTCTGACGCCCGGTTTCTGAAACGCTGATCATCGTAGATTTCAACTAATCAGATGTTAAATGGCTTTTCAAATGTTATTTGAGTTGCCAAAGGATTGTTAAACTCTTTGAATTAATCATTCTTATTATTAAGAAGATCATTCTAATCAATTCACACCATATGGCAGTTAGACTCTGTCATATGGTCTCGAAATAATTCTGGCCTGATATAAAATAGCATAAGTATACAAATATTTAATAATAACGTAATTTTATTATATTTAATATTATATTAAAACATATAACAGTATACCTTAACTAAATAAAAACTTATTTACACTTAACTAGGCGGGATATAATACTAATTGAAATGGTTTAAGGTGCGACTACAGTGACGTAGTTTGGATAATGTTTAATCTATTTCATCTAAATAGAAAGTGTTATCTACCTTCACATTTGAGGCCCTGTTTAAAAAAGCCGCACAGGAGTGCACCGCAGTGATCGCAGAATGTCGGAGACATGAACTGGTGCGGTCGGAAACGATGTGGCACGTCCACTTTGAAACGCTCCCGTAGATACTGCGGACGAAGATTCTTTATTTTACCTTCGTACTTCAACCGAGTAGACCAAGACAGTTATATTAACTTAAACTTTCAGGTCTCAACCCTAAGCTAAAAGGGGTAAAAAACTCGTAAAAATTCTAGTTAGTTTCTATGCGCCCTAGTTATTACCAGAGCACACAGAAAGATCTGGAGAAAAAATTTATGATTCAAATAATGAAGAGCAATAGCTCTGTTTACTTCTACAAAATTTTCAATATGGCTCATTTCAACGATCTTTATGGTGATGACATTTCATCAGAGATCGGAAGCGAAAAATGAATTGTATAAGATAAGAGAGGTTCGTTAAACTATCATATACTATGTAATACCCTATAATTTAAACAAGTTCAACATTTATATCATCAAAAAATGAATCCGACTTCAAAGATTCTTCTCCTCCATTCACTATACTTAGTTACACTAGTTTTCGATTTGATTTTGAGGAGTTCCCTGCTGAATCTCAGAGAGTCCAAGGTGAAATACAAATAAAATTTATTTAAGAGCACATGGGAGCTAAGCCGAATCCAATACAAAAGAATTATTAAAATCGGTTCATTTTGAAGTTGGTCGAAAGAGACAAAAAGGGGTTATTTTTTCAGCCTCCAATTCAATTCAGTGTTAAATACTAAATTATACTGGAAAATTATAGAGACCAATTGGAGAGAACTGCAGGGTACGTGATGGAGGAGCTTTTTACAATTTCGACCTCGTGCTCAAATGTCAATGTGGTGTCTATAATAAACAATACGAAATTAGTTATATACTGCGTTTTCAGTCCGTAAACTATACAAAAACTCATTGGGCACAGACCTCGTGAGACGACTGCTTTACGACGAGGCTTGATATACAGCGTGTCGTTACCATCGCGACAATAAATGAACACACGTCTAACGCTACTTGCCAATAATCATAAAAAAATATTAACGTTAAACAAAATCAATAATTAAAAACATTTTTTTCATAGGCTGTATATAAGGCGTCACGTAGCATCATCCGAATATTAATGAACGCTGAAAATATGCAACAAGTCATTGAAATGTAGAAGAAGCATAGGGGACATGTTGTTAAAATGAAAAGAAAGCTTAGTTGGTAAAACGTATCGTGTACTAGAGGACTCAATCTGCAGAAATGCACATTTCGTTAGTCCAAGTAAGTACGCTTACTACGGTCGCCTCGGAGCACGCGCAGGAGCCCGGGCACTTGCCCAGTAGCTTGCTGTGGCATCGCTTGTGCACCGCCGTCTGGCACACGACGCAGCGGTAGCCCTGCTTGCCGAAGCCCCACAGGAACTCCTTGCAGAAAGCGCAGAAGGTCGGCTGCCGGAAAAACTTCGCCACGAACCTGTGCCCGTTCACCTCGTGGATTCTGGAACATTTATGTTAATATCATTACTTAATAACATTTACCTAATAAAACATTATGCATATGCTTACATGTTATAGAATTTTTCGCAATGAGCTACTTTTAAACGTGTTTATGTTAGGGATTTGCAAGTAATCAAGCGCCTAATTTGATGTTAAGTGATTACCGCCACCATAGGTGTTGTTAATGCCGATGGCATTAACAACACCTATGGTTGCAAATGCCACCAATCTGTGAGCCCAGTCAATTCACTCACCAGACGCAAGGTTAAGGCATAATGCTTGCAGTTTACGCCGGTCTACGAGGTCTATAAGGCCATGGCTTTAAGGCTCTATTTATAATAAGTTTTCGTCGATCTATAATAAGCCCACAAAAGATGTCTTAAAATATTTAAATATTTGACGTCTTTTTTTTATCAGTTTGTTAGATCATACGAGCAGCAAATAATTAGAACGCATAATGTTAACCAATTCATTTTATACTCGTATACAGCGTGTCGTTACCATCGCGACAATAAATGAACACACGTCTAACGCTTACCAATAATCATAAAAAAATATTAACGTTAAACAAAATCCATAATAAAAAAAAAAAAAAATATTTTTCAAACAAACTAATTAAGTAAAAAAGAAACAAAATTTGTAACATCCTATACAACTCGCGCCACAGCGTCGCATTACAAGCCTCTCCTTCTAACAGTATGTTTTGTCTCTTTTAAATTCATTCAACCCATTCACATGCTTTGTGACCTTTGCAAATGAACTTTACGTTACATTTTTATACGTAAGGGCTGTTCTAAAATTGTTTGTTTTGGAAAATTTAATAACTCGGTAAATATTGATGTTTAAAGAATGTAAATGTTTAATACAATTTTAAAAAGTGATCCTCTATATGTGTGTTCATTTATTGTCGCGGTGGTAACGACACGCTGTATATATGCATTGAAATCATCTCTTGAACATTTACTCATCAGAATGCTTTAGATTTTTGGTGAATATATTTGCAACGTTAAAACTTTAAATTACAACATATTCCTTCGGGTTCATAACTGAAATCATCTAGAAACGTGCTTACTGTCGAGGTAATAAGAACGTTATTACGAATGTATCAAAACTGAATGTTCAATGACGATCGTGTTGCGAAAGCGTCGCGCTTTGCTATGCCCGAGTTAACTTCACGTGGGCGACGCCAGGTGATAGATGTACGCTTACTTTAAAAGCAACAATGTAAGGTTTGTGACAGGACCAATTTAGAACCAAACATTTCTGGGAGTTGGCATCTTGAACCAATCGAAGCTGCCTACTGGTTTTTATAGAGGATTTTCATTTATTTACCAAGTGCACATTATCTTTAGAGTTATATACGAACATTTTAATGTCCTCTTTTTATCTAGGAATTATTTGCATTCTCTATGAATAACTAAATAATTCGATTGTGGTGAAAGTTTTAAGAGTTGTTTTGCGAGAAAGGTTTCAGCTCCAAAAACAAATTTTATAACGTTTGTCCTGTAGGTAGATGGAACGCAGATCACAAAATCAAACAACGAACAACTTTTTGTATACTAAGCTATACTAAAAATTAATACAAAAAAACCGGCCAAGTGCGAGTCGGTCTCACGCTCGAAGGGTTCCGTAAAGCAAATGTCTGTTCCACTCCACTTTAATATTTTTTTAATCTATAATTACATCGTCTGTGAAAATTTCAACTCTCTAAATATCACGGCTCATGATTTACAGCCTGGTGACAGACGGACAGACAGCGGAGTCTTAGTAATAGGGTTTAGGGGTAACTTTTATTTGAGTATATGAGTATATCTCCAATTATAATAATCAAACTCGATTTCATCCTAATCAGATAATAACCGAACAGAGATTAAGATTAATAGTAGGCGTGAACGCAATAACTCATACGGTTCAAATAATTTCAGTCGGAAAGCCACATCTCGTTGGGTGTAGCGACCGTAGACCGCTCGTAAAATAGAGTTATGTGGAAGCAGTATTTCCATACCATGCAGCGTACTGAACACTAATACTACAGTTAGAAAACGATCGGAGTTACTGTTTGTTATATTACGTGATAAATCTACCGCTTTTCAATCCAGCTCTCGAGGCGGCCTTTGATCGTAGCGTACTTTGTTTCGCGCCAGGCGGGAAACAGATAGGCGTTTGTTTTGTTAACAGTCTTCAATATTTGGGCTCCGAGTTTTCATACATTATAACTTTTCGCGGCCTTGACACCATTTAAAAGTGTTGTTAAACTATTCGCCTATTTCTCTCTATATAATAAAACATCGCTTTAAAGTTTGGTGGTTCTATTAAAAAAACGTGTGTATTCTTATGTACTTACGTAAGAACTTTTTCGCGTAAGAAAAGAAAAATTACTAAAAAATTTTCGCGCCAGTTCAATTAAATAACTTGAAATTATTGGTAAACTTGTTATTGGTTGCCATGGTAATAGCGTGAAGTTGGGCCTTGTTGGTCGTTCTGCAACCAACTTCATCATGTCGCAGGGTCCGCGCGCATCGTAAAAATTTCATCGTAAAAACGCGCAAAAAGAAGTACCTTTATTTAACTTGAAAATTGTGAGTCGCACAGATGCGTTTGATTTTTAAACTTAGTAAGGAAAGCCTACTGCTTATACAATAGTATTGCTTTAATTAAACTGTTTTTTTAACATAATCATATTTAACTAGAGTCCACAATAAAGACAGCAAAAGAAAACAGAAAAAATATAAGATAAGAATATAAAACTTTTGAATGATAAATTGTTTTACCATTAACAATAACATATTTAAATTTAAACCTTAAACCGGACAAAAGTAAGGGACAAAATTCGGTTTCACAACTTTTAACACTTACGGGAACGTTTATCCGGCGGATTGTTAGTAGCATTTAGTAAATTTCGCCGTTCATACTCCTTGATATTTCCGGCCAATGTTATTTCGTGATAATTCAATTATTGAGGCGCATGTTTTTAAGCTGTCAGCTCGCGGAGTTTGAATTAGCAACGATGGACGTCAATATCGTATCGGCAAGTGGTGTTCCACGTCATTGGTAGCCGGAGAATTTTGTGAGAAAACATGAAAGAACGTATGTATTCCGTGACAAAATATAGCGACATTGCGGTATTAACGGTACATTTATTTAATTTAAAATTTATGTCTCGAAAAATTTTACGTTTATAAAATAGAGTTGAACTTGTTACGAACGTTTAAACAGGTATTTGCCGAGTTTGAAAACACGCACGCGTTCTAGTTTCTGTTTCCTTAAACTTTTGCCTAGTAAACTCATGCCGTAATATTCCTTCTTACGCGCTCAAAGCTAGATTTTTGATGAATGGCTACATTTTTTTAATTACGGTAAATTGTTTTGTAAAAGTTGCCTTGCATGGCTGGATATCCGTTGTTATGAGTTATCGTTTGAAATATGTAATGTAACTTCGAGACCACTTTCCTTGACTATTTTATAATAAATTTAGCTAAATTTGTTCTTATGTCCGTCCTCAGACGTTAATTACAAGTTAGACACTATAAAGCCGTTCTTTTGCAAACAGCGGTCTTAACGATACATACTCATTCAACCACACATGACAAATAGAGTAAAAAGTACGCTTATAGTAATCCTAATAGTGGAATATTTACTTGTGTTTATATTTTTAGACTTGTTTCTAATACAAATAATTCAAGTGTAATGTTCTGTTTGTGATCCAAAATAAATAAATAACTTCAAGAGGCCGTTAGAGTTCTTTACTAGTCCCAAACCGTGGTACTCCAGGCAGCTATACGCAGTACCGTCTTTCAGGTCAGTCAGGGCCCCTGTCGTCACGGGGGCCCTGCATGGCTTACGTATTCGCTTAAACTATAGAAAATTTTCTCTATTTTCGTTAGATATATTCCGACAGAAGTTTATAGAATAAATAAAAATCTTAAGATAATAGCAGAAAAATGTTTTTGTCATTTACTTTTTTTACTTTCCATCAGGGTCCCTTTGTGTGCACTAGGGCCCCGATAGGGCTTAAGACGGCATTGGGCATACGAGGGCGACAACTCACTTGTAGTGCTTGATGGCGCCTCGACGCTGCGTGATGCGTTTCCCGCGCGAACGACGCACCTCATTGTCGCCACTCTCTCCGCCCCGGCCCGGAAACCACTGGAACGATGATTTCAAAGTTTATTATTTTTTTATTTCTACTTCCTCCCTGACACAGAAATTGAAATAGACAAAAAGGTTAACTTTATTTATAACTAGCTTTTCCGTGCGATTTCATCCGTGATAAACGTTTCTCCTTCGCCCCCTTAGATCGTAGCGTGATGTTAAATACACCATAGTCTTCCTCAAGTATTGGGCTATCAAATCCAAAAAGATTTTTTCAAATCCGACTGTTAGCTCCAGCAGTATTAGCACGTTCAAACAAACAAATAATTTTTTAGCTTCATTATGTTATAGTATAGATTTATATTTTCAAGTACCTAAGTGATTTTAAACGTTTTTTTTTTAATACAAGTTTTGTAGATTAATCCTTACTTAATGTTTCTTCAACATTTTTGCATGGTTGCTTTAAATTTATTAGGTACAAGAAATTAGATAATTATTTGATGATGTTATTGACACTGTATAGGTATATATAGTATAATAAAAAGTAACATAATTAAACATAATTTCATTTATTTTATTAAAAAATACCATCAATCAGATTAGATTGGTACCAATTACGATGGATTATTCGTAAACATTTTATTACGACGATGAAGCTCATAAAAAATGATACCAAACTAAAATTAAGACATTTGCTGCCAGAACTTGGCACAAACAGATCATTCGCGGTGACTCATGCATCTTTTTAAATGGGAACACTGAAAACATTCGCGGCTCCCGTTGACAATACGGACGGAGCAGTTTCAGAAACGCGTCACGTGGCCGGCGTTTCACGAATGCCTCCGGTTTATTGTAGTGCTTTCATAATCCGATTTGCGGCGCGTCGTAAAATGATACGCGGCCAAGAATACGCGCAATTGGACGCGGGGTAACGCGCGGTAACGTACACGGAGCAGAGACGACATGCGTCGGCGCTCGCCGATCCGCTCACGAAACAGGGGACACGACCGGGGGCACCTTTTTGTTTACTAACGCCCGAAACGAGACGCGTCACTGGCTCGTCTCGAAATCGCGGCCCTTGTTGCGAATTCCCTGGCATGAAATCGCGTGATAGTACGATCCGAAATGCGAAATGCGCGTCGAATGGCCGAAATGTGTTCGTCATTCCTCACGCGTCATTTCGATTCGTCTCGTGTGCTTGATGAAATCAACGGTCTTGCCTGTCTGACGTCTGTGTTATTGTACATGCAGGCTTTCGAGGCAATTTTTTGGGAGTCCGAAACTTAATAATGTTTACATGAACGCTTTCTATAATAATTAGACCATACTACATCATTAAGTTGTTATTTTTGACTTTGGTAAATAGCAAATTATTAAATGAAAATCCATTGGCAATGATTTTCACTTGCTGAAAATCAACATATTTAGCGCGCTTTTCAGCTTTTTTTCAATGTTATGCTCGTAAACATAATCAGTAATGTTATGATATGAAAAGGACTTCGAAAAAAGTACTGAGAAGGCACGAAGTAGGTATATAGGTTACGTAGTAGCTTCTGTTGTTACACGAATGACCATACACAGAACATCGTCATTAATTCGAACTATTATGCGCTTGCGCTTCGCCGAGGCACGCAGTTACCTCACGTTTAAAATTTGGCAACGCATCTGCAACCATACTTGTATGCGTAGGTATGTCTATGGGTGGCAATAAAAATTTATTAATTAACCTTCTTCGTAAAACCCGAGTTGGTACTACCAATAACTATTGATTATTGCTGATTACGTCTGTCTAATAACCATCTGTCCAAAATCTCAGGAATTATTGGGTGTTTCACATTTGCTTTTTCCGCGCCTGTAAGTACCAGAATCATTGTATCTGTTTAAAATATTTTGCACTCAATGACTTTTACTGCGTAAAATATCGAGTATAATGTAGGCTAAGAACAAATGTTTTTGGAGTAAAAAAATTTTCCCAAAATTAAAATCAAAATATTTAATTAGCGAACCATAGTGACTGATATGGCAGTTCATTCAAGTTCAGTTCAAACCATTGAACCATCTATGATTGTCAATAATGAAAATAACAACTACGTCACTAAACAAGTATGACTGTAACTTTAATGATCTCTTTTTATAGTAATATCAACATCTACCAATGCTGACTAACAATTGGCCAAAGCGAACTGCAAAATTGAAGAAATATAATAGTAAGAAACATTGTACAAAGAAAATATGGAATGTAGCCGTGATAGCTCAGTGTCCGAGCGCTCGCCTTTAATTTAATATATTCGAGCAACCTGAATTCGATCTCCGGTGCCGGCACCAATGAAGACCTGCATATTTTCGAGATAATAACAAAAAAATATATATTTCGAAGATTTGTGAAGTCCGCCAATCCGCAGTGGGGGCGGGTGGTGGACTATGCCCTGATACGCTCTGTATAGAGGAGGCCTTTGCCCGACAGTGGGACATGTATAGGCTGTTACTTTACTTTTTACTTTAAGTACAAGATGTAATCGTAATAATAATGTTCGAACATCATTTAACTTACAACCGTATAATTTTTGATTGAGGCCATGCCAATCTTGAGAGATCCACTGCTTGCAAAGAAAGTTAAGAAACTTCACTGTTAAAGAAGTCCGTTCTCCTCGGTTCCTCCACTATTCAGAATACGTTCCTTGGAATAACTCTGATCAGCCGCTGTTGGCCACCTTGGGTGTATTTTTAAGTGTAAGCTGTCAAAGGTTTGTCTCCCTAACTTGATTTGTACCAATCTGTCTCGAAGACGGGTGTGTTAGTGATCAAATTGTTTTTTTTTTCAAATGGATTTGAAATCCAATTGTTTAACCATCCTTTTGGCAACTCAATTGACATTGAACAAGCCATTTGACAACTGATTAGTTAATTTCTACGTTGATCAGTTCAGCCTCACTTACCCATAGTAATGATTTAATCAATGCCTTTTTTTTTGTGTAGACGTGTAATTACCTATTCTTTAAAGCTAAAGCTGCGACCGTGACGAATCGGCAATCCCGTGAAGATGAACTGAATCGAGCGAAGGTACCAAGGTTGGCTCGGCTGCCCATCGGCCGGTAAATGCGCGGCTATAAATAGGGGGGAGCCAAGCGCTAAACGTTTGGTGCGATTGCTCCGTACGGATGGGAGTCACGCGCATATCATCCATCGCTGGAGCGTGGAACCTGCGGTGAGCACGTGGAAAAGGGAATCTGTTTGTCTTCACGGCGGTGCGACAAGGTCATCGTTCTTGCTCTTTCAACTCGCGAAAGGTTCACGGCGACGGTGTTGTAAACGCTGAAGTATTTTCCTGATGGACTGTGATTTACTAAATTGTATCCATTTCCATATCAATGTATGAATTTCTCCAATTTATGTTTAATGAAATTAGTATTGGTCGTTCCGTCGTCGGCGCTCTTACACGCACTCAGAGAAGTAATTTAAAGATTAACTAGCCTTGAATTCTTTTACTTGTCAAGTGGATCCTTTTGATATTATATTGAAATCTCTGAGTGCAGTCGTGAGAGTGTTTTTTCCCTCTCCCAATCGGCTGCACGAATATGAAATAGAATTTGAAACGATGAATCTTATATACTGTATGTCTTTTATCACGCAGAAATTATCATTACTTTCAGAAAAGAACCACACCAACTAAGATGCAAAGCGCTTACAGAACCAACCTTATGTTTCGTTTACACGTACGCAAATATGAATCATATCTATAAATATCAAATATGGTAATCGTTTAAAATCGAGTTCTGTTGTTATAAAATGGATGTTGCGCAGCCAAAGTGAGTCAGCTTGGGTCAAACGTTCGTTAATTAATAACTTTATCATTAAAAAAGCTTCAGAACAAATAAAAAAAAATCGTTAAAATATGTAGAAAAAAACTACATATTTTAATGTTCAATCTTAAGTGCAAAGATTAGCACTATAAACAATTTAAATTTCAAAAAAAAATCGTATGGATTAATTGAAAGAACATAGAAAACTTAATTTCATTAAGCATAGAAATATCAAACATCGTTTATGATTTCCTAGAAAGACATAAGCAAAAAAAAAAATGCTCTGTGATTGGTGCTGTAAACAAAGTCTTGTCTTTCTTTTCATAATCTTCTCTGTAACATCCTAAGTTGGGTTTGAGTCATCCTGATTGGGTGACAATGCCTTTGGCATTAAGTCCGCATTTGTACTATGTGTACTTATAGAATAAATAAATTAAACTCCTGCCTTACTGTTCGTACTTTTTTAAAATGTGGTTTTTCTGTGGGTCACAAATACTGTCTTGTCCTGTTTGAGAATCAACTCTCGGTGCCGAAACCAATACTTTTGTGAGAATTTGTCAAGCGAGAATTTGTCAAGTCGACCGCCACCTAATGTTAAGTGGATTTCGCCTCCAATGGACATCTACAGCACCTGAGGTGCTTACAGATGCGTTGACAACCGTTAAAAAAGTGAGCCTCGGTTACCTCTCTCACCAGACGAAATGAAAGCATAACAACTTCTACTCTACGCCGGCTTTCTTGAGGCCGTAGTATTTCCGCCCTACTACACTTGCTGTATATTATGAGAAAAAAAATTAAATTTAGGTAAAGTAATAAAATTCCTATTAATTATGAGTGAAAAAACGTGCTCTTTTTCTTTCATTTAATTTTTTTAGTGTGGCGTTAATTTTCAATCAGTTAAAGCATGTCAGGTAGAGATAGAGATGGCCAGTGCCAGCGAATCGAATGGAGGGGACTGAACTGTATTTCCTTATGTGACGATTTGTACCAAATCACATCTTCCGCAAGTCCAGTTATAGGAACTTCCTTCCAATATAACGCAGTCGTCCGATTTACAATGGGGCACGTGGCAGACATACCCTCTTGAAATTCCTTTGCCCTGCCGCGTCCTTGTATGTTATTATTTTTGACTAATACTTTACTACTAAAATCTACGTAAAACTATTCACAGAAAATAACATCTTTGACATAATAAAATGTAGATAATCATAGATTTCGCTTAATGGCTTCAAAATGGCAATACGGAATCGTTCACACATAAATAAAGCATCGGAAGCCATCGCATGAATGGAGCAGCGACAAAGTAAACAAACATTTGTACCGTTGCTGACGATATACGAGGATATAGCCGGGCTGCCGATGTAGAAAAACATAGGGCTACCACATACACAGGCTCTCGGAAGACAAGTTTTAAAGTGTTATAGTTGTAAAAATGCTCCAAGGAAGTTCGATATATAGGTACATAATATTGGTCATCAAATAGCATATAACAATCGTCGGGGTCTGAGAAATTATTTTGATTTTTGCCTCATAGATTCTGCCTATTGGGATAAATTTCAGCGTGTGATATGAATAACCTATATTCTCTTACTTACGTTTTATAGGTATATATTACGACGAAAAAATAAAAACCAGGGGATCGCATATGTACTTACAACATTATAATAAAAAGAAAAACTTTTTCAAATGTGTGAAGCCCACCAATCCGCGGTGGGATCGCATGGTGGACTATGCTCTTTATACTCTCTGTACAGATGAGGCCTATGCCCATCAGCGGGACATGTATAAGCTGTTACTTTACTTTACGACGCCACAAAAAGATACTAATACTTCCACTTTTGTCAGTCAGTCTCCTGCGAATCCTTGCAACAGTAAATGTAGATTTTTTTAAATGTGAGAAGGTGGCAAGCGAACTGACGGTTCATCGAATGATAAGTGATACCCGCAGCCCATAGACATTTGCAACACCCGTAGAGTTGCAGATGCGTTGCCACCTTTGAATAAAGTGAAACTCGGCTACCTAACTCACCAGGCGAAACCCAGAAGTCACTTCCACTTCACACCGGTCTTCCGTGAGGTCTTGGTGGACCTTAGTTCTGTGATACTTAGCTGGATGGACCTGCCCATTCGTGCAACAGGTGGAGCTGTTGCGTGGCCCTACCACAGTAAAGAAGTTTGCAGAATAAGGGGGGCCTAGTTAGACGTGAGCGAGAACCAAAGTGATAAAAACGTCTATTTAATGGACGTAGGGATCGCTCATGGTTGTCACGAAAATATTTTCACGGGCCTTCGGCACCGCGTTGGGCCAGCCCTGGGTCGGCACTCACGTGGTCAGCGTGCAGGCGCTGGACGGGGGCGCGCGCGCGCGGCCGCGCTGGCGAAGTGCGCCGGCGCGCCCCCCCGCCCGTGAATATCATCGGCGCTCGCGCGCTGACATCGCGACGAAGAGACGCGCGCTCCCTCGACCGCCAGCCGCACTACCGCGTATTTATAAACGGAACGCCACGCGCTATCCGCGGCCGGGTACTTTTTACACGACTCTCGGCACTTACGACGGACGGAGCACTGAAGGGGCGGGCTCCTGGATTGTCTGGCCGACTCGGCCGGCGCCGCCGCCGACGCGCTAGTCGCGCGGCAATTCCGCCGGCAATAGCACTTTCGGCGGATAAATGATAGAAGATAATGGTGTATTTTTGGCTGACCCTAATGTTTGTTTCGCGATTGATTCGGACAAAAGGTCGCGTGTTTCAGAAATCGTTTGTGATGGAATTTGCTCGCGGGCGCAGCGTGGATTCCGCTTCTTTGACCACCTGTTCAATTCTCAATTCAACCAATTTATTTTAAAGTTAAAACTTTTCTAAAGGTAGTTTTATACGTAATGATCGACGGCCTCGGTAAGCAGTGATTCATATATGCTGATTCTGTACAATAATTTAAACAGTGATCAATTTTACAACCAACCTCTGATCTTTCTACAAACAAGTGCCTATCACTGGTGTGCTTTGTGCCTAATTGAATAAACTTTTCTCTGCCAAACTTTGTTTACTTTTCTGTATCTTAATCGATTCCCTATTTTATCAATACAAAAAACTGAACTTGAAATCTTTATTCGCTTTGGCTTACAGGCGAATGAACCTTTACGTCTTTTGTTCGATTAATCAAAATCGACTCTAAGCATGCGTTGTGCTGCATCCTCGAATATTTGTTGTTTTACAACAGTTGACAGTTGTACAGCAAAGAAATGGAACAACCTACCGCTTGATTATAACGACGGAGTCTCCAAGATGAGCTTAAGTAGGCTTTCACGATTTGATGATGTAGCGTTACCATCTATGGCTCCATCGTTTTCCTATGGGTGATAGAGATCAAGTAGTGGACGGGTTGTTGTAAATGAAAAGGATATCTGATACTCGTATGTCAAGTAACTTATAAGAAGACATTTTTTCTTCAAGCTCGTCCCTTTTTTCTGTTATACCAGAATAAAAAAAACTCAATGTTCTCTAGCTGACATAATTCTTTTTATTCTAAATTTGTACATGAAAGCAAATAATGTTTAACAAATTTAATAAATTTTGTACAACCTATTTTGTGCGACCTACGTCTGATTCAGCAAAGTGAGCAGCGTGTATGAAAACTTGATGATCTGAAATTAAAATTGTAAAAAAAATAATTTGCTGGAAGTGATTTCGTTGCTCCATAACAAGTCGTTGCTATCGAATGCGATATTTAATTAAAAAGGCTAATAGAGAATATAAGCCATTGATTATTTTATATAACCTTAAAAAAAGAACATATAACCAAGTAAACAAAATCAAATTTAAATTTTGTAATGAACGAAAGTTTTAAGGTACGTGCCACGGAGCTCAACGGCTTATGTTCACACCAATGAAAATTTGACCATATTTATTTATCTGTTTTGCTTTTTATTGCATCTTAGTCTTTTTTTATACAAATTTTCATTTTCGTCTTGATTGCAGAAGAATAGCTTCTAAAAAATTAACATCATTTAAACATAATATTATGAGGAAGCCTTAAAATACAACAAAAATCAAAACAAAATTCAGGAAACATCGTAAATACATATACTATATACTATTACGTATATACGTTTACTATTACGTATATACGTTTGCTTCAAGGATAATTTACTTACTAGTGACCTTAAAAAATAATATAACACGCGCACAATAATAACCAGTATCAGAAGTTGGTACTGTCGACGTTGCTGATGCGTAGCTTAATGAAAAAGTACCTTGAGGTTTTTTTTGGTAAATCATGTATTTTGGAAATAAAAAAATAAATAAAATGATCTGGTATTGAAAAAAGAGTAAAAACAAATAAGTGTGTAAATGATCGTGATACGAACCGCGGCCGTCTGTTTTGGGGCCGCCCCATTACCGACCGAGCTATAACATTTTTTTTGAGGCGAAATTTACTGTCATATTCGAATGATATTTTTCATTCCCTGAAAACAGGGATAAAAGGACATTTTCTAAAAATTAAACCTAGCTAGATCAATTTTTCGCCCCCGAATCTACGCACATAGTAAATTTCATGAAAATTGCTGGAGCCGTTTCAGAGTTGAGATAAACATATCACTGAAAATAGCATTGGGCATTAAATGCGCCCTTCGTCATCCCGTTTTTAAGATATTTCCAATGAAGAATATAAGTAGCTCATTAATGATGTATAAAAATTTTTGACAATTGAACAGTTAACTAAAGTTTTTTTTTTCATGTTTCACATTAAAACAATAGAAAGATACCCAACCCAATACAAAACGAATTTCTAAAATCGGTTCAAGAACGGCCGAGATATGAGGTGACAAACATAAAAAAGAACAAACAACTGAATTGTGAATCGCCTCCTTTTTTGAATTCGGTTGATAAATGAACCAACCGCGGGCCACGCAACAGTATTGGCTGTTGCACGAATGGGCAGGTCCGTCCGGGTAAGTATCACGACCCCACAGAATGTCGGCGTGAAATGGAAGTGTCACACTTCTGCGTATCGTCTGGTGAGTCGTCGTCTCTAGCCGGGGCCTAGTTTATTGTAAGACGGCAGCGCGTCTGCAATCCTACGGGTGTTGCTAATGTCCATGGGCGGCGGCTGTTACTTTACATCAGATGAACCGCCATCTCACTGGCCACCTTCTCATATAAAGCAAGTGAACCGATATATATATATATACAAGAATTGCTCGTTTAAAGGATAAGATATTGGTTTTGTCTCTATAACAGTCTTACAGGGATAAATGTCTCCATGGACATCGGCACGATGTATGCAATGCAGGGCGATACAGGGCGGGCACACACCATCATCAGAAGTAGTTGGCGTTGCATTGGGGGCGATAGGGATGTCCATTCGGAGTTGTAAATCGATTGGTTTACCAATTCGCTCTGCAAGAAATAAAATGTGAACATAAGTGGGTGTTATAGAATGAAATGGTATTTATAAAGGAAACTGAAGAAATTGTATTCAGAAATACTAGAACGCTTGAGTGAGTTATCTCTATAATATTATGTTTTTGTTATGCTTTAAATTCAAATTCAAAGTCAAAATATCTTTATTCAAAGTAGACGCTTGCGCGTATGAGCTTAGTTTTCTTACTTAGCTTTAGCTACTTAAAAGCTAAACATTTTAAATTACCAGTTTTACTTTCCTGAGATAAGTAGCAAGATAAATAAATTTCATCAACAAAAAAAATGTACTCCATTTTACCTCTTCAGTGAGTTGCGTCCCACAATAACAGAAGAAGAATAGTTGTAACAACATGCAGAACAAATACATTGCCATAGACACGAATTCCACAGAAAGTATTCTCAGCTGAAATAAATCAGGATCAGAAAGAATATTGAATTGAATACTATCTAAATTCAAAAATAGTATTAATAAACATACAGCAACTATCTTGTAAAGTGTCATACATATCACCCATGATATGATGAGGAATTGGAGGATCATCGCTTCTCCAAATATGGATTCCACTTCCTTAACAAACCTATGGACAGATAAATTAGATATGAGTATTAGTTACTCGTAGTAGTCTTAAATTCATTTGGATTTATGACTTAACGACACAATCGATTTTTAACAGCGACATTGGATGATTGGTTCCTTTTTAACGCGCTCATTTCGAAGTAGAATAAAATGGCACCTTAAAGTTATCCTCTATTCATATATGCAGCGTTTTGGATCTCCATTTTTATAAATTTTTCGTCACTTGTCTTTAGTTTTGGTCATTATCATTTGTTGGATTGATATTATTTAATGAAATAATAATTAATTGTTTTTAAGAAACTGATCGCCTTCCATTTCTTCCACGATTTAGTGGAGCAAAGTCCTGGTGACCCTCAGGCTTCTGGTTTTTTTGTAGTTTCTTGTGTATTTTATTGTTAGCCCGGTGGCTCTGACATCTTGATAGAAAGAGATCCGCAGGCAGATCAACCACAGACTCCGAGAACACAATGTAACTGGTGCACAATGACGACATGATAATGCCATTCGCTCCGCCGCATCTCCGTAACCTCTGTTGACGCAATGTTGACGAACAAGGGGCATACCACGATTCAATCCCTCAGATGGAGGTTTGAACCTCAGTTTGAACCGCTAACGACAGTGGTATCTGTCCAGAGTAAGTAATAATTCAAAATTTCAATTCAATCACGAAACATAATCACGGACACAGACAAAGGCTTTAGAAAAAAAAACTACGAAAACGATTAATATACAAAATCGAGTTTACGAGAGATAAATTATTTACGAAACACAAGATTGACGAAAACTGTCAATTGACGAACCATGAATTTTAAAGGGTCGAAACATTCATAAAGTACGTAACAAGTGAACAATCGTATTGCTAATAAATAGCGATAACTTTACGTGATACAAGCGATTCAAAAGCGATCCAGCGTGCTTTTATGTGTAGGCTGCGAATCGGCGAACTCACGTTCGTCAGCGAACGCGCTGTGTTGTGTAAGTTTGCGAGTGAATGCGGTGTGCACAATGCCGCCTTAGGCCATATCGTGGCCGGCACACAAATTTGGGGCTCTGATGGAAGTAAAAAAAAATGAATGACATGAATTTATTCTATAATCATTAGTTGACCAGTTCGAGCCTCTAGTGTAGTGTTATGTTTAGTTATTGTGACACGATGTTGATGGCGGTGGGAGAATTAAACGATTTAACACGCGCGTTAATTCGTCGTCAGGATCATCTAAAACGTTCATAGGACGGTGCCGCTACGTATGTCTAAGGTCTATGGTTTTAAGGGGTCTGGGATATAGATACCGCAAGGTCTTACCAACGGACTTAAAAGACTATTTATTCGTTTAAAATATCGCGTTTTCAAAGACGGTGCTGATTTGCATTCGCGTACCGTATATACCACGGGGCACGGGGTACGACGTTTATTTGAAGTGGTTTCACGTGCTTGGCAGTATCTTTACTGCTACACATATGTCATAATAAGACGTATTAATGTTTTGTATAGATGAACTTTGCGTCTCAGTGTCAATTTACTACACTCCTGTGAATAAATATTACCTTGGCAATTCAACCATAACAAATTGTGAGTCAATTTAAAACTCATATAATTTTCCTTTTCCGTTGGAACTCCCCAAAA